ATCTGCAAACGGCTAGACTTTCTAGTCTTCTCGGATAAGGACGATAAACCGTAGGCCCCGTCTCACAAGCCCTTGCACATGTATTAAATCTGTGGGACGTTAAAGAACCCACACACTCTTCGTAAAGAGTAGGGCACGTAGTGCCCGGTGTAGTGGCCTATCTCACTTTCACACTCATGTATGGGGGCATCATTACTCATTCCTTCACTACTTGTAAACTGCACCTTAAGCAGTCTGGCAAAGTCCCCCAACCAGTGTTGTAAATTATCCCTGAAAAGCCCTGAGGGGAGTGGATAATAAGATATTTACAATTTACAATCTGAACAGCTACTACGTAATGATCATTCTCGAACTTGATTGACTTGCTCACTTTATGCCAGGCTGCTGTTTCGTCAGTAGTCATAACCGGTTTAGGAGGTGTAATTCCCATGGTTTCCAGGTCCCAGAATCTCCTCAACAACGCATTCAAATCATCTGACTGTTCCACTGTCGGTGCCACTTCTCCAAACTGTTGCATGCGAAAAGTATGACACAAACTGGTGTGGTGATCTGCTCCTGTGTTCTCCATATTTATCCTCCCCACTGCCGTCCACCCGAGAGGACAAAGTCGTGCACATGGCTCCTCGGCTCCACCAATCACCTCTCTCTTGGGGTACATCAATTGATAGTTATCAGTTCCGAGCAACACATCAATTTTTCCCCGATTCGCAAGCTTTGGGAATGGAATGTCCTGCAAATGGTTCCAATTGCCCTTAATCCTAACCCAGTCAACTGCTTTCATCCCACCGCAGATTTTCTCAGAAGACTGTGCTACAATCTTAGCGTCCACACTACCGTCAACACTCTCTAATCCAATAGTGAATGTCATGGATGGAAAACGAACTTCCTGATCATTAGCAACGTTCACAGTTATCAACTCTTTCTCCCCTTTGACTCCGAGCTCCTCAACTACATCTTCATTAACATATGTAGTGTCACTTCCCTCATCCAAGAAACAATTGACAAGAATTCTCTTCCTACCGTGTTTCAAGATTGCTGGAACAGTTCGCAGTGCCACTTTTTCTGCTTTCTGTAGTTTTTGCGAAGTTGAATTGGTGTTAGCATCCCCCTCCGTGCTAAGCCCGCCGCTTTGTTCTCGAATTCCTTGTGACAGAATGTTGTCATCTCTGTTTGACTGGATTTCCCTTCTTCCTTGAATTGTCCTGGCCAACTGAAGCTGGGTTGACTGGGACTGGGCTCCCTGAGCCCGTGTTCCTTGAGACTGAGTTTCTTGAGGCTGAGTTCTCAGGGGTCGAGACTGAGAGTTGTTCCCATTTCGATTCCCATGTAACAACCGGTTGTGTCGGTCCCTGCAACCATCAATGTTACACACTCTACTTCTTGGGCACTCCCCTCCCAGATGATCATCACCCAAACATCTGTAACAGAGTCCTAGTTTTTTCGCCGTAGCCCATTTTTCCTGAATTTTTCTGCTTTTAAAGACATCGCAATTCCATACAGCATGGCCTTCCCCACATACTTTGCATGTTCCCTCTTTTTTGTCATCAGTTCGGTTACTTCAAAAGACTTACTTCTTCTGTTGTGAAATTTGCCGCTTGAATTTCCTGATTTTAAACCATGTTTAATTTCAGTTGCTTGAATCTGATATTCAGCTTCTTCTGCAGTCCAATCTTTGAGTGTAATTAGAGACTCGACCCTTCTATTTTCTTTTACCCAGCGAATGTATTGAGACAATAATTTCTCTGGCAGTTTTTCAAGAATGATAGTGTACAAAGTTCCCGCTTCTAAATCAGCCGCTCTATTGTTCTCCTGTAGATTTATCACTGCCCTCTCCAACATGTCTGCAAATTTTTCCAATTCTTTTGAATTTTCCTCTCCGATTGGCTTCAGTTTTATTACTTCGTCTACATGACACTGAATTTCCCTACGATTTCCACCGTATTTTCTCAACAACCTCGACTTAGCAGCCTCATAAGCAGCTTCAGAATATCCTAAACCCTTAATCGTTTCTAAAGCTTCGCCCGCTAAACATGCCTCCAATCTCAACATCTTAAACTGAGCAGACATTGCAGTTGCATCCACGCAACTCGTAAATGTTGCGTTCCAGTGCTGAAATTCAGTTTTGTTCCCGCTAAATGTTGGAATGCGAATTCTTTCTAGGTTATTCACCCCACTATCAACCTTCCTTTGCGGCAAACTGGTGTTAGAGTTACTCGAGTAAGATGGTGGACTTACCGGCCGTGTGTTCCGTGTTACTGAAGTCAAGACGCGACGAGCGGCGCTAGCTTCACCTTCAATTCTTTCGTTTAATTCATCCGCTTCATCCCCGACTTTAACTTGCATTTCAGTGTTCTTTAGCTCCTGATACAATGTCCGTAATTCTTCCAGTATTTCGAAAGTTTTTTCCTTAATCTTTTCCAAACGCTCCAAAGTAGCTTTAATTTCTTCAATTTCTTCAAAACTTCTTGGTTCAACGCCGCCGCTGACGCCAGCAACCCGACTTGCTAACTCATTTAGCTGTCTTGTTATTGCCCCTTTTAATTTCCGTTTTTCCGCTTTTAAAGCTTCCACTTTCATCATACGGTCTTCGGCTGAATCTTCTTCGTTGTCCGACATTTTTCCACTGATTTCCTCAGTAAAATCCACAAAGTTTCCTCACCTTTGACGAAAACAACACTACTGTCAACTCACGCGACACAAATCCTCCACGTCCAAGACCGTTTTCCTTTGAAAATTCCAACTTTTAATCCACTTTATCCGGCTCGAAGGACCAGAAATGTTTCTCCTTAGGTTCCTAAATTTTCTCAGTCCTCTTCCTAAAAAAGTCCAGAGTTCCCATTGAAAAAATCCCGTAAAAAAGACAAAAAAACATCCACACAAGATTTTTTTCTATGGCGTAAGCGCTCGTCCCCTAAATCCGGGGACTTTTATTTGAAACTGTCAATCTTCCCGCGCGTAACGTAATTTCCGGTAAAAATGCACTTCCGGTTCGCTCTTACAAACAATTCTTTTAGAAAAAAGGCACAAGAAATAATCCTTAACAACATCGCTATTCAACCCGTTTTGCAGCAATGTTGTAAGACAAGTTTTTTATTGCCCGCTTTACCGAACCTTGACACACAAACTCTGACCGTTAAAAGCCAGCTTCAAATGCGGTTTTCGATGCCGTCAATAATAATTTCGATGACAAGCATCGAATCTTGAAACACAGAAAAGACAAAACGGATTGACATTAATCAATCAATCACCACAATCCATGCCCTTTTGAACTTGATAAAGTAAAGTTCTTTTTCCTACGAGGTTCGCTAAGATGTTTGACGGCAGCCGTAGTTGGCTTTGAACTTCAGTTTTCACGTTTTTTTGAAAAGCGCGAGTAAATAGGCTGGCTTCCCCTAAACAAGTGGACGAATGACGAAAAAAATTTTCGAAAACGATGACGTCACAGTATCTGATCTAATCGCTGTAACCTTGCCCAGCGATCAGATCAGATACGTGTGGTCGCGAATTTTTTGAAAGCAGGAATTAATACTTTAGAAGAAAGAAATAACTAAGGCCTAGGCCACGCGCCGAACTTTTCACAAGACGAACCAGTCTTTACTGAGTTAGGTTCATGAAAAGTTCGTCCTCTGGCTCAGTTAAGTTCGTCGATCTGTTTGGATTCTATTCGTCTGCTCAAGACGGATAGAACGTCTGAAGATCGTCTACGGGACAAACGTCGATCTTCACATGCGACGAGCTGTTTTCCCTCCAAGTTTGGCCTTTTAGGCCGTTTAGGCCTGATTTTGGCCTCTTTGGCCTTTCGAGGGAAGACAATGGAAATGAGCAGGAGGAGGAGGAGGAGGAGGAGGGAAAACAATCAAAATGAGGAGGAGGAGGAGGAGGAGGGAAAAATGGGAATAAAAAATTGAGGAAGGAAAATAACAAAATTGTGAAAAGGAGAGGGGTAAGTAAAACATTGTTTGCAGTGTAAAAAAGAGCTATTTTGCCTTTTCTCTCATTAATATTCAAAGTAGACAGACTGCAAATTATCTTAGTTGCTAAAAAATATATATCTACGTGTCGCAACTGTTCATCAGTAGGATGCCTAAAATGTGTACAATTCCACAATTGGTTTCGGCTCCATTAAATCCTATACCAATTGCAGAACATTTTAGGAGGAGCCACCCACCATGTGAGCACAGTCACGGACAATGCACGATTTGCCCGCCAAAAATCAGTGAACCGGAACTAGGACATTCACAGCAGCAGGAAATAGGACTTGCATAATTACGTTACGTCTCAGTGATTTTAAGTTGCAAAAAAAGTTTGACTTTTCTCCTCAGACACTATGAATTAACCAATGAAAACGTTTCTAATTTCCTTACTAACCAATCGAAAACGAAGACGTTTATCGACCTTAAAGTAACTAGAAAACCTAAGCCAACTAAAAATAGCCCACGACCTTATCTTAATGAGATTCCTGCGCATTTTACTCATGAGATAAAGACAAAAGGTTATGACGTCATCGGCGTTAATTGATTCCTGCGTAGGTTAATGAGATTCCTACGCATTTTATTCATGAGATCAAGACAAAAGGTTATGACGTCACCTAGTTAATGTATTCCTGCGCACGCTAATGAGATTCCTGCGCAAAAAAGGGGATAATTTCATCCCTCCTACACTACTAGCCTCGTTCGGGAGAAAATTTATTAAATTAAGGCTTTTTGGTCTGATTCAGTTGATTGGTTCGACGGGTCCTAAGTTCGACGTCTGACCCAACAGACGATTAACTTAATTTAGGTCGACCCAAATTAGAGTTTAGTTCGTCCCATGAAAAGTTCAACGTTTGGCCAAGGCCTAATACTTGTGGAAAGGGTCGTAAAGAAACATTCTTTCCACATTCATGACAGAATTATTTTATTTTGTCACGTGTTGGCTATACAGTACCCGCCCCCCACATTTTAAATAGAAAGTTCGGCGTAGATTATCATTCATTTGCTTTCCGGAACGTTTCATTGTACTCAAAATGCCTCGTTGTTTTCTTCTTGAATTGCTCGACATTTTCGTAGTTGACTCTTAACCCAGTCAGAAAACTGAAATTCTGAACCGTCACTATACGATGAGCCGGTGACAGAATCAGTTTCTCTTTTGCTTGCTGTCCATTTATCCCATCCTTCATTTTCCCAGTCATAACTATCATTACTTCTGCCATATTCTTGAATTTCATCACAAGCATCTTCTTTAGATGTCCGTTCACGGTTCAAGGTCCGATCTGAGAACTGTCCTTGATGTCCAGACTCTTCTTCTGACACTTGATCAAAACAACCTACCATCGAGCTTAACCTCTTCTTTTGTACATAGGGCTGGTGAAGCTTTTTAAAAAGAGGGTCGCCCTCTTGCTCTTGAATTTCACGGCATATTTGCACCTGTTGGTTTGCCCATTGTGTGAACTGAAATGTTGGTGTCTCGGAAAACTCAGATTCTTTACAAGGACTATCTTCAGTGAAGTTTACATCATGAGTTTCTTTGTATTTTGCTTTTGCATCTCTTTTCCCATGAGACAAATCATCAAAACTTGCATTTGTACAAAGGCTACATTCAGCTGATTGCTTATTTTGAATTTCTCTGCATTTAGCTATTTGATCTTTTTTCCACTGAGAAAAATCCCAGCTACTTGAGGCAGTAAATGGACTATCGGTATGATCATAACAACTTTCGTCTTGCACTTCCTTGCATTTAGCTATCTGATCTTGCTTCCACTGAGAAAAATCAAAGCTTCTTGCAGCTCTAGAATGGCTACCGGTATTTTCATCACAGATTTCGTCTTGAATTTCCTTGCATTTGGCTATTTGATCTTTTTTCCACTGAGAAAAATCCCAGCTACATGAAGCTGCGGTAAATGGACTGCCGGTATATTCATCAAAGCTTTCGTCTTGAATTTCCTTGCATTTAGCTATTTGATATTTTTTCCACTGAGAGAAATCAAATGATTGACTCATTTCACTTTCCACTGGTAATGACTGGGTTTCTTCTTTAAATATGCATAGAGGTAAATTATCAACACTTTCCAAAGTCCGGCATTTCTTGCGTGGAGGGCCGGAAGAAGCTATCACAAAGTCACTGTCTTCAAATAAACCACCTTGTATTGTTGAGTTAGTTTCAAAACACTCTCCAAAGTCTTCAAAAGACTCATCCAATTGTGATATCCCACTGACATTCAAATCATTGGAGCAATCCCTTTCTTTTTCTTGATTAGAAGGTGCTTCTGTCAAATACCCTATGAAACAAAAAAAATTTTGACCCAGATGTGCTATGATATCAATGGCATTATGATAACCAGGTCAGCCACCACATGAGGGTTAGCTCAGTTTGTAGACAGCCACCTTCAGAGAGGGATGTTGAGGATTTCGATCCCGGGGTTGTACATTGTACTAATACTCAGGACCCAGCTGTTTACCAAAATAATTTCCCCAAGAAAGGACCCTGGAAACAAGATAAGTTTCTCAAAGAAAAATTTCCATCATAACCCAGAGTCAACTTTTAGTTTATATTACAGGGCTTAAAATAATGGCCAGTCAACAGACAATGTCCAGCAAGAATGGCAACTTAGCCAGCGAAAAACTTCACGCGCAGGTCATGTTGAACAATCATGCACACTCTCATTCTTAGACAAAAAGTCAAATTTTTACCTGTAACTCTTAGAATTCGTCTCCTTGTAAAAACACAATCACATTCACAAATAGAAAATTACACAAGGATTAGTGAACCCTTTTTCCCAATAATATGACTGGTCAGAAACAAGACTTGACCGAGCAAAAATATCTTTGAATGGTTGTTGTGTCTGTAACCCTTTGAAGATTATTTTGAGCCCTGGGATTCTTGTTGTTTCGTTCAAAAGCATTTTCAATTTTAATTATAAATAGTTATTTTATAATAACAGAGTCCAAACATCAAATTGTAGGCAAAAAGCAATTTGAAGGAATATGCTCTTGTAAGCACTCAGATATGAATTTAAATTGATACTACCATAAGACAAATCTTTAACCTTTATTGAACAACACCCAGGGACTAAAAACAACTGAGAAAGAAGGTAGAATAAGACACTGCATTTGCCCTGTAAAATGGGGTGACCTGCTACATTGCTACCTTAAACGTGAAGCACCTGTTAGGGTGTTGCTTTTGAGCAAATATCGTACACTACATGCAAACCTACAGAAGATAGTGGGTGGGATACATATACATGTAGAGTATTTTTATCTTTACATCAACAAGACCACATGCTCGAAATTTTAAAGGGGATTCCAAGTGGGGGGGGGGAGGGGGATGGGGGTGACTTCCCCATAAAAATAATGGTGATGCTACATGTAGTAGGGAAGTTTGAAAGTGCCCTCTCAGAGGATAAAAGAATCTTGTTTTGTGGGCAAGACTCAAATTTATTTTAACCCCTGAGTGGTGCTGCAACTGAATTAGTCAATCAGTAACAGAAGTTTTTGCCTCATTTTTTGACTTGGGGTGCTAAAATGCCTTGAAACTAAAAGGTACTAGAGAGGGTACCTCTAAAAGTGGTTGTTTAAGGTTTTGCCAATGAGCTTCAAAAAATTGAACGGGCCTTTGCGATGATCATCGTTGCAAAGGTCAGGGTTCAATTCCCACTCAAGCCTGAATTATTTCTGGTTCTTTTTTAATTGAGGAACATTTCCACTTTCAGAAATTTTCTTTTGTTTCCTTGAATTTGGCAAACTTGAGAAAAAAACTGTATGAATTGAGTTAGATCTTTGTTAAGCATGCACTGCATGTTGACAGGAAACAGTTTCAAACCCAGGCCTAATAGCAATGCACTTGGTACAGCAGGTTTTTTCATGATAGGTTTATCAATAAATGGATGATTGCACTCCAAAAACTAGTTTGATGAGAGAAAACAAGATCATCTAGTCCAGAAGTTCAGGTGACTTTGGCAACCTCAAAAGCTTGAAGTGATTCAGACAGGGCCCCTTTTCTCCTCCTAAATCAAGAAAAAGACAAAAGGAGACTGCTCGCAGCCCTGTTTAAACCAGTACAAATCCACAACTCCTATCTTCTTTAAGGTACCATACGAAGGGCATCCCCGTTGCTTTAATTCCACTCTTATCCCCCAGGGCCAAAGGTGTGTTTGATTATATACTCTCTCAGTAATAGGCTAATAAGGATGTACCGCTGAATGGGGTCCTACTTTCTGGATTGACTATAATTTGGTTACACTTTCAAAGACGGGCATAGCACCCATATATACATGCACATACATCTGTGTTCACAGCTGAAATCTGGAAAACATATATTTTTTATTCCCCGAAAGTATTTTTAACACTAAATTGCAATGATTGATAAATGTTTCACATTATATTGTTGTCTTTACCCGTCTAAAGGGTACACATCTCGCCCTTTGATTGTAACCTCCTTGATGGCATCACAGTTTTACCTTTTTTCGTAAACATTACACCTTACCCCAGAACACTAGAGATTTACATTAAACAACTAATTATTGCATTTTCCTTCATATTTTTTTACTAAAAATGTCCTGTGGAAAATGCAGGAAATGGCATTTCTGGGCCCCTAACTTTGCCCCTGGATCCCCCTAGTTTGCAGTACATGTACCAATTGTGTTCCTTTCAGTGCGTACACCAAGTCAAAACCTCATCCTATGCCCCTGAAAGAGTTACTAGAATTGGGTCGCACATTTTCTGCATTTTGAGATTAAGAAAAATTTTGTTTCAAGGGATTTTAAAAAATGTGTGAATTCATTTTAGGATGACTGACCTACTAGGCTACATAAACCAAAAGTTGCAAAGTAAATTCCATTTGCCCAAAAGTGACTGGGATAGACTGAGATAGACTATAATGGGGTAGGGGGTAAGGTTTCTGAGAGGCCAGCGGCTTCAAGAAACCCAGCAAAAATTGACCCAAGTGCCCCCCCCCCCCCCCGCCCCGGCCCCTGGCGTGCTGCGACCGCGGAGAAGCGGTGAGGGCAGACAGTAACTGGATGCAAACGATTGTAATTTATAAATATTATTCCATTATTCTTACATCTTATTAACTTACCTGTATCAGAGGTATTTTCCTTTTGTTTTCTCTTGACTGAAATTTTCGCCAGCAGTTTTCCCTCAAAGCAGCCAGCTCGCTCTGAAACACCTTCGAGAATGTTACCACGCCTGGAATCTTTTGAATAAGTTTCTGACCGAAAGTATTTATTAATTTTAGTCTGCTTAGCATTTTGTAACTTCTTTCTTGATCTTGGGGAAAGCGGAGAGCTCGAAACTCGAATGTCGAGGCCGTTGCAAGACGCACGCAACAAAAACTTCTGTTTTGATTTCTTTGCTTTTCCACTCTTTTGCAGAGGAAGCTGAGTTGATCTTTTTTCTTTGGTAGAAAGCCATAGCCCACAACCTTCTGCTCGACTCGACATTAATTTAAGCATAAATAAGTCGGAAAAGAATAGGAAATGCAGAAGAAGACGCTTGTAACATCATGGAACAAAACCGAACACTATTCCAAATGGCGCGCCAAAGGAAGCCTCGCTTTCATCATACCACTTGACTTAAGTAGGGGACCCTGGGGTTGCAAACGATCCAACTTAAAAAGTAAGCTCTAAAATATAATTGCAAATATCTCTAGCTACTTTTTTTATCAAAGAAAAAAGTAAATTAAAATATTTGCCATAATCCTATTTTGCATGTAAACTAGAGGTTCAGAATGTATAATCTGTTCTGTCAGAGATGCGATCTCTATCCCATGGGTCTCCCCTGATGTTTTGGTAAATCATACAAAAGGCACGAACCGAGGCATCGATCGATCATGGTGGTACCCAGCAGGTATATTCCTTATCGAACGAGGAATTTTAAGCTTGTTTAAGCTTCCGATTCGTTGCATTGGCCTCTGCAGGAACAGGGTCCTAAGATGGCGAATAGTGGCGAGACACAAAAACATCGTTCGCCGGTGAATATTATCTCAGTGGACATTGGCACCACAACGATTTCGTGTCATCATCTCGATCAGTCTGGGATCTCTGTTTACCAAACATCGAGAAAGGTCAGGAAAATAGTAGCTCATTCACGATTAGATTTCACTTTACAAAGTCGGCGTAAGCATAATTTGTGTTTGTCAACGTTTCTCTCTTTTAAGGAAGCTCAGATGAAGAATTTTCAGTCTCTGAAAGATTCTTGCTCTTTCGATCCAAATTCATGCCCAAACTACCAAGGCCTAACTTTTTTGATTACCCAGCTGATCGGGTCGAAGAAATCAGTGAAGAAATTGGCACAATTTAAACCGTACAGTTAGTTACGATGCTTGATCAGTTAAAATTTTGTGCTATTAAAACTGAAATGACATTGAAGTACATGTAAGCTTATACAAAAAGCTTGTTTCTCTTTCTAGTAGTTTGCTCATTAATTTCTCAGAATTCAGTCAGACTGATTCTTCAAAGGAAGTGTTCAAATGAACGGTGACAACTAGAGGAAGTTTAATAGGAAATTTAGTAGCTTAGTGACTGACGTCTTCTGTTCGCAATGGGGCATATCGCAGTCGACTTTCTTGATATTGGCTGTATTGGTCAGTAAGTAGATCTATGTAGCGGTTATTTTATGCAAATATTCAAACAAGGAAAAAACAAGATGTGTCCTAAATATATGCCATTAATATTTTATAAACTAAGATGTGTTTCTATAAATGGGACTGATGTCTTGACCTTTTGAAGATGCTTTTTGCCAATTCAAGTTGTCTTATAATTGAGCTCATAGTCATTCTTTCAAAGAGAGTTTTTTTCAATATTCAGAGTTTTATTTTATTAGCTTTATCAGAAAATGATAAGCATATGCTAGTGAGTAATGAGGCAGAAAATACAAAGATTTGCCTATAGGTGGTGGACTAGAGATGCCTACATTAAGTATACAAGTGAGGGAAGGGGTGAGGGTCTGGGATATGGAAAAAAGGGCCCACCATTTTACTGGTGTAAAATTTAATGTTGTGCCTATGAGGCGTGGAGGGTTCAAGCAGTGTTACATTTAAGGGGTTCCCGGGCTTCCTCTCCCTCCACTTTACTATTTGTATAAGAGTTATCACAGAGTTATGGCTGGGGATGAAAATCTTCCCTTGCTCTCATGAACATTCACATTGACTAGAATATTGACAAAATTGCCAGTGGCATCTCTGCTTGGAAACACCTGGGCTTCCGGTGGCTTGTTAACCTTCTGTCACCAATAATATTGGAAAGTGAGAATCCTAGGAAAAATGCAAAGAAAATAAAAATAATTCTTTTAATTACATGCTGCAAACACATGCCTTGGGAGTTGCTTCTTGAGTGACAACTGTAAGACCCCTTCCCTCTTAAAAATGGATAGGTACACCTCTTTCAGTCATTATCTATGCAGTGTCCTAAATCTGCTTATGTATACCTTCCTTGTCTTTGCATGACCTATCCTAGTCAACATCAGTCTCTTTTACTATTAAATATTACTTTCTTTCTTATGATAATACGTTGTTTAAATTAACTAAGTTATTTAAATATTGCTAACAGGTTGAACTCCTCCATCCCCAGCCTGGATGGGTTGAGATTGACCCCCAAGTGTTATGGGAACAGTTTGTTGATGTTATAACAGAAGTCTTGGAAGGTATGCAGGCAGGGTAATATTGTAAATTATTGCCAGTGGTTTTTAAAAACTTGGGCTTTTTATATTGCTAATCTTTCTTGATAAAATGTTTGGGATCAGTATACATGTAAGATTCTTGGAAACTGCCCACCTACCCCTCCCCTAACCCAACATTTTACCCTTAGTGAGAGAGCAGTTTTTTTTAGATTCTGGGAAACTGCTCATCACCTACCTCTCCCTTAACCCAATCTTTGCCCGGCCCTCATCCCATTTAAGTTAGAAATAATTTAGTGTAAACATTGGTTTAGGGGTATGTGGTTATGTAGGTGTGCATTTCCTCAGACATTTTACTAGATGATTCACAATATTAATGATTTTCAAAGATACATGGAGATACATGTAACTGACTCATTTTTTGTGGTTACAGCATCAAATCTTCGTGCAGAGGATGTCACAGCCCTAGGTATTTCCACCATGAGAGGCACTTTTATAACATGGGACAGGTAACATTAATACTAGTATTCTTTTTAACTTTATCAATCTCTCTTGCATAAGCAGTGAGACTCTAATCTGCGAGCTGCCCTTTTTCTTCTTCATATTAAGGACACAAAAGGGCGGTTGGGGTCCCAGATATTCCTAGTGGAGACCGTCGAAACTGGGAATAAGAATCGTTGCGTGACCAAAGCCACACATGTTTTGCGAAGAAAGCTTAGGAAAGAATAATAAATGTGATTTTAGAGCTTTTCCTGAACTGCGGTCGGTCCACGAATTCTATCACTTGAAAGAGTTTTTTAATAACTTTGGAACAAGTGAACCTTTCACTGGTTGAAAAAAAAAAGAACAAGAAGAATTCTTTTATTAATCTTAATAAGCAAAGGCTATAACTGGTGTAAATAGTATTGTATGCAAATGAGCCTTGTGATGAGCATGCAGTTTATTTTTGGCGATGATTGAAATGATGTGCCATGTTCTCATCATGGTGTAATTTCTCTCGAATCGAGGCCCTTGAATTTTCGTCTAATAATTATACACGTGTATCAATCCTGTGACCGCGAACGTATCTCTGATCGTTGCCAACACACATACTAAATCAAGTTGGAAACAAATCTTCAAATGCGATATAAAAGGTAAATATAAGAATACTCGACCATTGATAAAGTAGGATGTGAAAAACCTTTAGTGGGTATATCCTGTTTCGTCTGAAATTAATCGCCTCCACATTTCTTATGTAATCTTCAAGCACACAAGCAAGACTAAACGCTAGACTGTTCTTGTTTACCATCAAATGTATTTAAAAGTTTAGATATTTTATTGTCTATATTTCACATACATGAACAGTTGGCCCCCTCCATGGTTTTTTCAACTTGTGACATGGACCAGTTAGGGAAAATCCGCCGACACCTCTGGAAAAAGCGCCTTAAAATGAGTTACAATTGCCAAGTTTGAAAGTGATATGTCTTAGGTGAGCGAAGATGTAGGTCCACAAAGTTGCGAAAATTTACAGATGTTTGTATGGTGGAGCGCAAGTTTCTGCCCCCACCATATACAAACATCTGTCAAATTTTGCAACTTTGAGGAGCTTATATCTTTGTTAGTTTTCAACACTTAACTTTTCCAGCAGATTTGATGGATTTTCTCTAATTTGTCCATGCCAAAAGTTGAAAAAAACGTGGAAAGTCTGTTATTATGTATAGTGATAGTCATTCCTTTTTTTATAATTGTTCCTTTTTTAGGCAAACTGGCCAGCCATATCACAACTTCATCACCTGGCAAGACTTAAGGTCACATAATTATGTTGAGAGCTGGAATAAATCACTTACCCTTAAGGTCAGAGAGAGGATCTTAACTTATTATTGACAGTTAATGTAATTTAATTATGTTGAGAAATGGAATAAATCACTTTTATTTAACAACATGAACGCATGTTGGATATGAGATGGTAAATAGCCAATGAGGCATGTAGTGCTGAGTTGGCTTTTTACCATGTGATATCGTGACTTCATTTGTCATTGCCGGTATGGCATTTTCCAGTATTTATTATAATTCATTGTTAGAAAGCTCACAAAATCTATTTTTTCCATCATTTTGTCCTAAAGAAAGTAAATGATTTGCTTCCTGCAGGAAATTTTCGCTTGGCAACACTTAGCATAATTTTTTCCCATATAAGGTCAAACTAAGGTATAAGAGCTGATAATAACCGAGATTGAATGAACCAATCAGAATACTAGAAATGCATTATCCAAGGCTGAAAATTTAATAATACCTGCATACTCAAAGTCAGGCATGTCTAATGCACCTAAAAAAATGTTTTCAGCAAATTTTTCTAGCCTTGGGTAAATTGACTAGGTAAATGTATGGCTTTAATGTTTAAAGAAACAAATACAGAACTTCCCTTTTTATATATGAATGATAACTGGTTGCTGTGCAAAAACAAAGCTTGTTTTGACTGACTTGCTATTCTAACCAGAGATCAGGCCAAATTTGAGCGGTTCTCATACATTCTCTCTAACAGCTACCGCTGAAACTGGGCCTCTCTTTTCATTTCGCCATGCCGGCCGGAATGTTATTTACAAAGCGAAACTAAAATAGAGCCTGATCTCAGGTTATTGCTGTTCCAGGTAAAAAATGTTAAATGTCATAAGCCCTTTTTCCACCCAGCAATATCATAAAAATTGTAGTTATAGTTAGTTTAAAAAGGTTCATTAACCCATTTGCCCCTGGAAATTTTTCCGAAAAACGTGTTTGAAGCTAGTCCAGCAGTTTTCTGCTCACTGTCGTGCTATAAAGAGCTATGGTGTCCTTGACTGAATTGTGCTCATTATGGTATGGTTTGAAAGATCTCTTCACTCTGCTGCACAAGGTAGCAGACAAAGTTTTCCTTGACCATTAAAACTGATGACATCACAAGCAGTAGAAGGGATGTGGATTTGCATGGGTGGTTACGGGCGGCTCAGGGGCAAATGGGCTAAAAATGTTAATACCCTCTGCAAATTATTACTTACAGAAAATTTCCTATTGTGTGAAGATATGAGCTCACATGCCTCTCTGTTTGTTTCAGAGTCTGAATGTTGGTTCTAAATTTCTTCACATGATTTCAAGACAAAAGAAATACCTTGCTGGAAGTGTAATTAGTTTTTCAACACAGCATGTAAGTGACTTCCAGTCTATAAAAGTGGATCCTAATTGAATGTTGTTTCACCTGTGGTATATGTATTCTTTGAACAGGCTGTCACGTGTGAAGCTTTCTTTCATTAAATTAAAAAGAGATCTCAGTCATGGCTTAGTTTTTAACATTTTTAGTTGACAGAACTCAAGATAATTGAATGTTATTAATTTAACTTCTTTTTGTTACATTTTTAGACATCAATAAGACTCCATTGGTTACTAAAAAGTCGTCCTGAAGTAAGTGTTTGCATGCAGTATTATATATTATCGTACAGCATTGGCTGGGTTCATAATTATGATGGTTTTTTTTTTTTCAGGGGATTATGGACAGGGCATGATGTCAGGCTAGGGTTCATATTTCATCTTATCTTCTTGTGTATTCAATTATGTCTTATGCAACATTTAAAGTAAAATAAAAAAACATGTTGTTTTATTTTTAACCCCTACATATAAGCTTGTGGGGTTGGGTGCCCTGTTGCCCTGCATTGAAAATGCAAATCCAAACCCACAGCAAAATGATTATTACCTCACTTGCCTGCCACACTGGCAACCCAGCCATGGGTCCCTCATACCCCTTCTTATCCTACAACGCATAACAAGGAAGCCAAACTTGCTCCTCACTTCATAAACATCTGCAAACATCTAAATAAACGATTGCTGCCCTGTGTAGCAATATCTTCATTAGTTTCTGCCTCAACTAGTCAAAAGAGGAAAAAAAACTGTGGAAGGGACAATTTATTTATCAACACCTTCTTCCTTTCAGCTGGCTAAAAAGGCAGATGTTGGTGTGCTGGCATTTGGTACTATTGACTCCTGGTTAGTCTGGAAACTTACAAGAGGTAAGTAATTAAAATGCTTTACAAGTGTAAATGTAGGATGACAAGTGACGCCAACCCAAAAGGAAAGTAGAACGGTAGATACATGTACATTAATTTGAAATTCAGATGCCTGTTTGTATATCTCTCATTGTGACATGAAGAAGAGAAAGATAATTCCACTGTTCACATGTAACGGGGTGCTAAGAAAATTAAATTTCCAGCTTGCGTGGCAGGCATTTTATAGGGAAGAGGAAAGGAGAAGTGCGAAAGGCGCGTTAGGAGAAAAACTTTCTTTGCACAATGATAAAAAGGTCTGGGTAAGGTGTGCAGAAACCTAGGAGGCCTTATGGAGAGACTTTAACTTGAATTTTGTAGCTTGACGAACTTAGTAGTATTATCGCATCCCCCCCCCCCCTTAAACCCCTGGATGGGATGCTAGTCCATCCGGGTTTACCCCAGCGGTATGTCGCTAGTACCCCTTTACCTACCCAATAAAGCGTGCAGGGCACAAGAAAGGGGGGGGGGGGGGAGAGGAAAAGGAGGAGGAATCCCTTTCCTCCCTTTTTCCGTCGAAGCCTGCCACGACTGACTGATATCCCGGCAGTTCATGCGTTGGATAGCACTATCCACCAGACAAACCTCTACCCAGTGGATTAGTAGTATAGAAACCAATTACATGATCCACTTAATACAGGTTTCGTGAATAGCGTTACCCACCTTTCAAACAACTGGGCCCCGGGTAAAGAGAGATGTAGTAGCAAACTCTCCTGTGAAGGGTAACAACTTAACGCCAAGGCTTGAATACGGACCTTTAAATGTGATGTTTGAGGTATTAACCCGTTATCAGTCACTACGCCTTTACTTTTGCATATCGAATGTGATGCACAACAGGTACAAATACGCGTAGAAACTAGATAAATTATTCATCTTCCGTTGTGACTGATATCTTGTGTAATGATTGTTTTTCCAAAGGACAGCTTCACGTCACAGATTACTCCAATGCAAGCAGCACAGGAATGTTTGATCCTTTCGTTGTGAGTGATAATTTTATAGTTTTTGGACACTAGACACGGTGAAAACAGTGAAACCTGTATTCACTGCTTATTAATTTAGCGGACTCCATATTAAGTGGACATCCTTTTTTAAGCGGACGAATAGCTCAGAATGTGTCAACGTTTCTTCCCATAGTTTTCAGTAAAAGGACACCTCTATTAAGCGGACAGCAGAAAAGGTGCCGTGGGTTCCCGCCTAAAACAGGTTTCACTGTATGACTTAAAGAACGGTTGGCTAAAATGTCACTTACAAAGTTACCCTGCTAGCAGAGGCTACATTTCCGCCCGCCAGCTCATACCGCGAAAATGTAGCCTCTGCTCGCAGGATATTACAAAGTAAATCAGCGAGCTGATTCAACTGTTTTTTTCTTCGCTATTGTTCCACATCGTTCAGCTGACAAATGTTGATGAATTTTTTCTGGGGTTGAATTCTAAAGGCCTGTATCTTAGTTCAGAAAAAGAAAATTGTGTCTGGTCTTCACGTTCATCATATCATAAAACGTAAAATTTGGCAGTTTCACGTCGTAGTCGTGCAAAAAAGTGTGATACACGTGCGGAGTTGTTCATTTGCTAATCTAACCCTACAGTACAGGCGTCGATGCAAAAGCTCTCTAACTTTGGTCTCGTTTGTTACACTGAGGGAGCTCGTCAATTTGAAGTGCTTTATTCACTAAGGAATAATTTCCTGAGAAGTCGGTTACACTGTGCCAGGAACCAAATAAGCTCAAATATCATTTACCGAATACGAGCGAAGCAAAGACTTTTGACTGTCGACTATTTTCAGTCTTTTGAAAACAAAGATATTCTTTTTTTTGCGACAAAAACTGGTAATGATTTGTTCTTTTTCTTAGAGTGAATTTTTGAATGGTAATAGCAAGGCGTTTGGCTGTTTGGAACAGACCTAACTTTACAAGATAAACTGCATGTAGAGCTGAGATGATGAATTTCTCTTCAATATATTTTTTTGGCAGATGGAGTGGAGTTCAATAATGACAAGCCTACTCGGAGTACCTTTATCAATCTTACCACGAATAGTTGATACAAGGTAAATGATGCAGTGAAACGTTTTAAAGTGTTTGAAAACTGGAACTGCAGTCCACACTAATTTATTCCGCTTGGACGAGACACTTTACCATCGAAGCCGATTATTAAAATTATTATTAAAATGAAAAAAAAAATCATGTGTTTGACTACGCCGCATGTAGCATATCTGGAAATACTAGTTTAGACCCAGTTGCCTTCGTCCCCGACCTCGCCTGTCCATTTTCAATGAGGAGGACATCTAGGGATTGGGGTGTATCTGGAGTGACTGCTGAGATCGTGAAAGTAGTTGTTAAATTTAAAAAAATTGACTTTGTCGGGGTAACGTTGTTACTGGTAATGCAGTAGTTTACACTGTGGCCCACAAATACTGAAGGACAGAAACAAATAATATTGAAATGAACATAACAGTTTGCTATTTACAACTTTCTGACCGAGAAGTAGAACGAGAGACTACCGAGAACAAATCCAGTAAGGCTTTGGGGGGAGAGATAGAGAGAGAATTTTAATTCAGGCCCTCCGGATTGCAATTCCAGCGGTCTACACGCTTTTTTTTTGACATAAAAATGTTGTTTTTCCAGCCCAGGCTGAAAATTCTTGTTCTTGAATTCTTTTTCTTAATTATAAATTATAGCTCATGGTATTTCCGCTTTAGAATTTATTGAGTTTTCAATTACCAGTGTTTTTGCCGTTTAGTGAAAGGAATATTTCTTTTACGGTTAAGATAAAAACATAAATTGTTCTGTATTTACAGAACTCACAGCCTCGGGTTTATTCTTGAAATATTCTAAAAATTTCGTAGATTTCAGCGTCGATATTCGTATAAAATATATTCTTATAGGAAAGAAAAAAAGAGTGCAACCGCTCAAGGCTGTAACTCTATATGTTGTTGAAGTATCATCCCTCCAGTAGATCGTTTACAAAAAGGTTCTTTGTCTACTCTCCGAACAAACCTTACACACATGTGGCGTCTCCTCCGGGATTTGAACCTGGGCCTCATAGCTGGCGGAGGATGGGATGGGAGGGCTAAGGGCTCCTCTAATCCCTGCACTTGCCCTGATACCCTCAAGTTACGGAATCATTTTAGGTTTCTGGGTCACTGACCACCTACCCCTGCCTTAATTCGACATTAACACTTACTTCTCACTTGGGGCAAAATTGTGACTCAGGGGAGGGGTAGGTGGTCAGTTACCTGGAAACCTCAAATGATAGTCCAAATTACGACTGACAATGCTTTTAAGTTGCAAACAAATTCGTCCAAATTTAGGGTTAATTCATTCGATATTCGTTACCAATGTGTCATGAAAAAGCAGCGGAGGCTTTTGTATGCAACGAACGGCGAGAACGAGCAAAGGAGTCAGAGTAATTTATTGAAATTTCTAATGTAGTTGTACTGTTTTAATTCTCTTCTTTTCATTTTTCCTCTCTTAGCGGAAGAATCTGTGAAAGCCATAAAGATATTTTTGGTGCACCAATTCCTGTGAGGTCTTTGGTAAGCAGCGCTCATTTTTTTTTCTTTGGTCAATGGTCAAGATTGTTTTAGAAACAAACGCCGAGTCTTTTAAAAAGTCTGGATGGATGAAGTACGTCGTATTGTGAATGTTAAAGACGTTTCTGTTTGCATCATGTTAATGGTCTGTGCTTGTTACACAACGGTCTTAAATTGTGTACAATGGAATATGCCACCAGCACTTGTATTTTCTTAGCAGTTTACAACATTTTTTTATCGTTTTTTATACCATGCCATAGAAAACAATTAGTGCGCCGGACAGACGTGCAGCTCACGATGGGGTCAGAACGGCGCTGGCTATATTTTCTATGGCATGGTATAAATCCTTGTTCAGGACGCAGTCGTGGTTAATTGTTGGATTCGTTTGAACGTATCAGAGTCGACATTGCCCAACACTCGAGAGAAAGGAACTGGAGCCGAAATGTGTCCCGCAATTGTGCCTGGGATCGTTACTGGGAACACGCCAGTCAGCTGTTGGCCAAGTTTTTTCCCTGTCCCAAGTAACAATCCGAAAGTCAACTTGGCCCAGTTTACTTCTCATTTCTAAAGTGGCAAATTATCCGATATTTTTGGGTGTTAGCCTGATCCCCCAAAGGTGTGTCCAAGGTATGCAGGATCGCTACGATCGCTTAACTTCGTTTCAACGATTTTATGGAAACCTAGTTATCGTTTGTTTGTTTATTTATTTATTTTTTGATATTCAACAGTAACTGGCTTACCTTTCCATTTAAGGTCGCTGACCAACAAGCCGCTGTATTTGGCCAGTGTTGTTTCGACGTTGGAGACGTGAATTGTACCATGGGGACTGGATCGTTTATAGATATAAATACTGGTTCCTATCCACACGCTTCTGTGGCAGGTAATTCCAAACTCCGCAACCTGCTTTTCATGGGACTGCAATTACTTCGATGACCGCCATGGCCACATGGCCTTTTTCATTGACGTTATGCGTTAATTTAACTCAGAAACCTTCAGCTATACAAGATCTTTCAAACCTACATGTAGATATTGAATAACAATTTTAAAATCAAAGTAAGGGTGAATAAAAAGGCTACCGTATTCTCGTTAATCTTCGCTTGTATTAAGTTTCACGAAACCTTAAAAGCCGTTTTTCGTTAGACTGAGTAAAAGTCAACATTTCGTGACGTCACCACTGGTTTCCCCACGAAATGACGTCTGAGAAACGAGCACAGAAATTCCATACTGATGACGTGTCACTACCCAGATCTGGGTAGAAATCATAGCTTGCGAAGCTTGCGTAGAAAACGTGTCCGTTTGGTTTCGGAGCAGAGAAAGGCCGAGGAACGGGATTTTCGGGTTTGGCCGCGCGCGAAAAATGGAACGGGTGCCACACTCATTTACTCGCCCCATTTTTCGCGCCGTCTTTGACTCTCGTTCCTCGTTCTTTGCTCCGAAACCGCACGGAAACGCTTGCTACGCAGGCTATAGAAATGATGGTTCGAGAGGGTTCCATAAAAAGTCTGTAAATGAAAATTTTGATCGCGTCAAAACAGGTCCTTTTCTTTTTCCCAGGTTTATATCCGCTGGTAGGATGGAAGATAGGAGGAGAAACAGTATATTTAGCAGAAGGAAACGCTGCAGGCTGTGGTACAGCCATGGAATGGGCCCGACAAATGGGTAAAAACTTGAATTTAAACATCTAAAACTGAGGGATACAGGAACATTTTTCATTTTTATCATTGCTCCACCATTTTCACTTGATGAAAAAAATAGCTGACGTTTCTTCCAGCTCGATTTTTGTGTTCTGTTTAGGGAAACATGTTTCGAATAACGTAACTACACGTCAATCACACTTTTCGATACATTTCTTTGCTGTCTTTTGGACATCTGCGACTTATCTAATGTGGAGGTCGTGAACACAAACGGCGAGGTTTCGTTTGGGATGCCTCCCCTAATAAACTAAGCGAGTTGAAATGATAACTTTGAAAGAAAAAAACTGAAACGGATGCAGTTTTTAGAGACGTTTTAACCGCCGTGGTCGTCGCGACTGCTTGAAAACAAATGCATGGAGAAATAAAAAATGGGTTTACCTCGGTGTAAATACCTGGGAATTTTTTCTTTGTTTTCACCATATGTTTTGTTTGTTGTTCTCTTGCCATGACGTCTTTGCTGTCTTTGTTTTAAGCCACCCGCGAGTTTTAGAGGTTCTTACATGGAGTATGAGGCTAGAAAAACGAATACCCTAATCGTGATGTAAATGGAACACGAGTTTTCGGGTCGTTCTAGTGGAACTTTTCCAGAGGCAACGGAACATTTTCACGGAATGATACGAAAATTTGTGTTCCATTTCTTCAAAGCCAATTTTGATAACAGTTTCAAGGCTTTCACGGCCGTTTTCGTTAAATGAAACTGTCTTGTGCAATTTAGATGGTAAACGCAATTCTGGAACGAAACTTGTCAGTCCTGAATTTTGGGCGCGGTTCGAATTTTCCGCAACTTTCAGTAGCGAACGGAACAGCATTTTCCAAAATTTCAAAAACGAGGACAACTTCGCGCGAGGTATACCAAAATTTTTGAAATTTTTTCCCGGAAGTTTTTTCCATTAAACCTCGCTCCTGGAATTTTTAGAATTTTCGGTTGAATGGTTCGCTTTCCGAAACTCAACAGTTTCCGGGATTTCTGGAAACTTTTCTGAGAAATTTCTGTATCATTTACCGTTGTTTCCAAGGGTAGATTCATTTGCAACATACGCTTATAGCGGTCGCATTTTCTTGCTAGAACTGTTTATTGTTTTTGAGCTCAAAACAAAAAATTCCAGCAGGCAAATGCGACCGCTATACGTGTATGTTGCAAATGAATCCACCCTAAATTTTCGAAAGTTTTGGTTGAATGGAAAGCGCCCTTTGCTAACCATTTGCCCAAACCGTGAACCGACCGGTTTTTCCATGTAAATGGTAAACAACCGTGAATTTCTTCAGTCATTTTTACTACAGGTCTACAAAAAATACATGTACACCAAGTAGTTTCGTTAAGGTTTTCGATAACCAAATCGAGTGAAGTTATTTGTGATTATTACATTGATTAACATGAATAAAATTATTAAGACGCATCACACACCTTTCTGAAACCCGCTTGAAACATTCTCCTCTTGAATTCGAAGTATAAGAGCAAAAGTCGAAAAACAGCTTCCACACATTAACACACTGTGAGTCTTTTCCCTCTGCCTTAACCTCAGGACACTCCCTGCATTTGAGAAGGGCGGAGCTTGATGAACAAGACAAACAAGAGCTTCTAGTTTGACTCAAAGAGAATTCATCTTACCAGTTCTTCATTCAGCTGCTTGGCGAACAACAACAAGCCAACATGTTCATTATATGGTCTCCTTTTTCACGTGCAAATTCCACCGAGGCCTTTGGGAATCATGCCTGTATGCATTTGAAATGAAGGAAAGTTGGTTCGCGGAAAATGATAATGAGTGCATATTTTTTTTTCGGCTTAGAAAACCTTATAGATGTGAATGCTTCCTATTCCAGAATATTTCTGTGACTTTGGCTTTGTTCATACCGATGCCCTTTTAGTTCGAAGAGCTGTACTCAGTTTCTTCTCACCAAAAACACATCGAATGTTTCGCGCGCTTTCGTTCTTCTTAGCGCTCTCGACGTTCACACTTGAGCCACACGGGACCGCTCAATACTTTAGCTCTGTTTACACGGAACTGTGAATGGCTACGCGTCTCAAATTTTCGTACGGCTGTTAAAATGTCGCAAAACAAGTGCGTTCGCGATATTTTTTTATTTTCATGATTCCAGTTCGCATAATTTGTTAAATCTTGGCGAATTATTCTAGTGTTGACTTTTTCGAGAAGTGTCAAAAAGTGTGATAGATGTTGACTGTATTTCTTTTAAAGTATTTACGTTTTTCTTGTTTACGATTTACTTATTATCCTCTTTAAGGTTTTTACGATGATGTGTCGCTGACAAGTGATACGGCATTCTCCGTAGACAGTAAGTCACATTTTTTACAAAAAAATAAAGGCTACTTTTAGACAATGTTCAACGTTTGTTTTCTTTCATATCTTTAGGCTCAGAGGGTGTTTACTTCGTTCCAGCGTTTAATGGATTGCAGGTGAAGCTTTACTGTAATGTAACCTCACTGAAATATCTCATATGTATTTTATCAGAAGCATGGTGTTATATGCTTCTGATTTTATCTTTATTGAGTACAATAAGGGTGTCTCCTAGCTGTCAATCTGGAAACACGTTCAAAATTTTTCAATGTTAAGAATGTACAGTTTCCTAGATGCAATTATTCTTATCGGTTTTATTTTGCAAGGATTGCTCATATTGAGTATTAAATTTTGCACGCTGGTTATTTTCGAGCATCGTTGGCTGGCTGGGCCGGCGTTTAGCTGTATATGTTGTCCTTAAAGGCAAGATTTCTATTGCTGGTCCACTCTAAAGGAGGTTTTTTGCGTATTCATAAATGTTTTCGGGTTTTGTACATTTAAAGTATTCAGATTCGCGGACGTTTGTACACATCGGAAAGTCCACGAACATTTATTTGGATGAAAAGTATTCACTTCAGATTCCGGAATCAAACTCTCCAAAACGAGTCTGGTACAAAAATGTTCGGATTCGTGACGAAATCTCCTCTTTGTTAACCTAGCCTTTAAGGCGCAACCTGTGAGCATGCTCTTTCCGTCTCCTTCGGCTTTCTGGCTCTTTCTTCGTCTTATGTACTCCAAAAGAAAGCCTGTATACAAGTTATGTAAGGAGCCGTGGACTTTGCGCTGAAAATGTTTGTTTGTTTTTTCATTGCAGGCCCCCATAAACGATGACAAGGCTTGCGTATCGCTGATGGGCATCAAATCGACCACAAAAAGGGCGCATATCGTAAGAGCAATTCTGGAATCAATAGCTTATAGGTAAGCGTCAATCTTTCTGAACCACACAGTCAAATCTACGTGACTTGTTGGTGAGTTACTTACCTGAAGTGTTAACACCTCAAAACAGCATGAGTCGCTTTGCTTATGTGATTTTGGGTTTGTAAAACTTTGTTGATTTATTGAAACAAAGTCTATTAGACGCCGCCCAAGGTAACTGAAAAAACAAAAAAGAAATCACCGAAATCTAGTTAGATCCTCAGTTAGTCCGCAATGTAAGTAACAACGTGATTACTGAACACGTGATTACTGAACCTAGCTTAACTTCTTGGTTTACTTCCACAGGTTTACGCAATTATATGAAACTGTGGTAGAGGAGACACATATTCCCCTCATGTCGTCAATCAAGTGAGTATCTTAGAACACAGGAAAGAAAAAAAAACGACATTATTCGGAAAAAAGAAACATTTTTTAAAGAAGGTTGTGCTGAAGAAAGGAGTGTTAGGGAACTTTCTTTCTTTCTTTCCGGACGGAAACGTCAGAACCACATAACAGCATAAAACACAGTACCACAGGAAAGTACCCCTCAGCATCTTTCAGATGATATACGTGTACTGATTACAGGTAGCCATTACGACCGTACACCTGAAGGAAGATCACGAGGTTATCCCTATAGTAAGATCTCACCTAACAGAGAAACCACCCAGCCGAGGAAAGGTCGGCCACATCACCGGAGTCTACGTCCCCTACTCTTTTCGAACAGTCGGGTGGGTTCTTTTACATCCCACAAGAACCAGATGAGTGAAAGTGCTTTGAGACGGGCCCTACGGCTTTTCGTCCTTCTCAGAGAAGACTAGAAAGTCTAACCGTTTGCAGATGTCATTACAAAGACAGCACTTTCTTCTCAGTTATTTAAAGATCCTGAGTGTTGGTCCTTCCGGGGTTTGAACCCACGATTTCCCGCTCAGCAGACCGGCGCTCTTCCAACTGAGCTAACCAGGCGGCGGTTAAATGGTCATCCCCAGACTCAACAGATGAATCCACCTTGTGCAGCATAGTAAACGGGACCACAGGAAACTGCCACTCAGTAGCTTTCATTTGAATGGTTGACTCGCTCTTAAAGATTTCGTCCACTGATTCAAAAGTTAGAACCATCTTGTACGCTATAATAAACAGTACCACAGAAAAGTACTGCTCTGCGACCCTCATTTGAACGATCACGTGCACTTCAGGTAGCACCTTACTTATTTGCTATTCAATAGTTTTCACACAGAATGTTGACGGATGCTTTTAGTTTCATCAGTAGTCTCAAAAATTAAATTTCCTTTTTTACACCAAAGGACAGTACAAAAGAGAAAGCTTTTTGGATTTAATCTACGTTCATACATGCTCACTTCAAAAATTCAAACATGCTCAACATGTGTAACGATCTTTTTTCCAGAGTCGGCGGTGGAATTTCCAACAATGACTTTGTCTTGGAGATAATGAGCAGTTTAACATGTCAAACCATTGATCGCCCCTCACAGACTGACATGTCAACACTTGGAGCTGCATTCCTTGCAGGACTTGCCGCAGGTATGATCTAATGCTCTGTTCACACTATACTGGAAAGATTTACGTGCTAACACAAAACGTTATCCCGTAGTATAGTATGAACACCTATTCGATATGTGACTCTTCACTTTAGAGGTCGGCGCGGCACAGCTTCGCTCCATTAAATATATTGCGCTGAAATAACCGTTCTTTACATGTGTGAACAGGAGCGCTATCCGATCTGGCATGGTCTTCGCACCGGCGCAAAAGCTATCCGGTAGTATAGTATGAATACCCATTCGATATGTGACTCTTCGCTTTCGAGATCGGCGCGGCATAGATTTCCTTCCGGTGGTGTGGGACTAGTAGATTTCCTTCCGGTTGTGCGAGACTAGTAGATTTCCTTCCGGTTGTGCTGGACTAGTAGATTTCCTTCCGGTTGTGCGGGACTAATAGATTTCCTTCCGGTTGTGCGGGCCTAGTAGATTTCCTTCCGGTTTTGCAGGACTAGTAGATTTGCTTGCTAGGCAACCACCTCCTCTATAGCTCACAATCATTGATAAAGACCAGCGAGAAGTGGCCTCGGGCAAGCAGAATGTGAGAATTGGAATTCAAGTTTTTTTTCACCAGCACTGTTACTGTTGTCTTAGTTAACGTTATCGTGCCCTTACATTAATTTGTTGTTTTTTTATTCAGGAGTATGGAAATCACGCGATGAATTGAAAGCGATCCGTTGTTCTCAGGCCCTGTTCCAACCCAAAACATCCATAAGGGAGCGATTCTTGAAGACATTTGACGAATGGAAGGAAGCCTTAAACAGAAGTAAAAATTGGTACAAGTGGGAGTAATCACAGTCTGTAAGGTCTCTTTAATTAATATTGCATTGTGTATAATAAATAATGTCGTCGAGGGTTAGACTTCAGTTTTTCTAGAGCTGACACATGAGAAATCGAGTCGAATAATATGAGAAGAGAAACTTTACTTCTTCAAGCAACCGTGTATAATTATGTTTATTGTATAAACGAACCAATGCAATTTTTTGCAGATTTCTTAGCAAGGGAAAACGCTTCTATTCTTATCATCTAACACGGTCGTGACATCAGCCGGCTGCAAACCAGCGATTAGGGAGCAGCAGTTTTAAACATTTTAAGATACTGATTTCTTCCGTCACTCCTACGCTGAATACAAACTTGTTGAAGAAAGATTTTTTCTTTTTTATACTTATTCGTGTCGATCATTCAACTTAGAGAGATAACCTTGATCTATTGGAAATATTTTTAAGTCAGGACATGCTTGCACCATAGAGCAGTAATTTTTGGAATGTTGATTTTTAGACTGTTTGTGTGAGAACACAAAATTCCCCAATATTCTTAAACTTTACTCCAGTATTATCGATAAACATATATGATTGTTTTCCGCAAACGAGAACACAAAATCGCTCAAGATCCTTAAACAGTAAATCGCTGGTGTTATCCGCTAATATTAAACACTTAATGAATGGTCCCAAGGGAAACAGTTAATGTTATTTCCCGAGAATCTCAATGTGCCGACGAAAATATTGAGATTCGAGGGGAAAAAATTGACTGTTTCCCGAGGGGCCAGTCTTTAAGTCATTTGTTACATAGCTGGAAATTTTAAAGCTGAGAATTCATGAAACCTCGCTGTAACGGCGGTCGTTGGTCAACATTCGCGGGTAACAGTGCACTGTTACCCTCTGACGTCATAGAATTTTGCAAGGTTCCCGTTCAGAGATTTTGGCGGGAAACAGTTTCATTGTTAGATATCACGTGACCTCGAAGTAAAATATGAGAGCGCGCGCTGTTGGGAAAAATTTTGCATCTATATGACATATATGATTGTTATCCACAAACGAATTGGGCGAATATACTTGGTTTTTGCTAAGAAGCACTTATTATCTGCAAACTGTAATCAAGCACTGTTTGACGATATTCGCAAAATGCTAGGCTGTGTAAAGATATTTTTAGCCAAAAATTAGTTGATGAAAACTCTATATTTATAATTATACATTGCAGACGTGAGTCGGTTTTATCTGTACAATAAAATAAGCATTTTGATTGTTGATGTAGATAGTCCGTAGAGTAGCTATCAAGAGACCTTCCACGGTTTTTTTCAACTTTTTACGTGTATGACCAGTTTGGAAAAATCCATCGAAACCACTGGAAAAAGCGAGTTAAAAGTTTTAAAATTGCCTCGTTTGAAGGTGATACGTCTTAAGCGAGCGTTAAAGGCGTTCTTTCCGGTGGACACGACGGATTTCCCCTTGGAAAGGTCTCTCGTTTGTCCCAAGTGATTCGATTTTGCTTTACTTTTGCTTTATGGCGCTTGTGCGCTTGTGATTGGTTAATAACAGCTTACTTCAATTTGTCTAGCTATAGGTACAAAAACCTTCATATGTTGCAAAAATCCCAGACGATCGAAGATTCACTTGTTTCCCGATTGTGCCAGATTCAGATCGTTCTGATATCTCAGGAAGATCAAACAGTCCGTCCATGACGCCATTTTGATTTGTGAAGGGAAAGGTGGAGGATTGGAACCGAGCAAAAACGATAATTCATCCATTTCCTACATCCCGGAGAGTAAAAATTTGAGTTTCCTTGATGATATGTCGAGAGTGATCGTCGATTATCGCTAAAATCTGGGACACGTCGGAAAAATAGAAACGCTCCCGATTCTTCTAGTCTGTCCCCGGTTGTCTTGTCTACTATATCTGGGACGGTCGGAAAACAGTAAAATCCTCGGTCGTCTGGGATTTTTCCGGCACTTTATTGGCAAAACCAGGCCTAAAACAAGACTTTCTTTGCTCTTCTGGGCGTGTTTCCCGCCCTTGGTGCTGCTGTATCCATTGGCTTCGGGTTTTGATTTGCTCGTTTAATTTCCTGCCTGTGTTGTGACTGGAGAAAGCAATACAGTAGAAGCTCTCCTAACGGACACCCTCGTAAGCGGACAGTTCTACATACGGACACCTTCACAACGCCCATACAACCTTTGTGGTTTTACATTCCCTTAAGCGGTCGGCTCCAGTATCGGACACCTTTTTCGCACACGAGAGCTTCTACTCTAGTCTATTTCGGCGTTCCCAAAACCCTCACTTCCAAAATGAGGCTAATTGCGAATTCTGACATAATGGTGAAAATGAGCTTAATTTGCATGAAAGCTTAAAACTATTTTCATATCAAAATGGCTTCGGTACCTATGTAATGTTGCGCTGTAGACCTTTGAAACTAGTGATGAAACAAAGAAAAGCATCTGAGCGTGTCGTGGCTTCGAATTCTAATTTATCTACCTCGTGTGGTACCACCCAATTCCCTGTACTAGCGCTAACGCTCAATTCACCTCTTTAGAAGTGAGAAGGGAAATGGGCCGAGTTGACTATCGCAAAGACTTCTGGGAATATTTCTAGGGACAGGGGAAAAAATTGGCCAATAGCTGACCGGCGAATCCCCAGTAAAGATCTCAGAAGTCTTTGCGAAAGTTAACTCGACCCACTCCATCAATGACATAGTACTTGTAATATATACCCTCGTTTTCAAAAAGAGACTTGGGCAACTCGCTAATAGCCTGTTAATTTGATTTTGATCACTGAACTGTGGTTTGCGTTATTTATGAGCCTAAAAAGGTACATGAAATGGGACATATTTATGTTATTGAGGTACATTCTCGGAGACTCGGGAGGAGTTGGTCGGGTCGACGGTATTTTCGTGGTGTTTTAATCGTGGTGCTAAGAGCTTTTACCCGTGCAAGCGACGTCGTCCCGACCGCCTGCCCCTGGGTCTACTGGGTCTTTTAGGATAATTGCAATATAATTTTAGGTAGTTTTAACTATATATATATATATATCTGGTGAGAATTAAAACATGCTCTATTTCAACTTGACTTTGTTATTATTGAGCCTTGCAGGGCCTGGATCCGGATATTTAGATGCGATGTCCAAAGCACTAACCGCAGGGTGATCGAGTCTCCCACTTCAGATTATCGACAAGGGCTTTCTGGCATAGATGTAGCCTCTTCCAGGCTCTCAGATAGTAGTGCAGTAAAATGTGATGCGAAAAAACGCGCAAGGTCTGGGGAGATAGAAGGCGCGCGCGTCTTATTTTCGCTTGGCTTGCTTTATTTTCGCGACGAGGCAACTACCTGAGAGCCTGGCACAGGCTAGCATAAATCATAGATGCGAGTCTAGGCTCTTTTCCAAACCCTTCGTCTCTCAAAATCGACTAGCCAAAAGTCTCGCTCGACTTCCCCTCCGGAAATTGACAAGATCCAATATTATCTTTACATTGTTTTTACCCTATTTTTGGCGTACGGTGAAAATAGATTAAATAGATCCTTGGGGTCGGTACTCGACCTCCCTTCCTCCAACCCTTAGTCAGGGGAGTAATGATTGGCTACATGATTTTGTCAACCCCCAGACTCGAATACAAGGTCAAATTTCAAAAAGTTAAAACCTCGTTTTGTACGGCACCCTGTACAGTACGCAAAAGAGGGGGGAAATCTCTAGTGTTCCTCTGGCGCGGCCTGTAAAAAAAAAGCAAATAGCAGGCGACTGTTACGCAGGCCAGGCTCATGTATTCCTCACGACGGTTGCGCTCTTGGGGCCTGTTTTCGGTTCAGGTGTAACAAAATTGCATTTCCTGTACGGCGACATTTTTTCGGCAGATTTACTTCCGATCTTTTTTTGCAATTTTTCACAACCCAGTTAACACCTCAAGTCTTAGCTTAGTCTCCGCTGCAAAGCTAAGCCTTCCGTTGGGTCTCATAGATTTCGCCCTTTTCCAGAACTTTTTAGAAGGAAAGCCACAGTCGGGTTATAACCTTCAGGGGTCATGGTATTCTCTAGACTTGAAATGATTTTAGGTTGAATGAATTCATTCAGCTGTAGCATACAAGTACAGTCGACTCCCGATAACTCGAACCTTCAAGGGAAATCGAAAAGGGTTCGAGTTATCGGGAGCTCAAAAAAAATAGTCAGGAGTAAGGAAAAAAACAGTTTTTACTGCATAGTGAACATTTCAATCACATTTAATTGTAGAAATGTCAAGTGAAAATTAAAACATACTTCTAGATTATAAATCAGAAAGTAACATAACAAAACCTTGCTTAAATAGAGCATGCGTTTTACTGTTTTGAGAAGTCAAGCTGTTTCAGATTAGATTTGTGACCTCCACTAGTAAACTTTATGCCTACAACACATCAATGGGAAATTCAAAATTCAATGTTTCGGACGCCAGTAGACGGCTTTTTTCCCGACTTTTATGCCGCTCAAGACGTGGTTCGAGTTATCGAGGGCAAAATTATATAGATATGATCTGAGGGGAAACAAAAACCACTTCGAGTTAGCGGGAGGTTAGAGTTAGCGAGGGTTCGAGTTACCGAGGGTAAAATTACAGTAAATGTATGACGGAGATCCAGGGGAAATCGATTTTGGTTCGAGTTAGCGCGAGGTTCGAGTTAGCGAGGGTTCGATCGAGTTATCGGGAGTCAACTGTATAACAAATCGCATTTGGCCTTCCTAATACGTATTATATTTTAGGTGAATATAAAACTTAAGGCGGGCAAATGCGTCTGTTAGTTTTACGTCGTGTTTGCTGCAATGATACATGAATTCACCCTTAGTCAGAGGTCTTCAATATCAAACTTTTAATTTCCCTTTCTTGTAACCAGACCACCATAGAGTAAAAGCGAGCTGAAAGAGCCGTGAAAGGGTTCTTTTCTTGATTGATCATATGCTTTATTCTCATGATGACTACAATGCTATTAGCCTGAATTTCAGACCTCGAGTCGTTTTTACTCCCTCAGTTGCTGAGCGAGTAAAAACCACTCGAAGTAATCGTCTGAAATTCTCGCTACACTGCTATGAGAATTTTATGTTGATCAGCCAATGAAAAAAAAAAGCTCAAGGTTAATGATTCCGTTTACGACGAGCTTCAAGCGAAATTTTCGAGTATTAAAAATAATATAATCACACTTTCAAATGAACTGAGAAAAACTTTAAAACCAACAATCTAACTGACGAACTCAAATTCATCAAGCCACCCCTCCCCCATCACAAACCGATTTCCTTTAATTTTTTTTTTCTCACACGGACAGTTGAAGCAGTTGTCTTCTTCTATCAATTCTATGATCGACAAATTGCGGGGTTTAATTTATACCCCTGAGCCCTAAAAGAGTTCAATTTACTTTTCTTTCGCAAATTGGATCGGTCATGCTACTTTAGACAATTGCAGCACTTAATTACTAGGGGGAGAAAGCTGCTCCAGTTCTAAATCTTGCAATTTGCCCTTACTGACAAACGGGATGTGTTCCTGCACAGGCGCGTATGGCTTTACCCTGCGAGCAGAGTCTCCTTCGAGATCGAAGGAGACTCTGCTCGCAGGGTAGTATGGCTTTGAAATCATCTATATTTCTGTAATGTGGCGAGGCTTTTGTCGGTTTTTGGGACAAACGGAGCATTAAAGAGATCTAGAGACGCAATTCTGTTGTCTAGCAGCTGGAGCATTCATTCTCCTGCGTTCATCATAAAGCGAAAACGCAGCAACGTCAGTAGAGACTTCTAAACATTTCACCAGACTGCCCTGTTTTGCTGGGAATTTTTTTTTGATCTGTATACCGTAAATGCGCTATTAATCTATTAAGCCCCCTCTTTAATACCCCCACCCCTTCCCCCTCCACGCTTTTCTGGGTAAGAAAGTTAATAAGCCTTCCCTCCCCCTCCCCTTATTATACTTTATCAATAAATGATAGACTGTATTAATCAATCACAAACTATAAATCTTCACTTGAACTGATCCGGGATTGCTTATTCACGTGTTGGAAGGTCGGCTTTGCTTTAGATCGTCCTCTGCATGACCTCCAACTTCTTGTACTTGAGCTTTTCCACTTTGCATTCTAGGTCTTTATGGAGAACCGATACCACCATCGTCGCTAAATTTAATAAGCCCTCCCCCCCTCTTAGATAAGTCCCCGTCTCTATTAAGCGCCCCCCCCCCCCCTCCGCCCTCTCAAACTTGTCTGAAATAAGTATAATAAGCCGGCCCAAGGGGTAAATGGAGTATTTACGGTATTTGTAAAACAAGATGTTTTAACCAATTCAGAACGCGAAATTCAATCTTCGGCCACACATGGCAACAAGAAATTGGCCGTGTTCATTATTTAGGGCCCGCTTGTTCGAACACTAATTATTGCTAAACCCGGTGTGTTAGATTTTAATCCGGGCCCTGTTTCTTTCAATTTCTGAGTTGATTTAACTAACCATTTTGGAGTGTCCAAAAATCAAATTGTACGCGAACATAGTTTAACTGAATTGCTTTCTAAGTACGTAGCTCGAGTCTACTCAACGCGAGCGCTTCGATCTGATGAATTCAAATATCCTGCTAACCTTGGGTTCAGTCTTAAACCTTATTTGTACAACCTATCCCTGATTATTCCTTACTCACCATGACAAAGCATAAAACAGTTAAAGTTATGATGCAGTGCGTGTTCAGACAAATACGTGATGAGTTAATTTCGAAACCGGCTGTTGACTTCCTTTTCAACGAAGGAAGTTTCATTTTAAATTGAACAAATGTTGAATTATTATTTTGATCTCAGTAAAAAAATTACAACTAAGTTGAATACTTCTCGGTCCTTCTTTCCGTGTCAAATTCGTGCGAGTACTTAATCTTTAAAAATAGGCGACGAAGTTTCTATACGTGAATTAAGATGGTGGTGTAGTATTTCCTGAATGAAAAATAAACATTACATGGAAATGACATATTTAATCGCGAAACGTGGAGAAATCGGTACAGCCCACCCCTAGTATTGGAGGAAGCAAGGCGGAAACAGAACAAGACAGTCAAATTTAAATCCCATTTGATGTCTTAGCAAGGTTTACGAAGTGCCATCCGTTCTCTGTTGCAATTTAATCATTTTCTCCTGAGCTACGGAAAAACCTTTCGAGCTTAACATTAAATATTGACCTCTCTGTGCATGTACACACTGTATTAGGTCGCTTTATATCAAAACGCTGGCTCAAGATGATGTTCCCCAGAGATGAAACCGGAGGTTCATATTTTGACGGTGGCGTGGCGGCGTCTATAAACAGGCGTTGTGATATATATTCCCGCCTACCAATCAAGTTCAGTGAAAAATAGTTTTAAAAGAGAGAAAGGAAGCGATAATTGGCGAGGAAGACAATATTTCGGTTTTACGTGCTTGTGATCATAGCTGTATGTCTAGTTAAACATGACACAAGTTGATACACTTGTCTGCTGAACTACGATCGGAGAGATATATCAAGCCATTCAATTCGACAACATTTGACGTTTCAGGTGAGCAAACTTTGTATACGTAGTTTTAAAACTTTTTTATTTTCCAGTTAACACCTACAAGAGAACTATCGAAAGAAGAGTTTCTTCATCGAAGAAATCACGATCTCTACGAATGTAAATTATCAGTCCAGTAGGTTACTAACTTTGAGGAGGGTCACATTTTAGGTTATCAATTCAGAAACTATTCAACTTAAAAGTAAACTCTCAGTTTTCAATGAAACAGACACAGTAGAGTCGAAAACTAAGTGCAAACCAATTCAACAACATACGGTCACAGCTTTCGAAATCTGAATCGTTATTGAAACTGTTGAAATATAGTAACACACTGATGATTTTATCCATAGACTAAGAGCCTAGCAATATTTACAATTTGATAAACAGCACCACGTTAGAGTATTGGCAAATATCCCTAATTTGAAACGTCAACAAGATCCGCGACCGCGTGATTTTTTTCATACATCGTCTTTAGTTTTTTTTACGCGCGTAAAGCCAGAGTTTTAAAAGTTACGCCCCCCTGGCCACGCAAGTAAAATTTACTCAACAGTGGAAATCCACGTTGACGCGCTTCCCAAACACACATAAGTGTGGTCCTGAAAGCCTGTCGAATAATGGTAGAGTCCAGCTTTCGCCATTTTCAAATATGGTGTTTAAGATAACCCAACGGCAAAGAAAACGTTAAAGAATGAATTTGCGTTCTCTCAAAACTTTCTGGCGATTTTTCCGACACCCCCAAATTGTTGGCGAACTCTTTTTAAGTTAGCCTAAACAAAGTTCAAGTCAAGAAAGAGAAAAAAACTCCCTTCTCGTTTGTTTACGTCCACCGTGAAATGAGAAAAAAAAAACTATTTCACGTGGTAAAGTATTGTGCCAAAAGGGTGACGCACTGCCGATTAAGCCCCTTGCTTTTTTGTATTTCTAGTTGTCGTCGCCGTCAGACAACTTAATTAAGTCCCTAATGATAAGTGAGGTTAATCTTAACTGTTCTGAAGGTCACACTCCCTTTAGGTATCAGATATACAAACCCTTCTAAAATTGTTCCAGGTTTTTTTAGACAGCCAAGTTCTTGATCATTATTTAAGATCAAATTACATAAGCTCTCGTAGAAGCAAGGAAAAAAGAAAGAAAGAGAAAACGAAGATCTAGACCAAATGACGTCAAGTCCGCCATGTTGCTGATGTTGGTAACATTAAAACGGTGGCCATGTTGGTGTCCTGTGGGAGATGAACTCTTTTCTTATGATGTAAACGCTTTCTTTTGTTGCAGCAAATTTGAAATCTACTGGTCACGTGAGTGAAAACGCCCTGTAGGCCGATCTCGACCGCAAAGCTTTTTTGCGCCCATTCGATTGCCAAGCTCGACCCCAGGTAGTGTTTTCCTTTTCCCGTTTTCTTCGGGCGCGCGAATGTTTTTTCTCTCCAAAGCGACGTGTTGAAACTCCAAAAGAGAGGAGGAAATAGGGCGAGTCTTGGGCAGCGCGGGAGGGGGCGGATGACAGATAATCCTTACCCTCACCCTCCCCCTTCCCTTCTTTCGCCCTAGCATCTACCCTAAGGGTTGCTATTTCTAATCTCCCCAATCTTACTCTGTCATAAAATCAAACATGGAGGTTACAACAATACGAACATAAACAAGCAGCTTTCGCCCGCCTAAAATACTTCTGCACTGAAGGCTATGTTAAAACTCTCACAAGCACCCTGTCGACTAGGTTGCGCCTAGCCTCGCTTTGATGAAGAGGCTTCAATAAATGCACAGTATTTGAGTGTCAATGTGTTTAGCACGAAGATCAAGGTACTAATTGAGGACACTATTTTTACGTCTCCAACTGAAGAAAGGACCGCCATTTTACGGTGGTAATCCAAGCGAAGGTTTAGCCACTTTTCAGGGTTGAAATGTAGTACCTTCATTCCCAGTTATTTTTAGACCCTGAGTTTTGGTTCGGTCCCGGGAATCGAAAGCCGAAACCTCCCGCTCTGCAGTGCAGTCAAGTGCTCTACCACCTGAGCTAATCCGTACCGCGGTTAAAGACAACTTAGCCTGCGTAGTTGTGCAGCCACGTGATGAATTTAGGGGGCATTTCAAAGCCCGCGTCCAACGTCTCCCCCAGGTCTTTTAAGTCTTAAAATAGCGAAAAGCCTCGAACGGAAACTAGGTTATTTCCGTGTCCTCTTCTCTTGCGGCGAGCACCGCGCGTCGTTACAGCTTATTTCAGCGCCCACTTAGTATCTCATGCGCTTTCTAGCTACGCCTGAAGTGAGTAGGCGTCTTGGGGGCGTGGCCGCCTTACCCAGCTTTCCTCCCTTGCCACCAGTGACTCGAGATTAAACTGCGCTAGCCTCATGTCGACTTTCACGTAATCCGCTAAAACAAGTACTTTCCAAAATCACGTAATCTCGTGACCAGCATATTTTTGCCAGCATTCTTTTCCACATTTCCCTTCCGGTTTGAAAAAAAAAAAAAGGCGTTAAGTCTTTTACGCGGAAATTGTACACAGCCATGAGGTAAGCTAATATATAAGGATATCAATTCCCGCACAAACTATTTCCAATAGTCGGCCTCATTGCTGCATCGGAATCTAGATTCGGGGTCATCGTTGACCATATCGCTGGCCTCGATTAAAAATCCATATAAGCTTGGATTGGGATTTAGATTTCGTGACTGCAAGAGAATCCTTGTCTCTTTTGAAGCCTGGTGAAACATCCTTCGCGACCTCTAGGCAGGACCAGATTGGATCAAAGTAAGGTCAAATAAGAGAGAGCGTAAAAAACTTAATCGAAATGAAGAAAAAGTGATCTGGCTTGGGGGTACATGTACCTCCAGGGGCCGATTTAAAGTTCTAGTGACTGTCGAGCCTCACAACAAGAGCAAAATCGTGCGAGTGATTTTTTTCGGCATTTCTTTTCGTGTTTATTTAATACTAACATAAATATAAAAAAAAAAATTTAAGCTATTTTTCATTTCGATTTTAGGTCTGAAGTTAAAGGAATAATATTTTATAAACGACTATTTTTGATAAAAATATGCTTGACCTTGGACTATTTTATTGTCTTAACATTTAGCAGAGGTACAATTTAGCATCAATTGCTTCGAATTGCAGACCAATCAGGCGCGGTCCTTCTGATCCGTAAAAATAATACTGGTAATGCCGGTTTAAAGCTGTTTAAATCGCCCTTTTCAAATTTTACAATATTAACCCCTACCTGAAATTAAAAAAAATGGATTGAACAGAAATGAAATATTGCTTCAAAGTCACGCGATCGATAAAAACATGCAATATCGTGTGCACAAGATTGTGAGATATTTAAATTAGTCGAGGGCACTCGAAGGAAGCTAAATTTCGATATAAGAGAGACATGGAAGACTTAAAGGTTAGTGTGTAAAGTTATACTTCCGCACTACAATACAGAAAATAAATATACCACCAGACCAAGGTCAGCTTATACTGCCTAAGGGGAAACCAGCCGACCAATCAGGTTATTCGTGAAGACAAGAGCCGACATTACGCTTATAAGTTTCCGCGTTTTTCGACTCAAATAGCTAAGATAAGTATAGGTTTTGGTCTAATACTTTTGAGTCCTTTTGCTGCAAACGTCTCTTATGGAGAGAACGCGAAAGAATATAGTGATTTTTTATTCTTGTGAACGAGCGAACTTCGCTTGTGTAGGCTTTTGTTTGTTGTCTGGAACAGAGAAAGATAAATTTAGCGGGAAAATATTTTTGCAAGGTAAGCAGTTTTGTTTTGAAAATTTCCATTTTGCTTCCCCTGTGATTTGTTAGAAACAGTTTAAATCCTTATTTCGAACGTAAGTAAAAAATATTTTGCCCGTATTATAGTATTAAGCCGTTGCGTGTCTCACGTTATGTTAAATAGCGATTCCGCTAACTAGCTTTAGTCCGTTTCAAATTTAAATATATATGAAACCAGTGGTGGAACTGTAGCAGTCATCATATCTACAGTATTTTTTGAATAAGAATGGCGTGTGATAGGTAACCAGTAACCTACACGTTGTAATTCCTTCGACACTTGGAAGATCGTATTAGTTACGGATAAAGTAATCAAGCCAAAATAGACATCGAATTAGAATAGCATAAATTTGAATCCGGTGGCTTTCCAGAGAAAACTCACGCAAATACACAGAAGAGCTTGCGTGGTTCAAGGCATCTCTCACGTGATTAGAACAGCGAGTTTTGATTGGTCAAATTGATTCGTGTACGCCACGGCGTGTTCACTGTTCCTACCCCTCTAGTGTGGAGACGTTTCCGTGCATTTCAATGATTTCGACAATGAAGCTTCGTTTCTTTATATAGAAATGTACGGATTTAGAAGTGGAAAGAGCAAGGTTGGAGATAATGATTACTGGTCGCGTTAAAATCTCCTGAAAGACGCATGGTTTATATGAACTTCGCGGCAGTGTCCGAACTTCTCTTCTGTCCTTTGTTTTGTTGTGGCGATTGAAATTCACTTCTGTCACTCGAGTTCACGTTGATTTGAGAGCCGAAACTGGTAAAGTAGGCGAACTTGGCCAGTAATATGCTCAATGGTTTCCCAAGTGGATGTCTTGAGCGATCGAGAAAAAGAGATTTTATCGAATTATGACAGGTTAGAGTTGAATGTGCTTGTTTGGGTGTCCTGAATTCTTCATATCGTTTCATTGGTTGTGCTGACCGTTGTTAATCTCTCGTTTCTCTAGCCGCCTGTACGGATTTTTACGAGTTCAAGATCCTGTTGGAGAACCGTCCTTGCCTGATCTGACTCATAAAGCATTGTTACAGAAGGTGTGTATGGAAGTTTGCAAACTTCTAGCTCGTAATTCGTGAATGGTGTTGCTCGAATAGTCATGGTCTGAGCTTAGCTTCCAGTAGCATACTACGGTATTGTCTGCTCGCCGAGCAATTACAGCTTACTGTAGGTTGTACGCGGAATAAGGGAAGATCTGATTTACAGGAAGTGATTTATCTGTATTGTAATTTCTACCGTTATTTTTAGGGTGTAGCTTTTCTCGAGAAGGAGTTACGACACGAAGGAAAGACGATACACCCGTCCACCTTCTGCAAACTAGGACACATTCACCTGTTGCTCGAAGATTTTCCGAAAGGTACAAAAAATTCCTGCGTTTCACTTAACGTTTACTTTCAAAATACGTTGCAAAAAGCAGCAAATCTTTGTTTAAAGTAGGAAAGTTGTTATTTCATGCTATCCGATGTTCATTTCGAGTGAACTTGCACTTGTATGGCTTACAGCGCAGCTTATGTAAGACGGTAAGCTGTCTTAAATAGTATTGATTTAATTCAGTGTATATTTGCTTTCAATCTGTGGCCTTTAAAATTTTTCCTCGTTTTATTTTCAGCTCTTTCAGCCTATCAGAGGTTCTTTAACGCTCGACAAGTTGATCACTGGAAGGTAATGATTACAAATAATTTGATTAAGCTATATTCTCTTGACTGTGCATCTAATCGTATTTAATAAATTTCAAATTTGGTTTTCTTGTGCATTTGTTATAATCAAAAGATTAATAGGTGCTCAGATTATGTCTGCTCATCAGAAATGGTGTAAAGATGGAACATCATAAGTGTTGAATCGTGTCGACGGAACTTGTCCGTTTGCACGTGAAAATGGCCGGCAGTTTTCATATTACAGTCGCGCGCCGATCTTGTCGTTGCAAACGAGTTACGCTTAAAATTCCCTCAAATTTACAGTTCTGAATAATTCTTTTAAATTCTCCCTTTTTTTGCAAACAAACCCCTCTAAATGTGGTTTAAAGTTTAAACGAAGATTCCATGTCTCGCTCCAAAAATATTTTACCGATTAACTTTCTAACGTTTCATTAACCATCCTTTCAAGCAAACATACAGTTTTCTGCTTTCAGACAAAAGCTAGTTGACTACATGAATAATTGAAAAGTTATTTTTACTTTTTATCAATTCTGAGCTCTTCGTGTTGAAATCAAAGCAGAACGGAAGTCGATTTAAACCATTTAAACACAGCTCAGGGAAAATCCCTCAAATAAGTGATTTTTGGTTGCTAATTTTGTCGATTTTCCAAAGTTGTAGTTGTGTGCTATTTATTGTTGTTTTCAATATATCAAATGATATTTGACTTTCCTTTTTTGCATTCAACTTAATACTTTACCGTGAAATTGCTGTGTTACATTTTAATTTGAAATATATGTTTTCAATTGCATGAAACTTTATACTGTCAACAGAATGATGTTTTTATTGACATCATAATAACCCTTTACAGAAATGTACTTTGTACTAAAATAAACAAGTGTAGAAAATTTGGGAAAAAAGTGGTTGATTTCACGATAGCTGTTATATGTATGTGTGTGCACTCACTTGTCTCCATAAATGTGACCTCAGGCTCAAAAATGTTTAAGGATTTATTTTTCTTGTACAATCAACCCTGCTTTATGGACAGCCATTTAATACGGACTCCTCATTGTTATGGACAGTTTGCTTTGTCCCTGGGGAAAGAAAGCCCCTACATTTTTCTCTAAACTCAACCTGCGTAATATAGACACTTTGTTAATACCGACATTCTCTATGGTCCCCTCAGTGTCTGTATTAATTAGCGTGCATGCAACAAAGATTTAAGTGCAAAATAATAATAGCTGGATAGACCAAAACAAACTGTTTGTTGACAGAGCTGGGAATAATTTAAACATTTCTATTAATGGAGATGTTTATTAAAGTTTACCATTGGACATTCAATATATAGACAACTTTATTACATGCGCACAAAATATGTACAAAATATAAAAATAGAAAATTAAAGTTACTAGACAGTTACTAGGTGATCATAGATTGTACTGTAGGATTTATAAGAGAAAACTTAAATGCAATGTTTAAAGTGATCCTGCTTTTGATTGTCTGGATAAATATTGTTTTGGTTAAGGCTAATGATCCATGTGGATCTTCTTTTGAGGCAGGTAGATCTATCAGTGGTTAGAAATATAATAAAGAAAATACATGTATTACTTTGGAATTTACTAAGCAGCCATTCAATTGGCAAAAATTTTGCTGATTAAGATATTTAACAAATTTTGACTTACTGATGGCACAACTACCACTGGGGGAAAAAATGGAAAACAATGTTTCTGTAAAAGCACCCATTTGTAGAACCTCTTAGTTTTAAAGAATTGTGTGGAGTTTTGGGAACTGTGCCAAATTGTCTCAGTTTGAGCAAACGTGTCAGGCTCCCACATGTGAAACCTGTCAGAAGCCCTGATATGATAAGTGTATGTCTTTGGCTTTCGATAGCCAGGATGGTAATGGATTGCAGCTAAAAAAATTGGGCAAACATTTTCAATTTTAACTCTGGTATTGTGAAAAATGACCAAAAACTGATCATTCTTTAATTACTTTGGTGAGTAGAATTTACCTTTTCAGGAGAGGAAAACTGCAACTGATTGTTTCTGCCAAATTTTAATCTTTATGTAAAGCAGGTTCTATAGAGTATGACAGGATGATTTTCAATATTACAAGTTGACTAATCTTGGTTAAAAGATGGTCAAAACAGTAGTTCCAGTAAAGACCATGAAACCAAAAAAAATTGTGCATTTCGGTTTCCAATCTTAAATCATGATTATTTTGGTTTTTCTGTGTGAGACATTTTGAGCTTATTGCAAGTTTTGAAATTGGTTATGTAACCAGAAGTCAGTTACATAACAATTCAGAATCATAGAAATTGTGTTACCGGTATTTTCATATAATTTTGTGTTCAAAGATAACTGCGTTGTGGTTTGTTTCTTTAGCACAGAAAAAAGAAAATACTATATGAGCTGCATATGAGAGCCTTGAAAGTCATTGATCACAAATTTTCTAAGCAGAAGTGTTTTGGTAAAATCTGTTCTCAGGTTAAACCAGAATTTCATTTGTCCGCCCTGAATAATTATAGAACCAGAAAAAAAGAAGGAAATTCTGGAGCAAACTAGGTTGAAAAGGTGTTTTGACCCTTGAATGGATTTTGCTTACAGCTTAAAACAAAAGATGTTGTCCTATGAGATCCTCTTAAGAATGGAATGAGGGAGGGGGGGAGGGGGGGCAGGGGGATACATAATTTCAGAATCTTTAGTTTCAGGTATTGAGGAGAAAGCCAATTCCATGTGGATATTTTACCATATAAAAAAATTGTATTTGTGGTTGTCCTCGTCTCTGTCACAGTTTCCACGCATCTTTATACATGTCCTTTGTCAAAGTTTAATCTGTCTTAACTTGCTGTTTCAAGGCCACATCGCTCTTCAAAATTATATCCTAACAGGGTCTCTCCAATGTTTCCTTAATCTTTTGCACATACTAACAAATGTAATATATTATAATTATTTATATTATTAATTTATAGCCCTAGTTATTGCCTAGTTCACATAAACACGTGCCACTGAATCAACAAATTAATAACCAAGTATCATGTTGTCCATAAACTTAGAAGTTAGTTATGAATCAATAATTGAAATCTCAGCCAAAGCAATGTTGCAATAGATTGACACCTCAGGACCATAAAGTGAGAAACTAAAAAACCAGAATACTTACTGTAGCCTTTCCACAGCAAAATAATTTGGAGATTTAAAACAGACTATATTAATTTTGATGCCTGAAGCTACATAAGAGGTAGCTGAAGCTCCTTTATAGTGCAAAAGCTTTATTTGATGATTTATTTGCAGATTGCTTGTTTCAGTCACACAGAAATAACATTTTGACACTTTTTTGGGTTTTTGTGGGTGGTATTTGTGTGAAGCCTGGTGTGATGCAGTTAAACAACTAAACTGTCAAAATTATAATTACCGTAGTTTTATCCTCAGTGTGGTTAATCTAAATTTGTCTTTTTTTAATCATTTTCAGGATGCTGCGTTTCTTTACGGTTTAGGGATTGTGTATTTCAATTTCTCTGCATATCTCTGGTACGTTTATTGACAGTTCTTTAGTTATGTACTTTCTGATGAACACCCATGGAAACTATTTTCAAGTTTTCTCCATATTTATAGAGAAACCTGAGAGCTTTAATTTTTTGTGAGAGGACATTCTCTTCATCAAAGGTTAAATATTACACTGTGTGTTTTAATACTGTCATAAATTTGAACTTACAGCAATTTAAATAACAATAGTTTGGCTTGGGAATTACTGAAAATGAAATAACTACACTGTACAGCATACACATTTAAAGAGGTCTGTCCAACAGTGAGAGCTTTATCCTTAGTCAATGGTCATTTTTTTACTACAATGTAATTAAAAAGAAGGAACATTAATTTTGTGGTTGACGTTTTTGTGTTAAAACAGGGCAGTAAAGATTTTCCAGCAAGTGCTGTACATAGATCCAAGTTTCAATTGCTCCAATGAAGTTCACCTCAGATTGGGAATTATTTTCAAAGCACAAGGAAGCAGTGAAGCAAGCATAAAGGTATCAACTCTTTAGATTTGTTAGTTAGCTGGTCAGGATAAACTTACTAACCTAGAACAAATACTGAGCAATTGAAGTTAGTAGTTTCCAGCACCTCACAAACACCTTATTCGTCCAAAACTGTTGACGCATTTTCGATTGAAGAAACAAAAACACAGAAACTCACATTTCAAGACTTCATAGCCAATAATGTCACAGTTTAGCTGATATATGAGCAACAACATCTGACTTAATCAGGCCTTCTGATAGGGTGCAATGAAAAATCAGAAATTATGCGGCATTTTCAGGGCAGATTGTGTGATAAGATGGGGCTTTTTTCAGGGCTAGTTTACAATGTTTTACCAGGTTTCAAAGGAGAAAAACCACTTTAATGTTGTTTAACAGGCAGTTTGAATGTAAAGGAATAGTAAAACATCTATTTTAAAACAAAATTGTTAAATTTGTCCAATTATCTTGATTCGGAAATAAAAAGCAATTACAAAAGAAAATAAAAAGACACTTGTTTAATATTACATGACGCTGTTAAACTGCTGACCACACTGCTTGTCTCTGAAATAAAAGTGGCTGCCCAGATACTGTGATCGAAGGTTTCAGATGTCTTTCAAGGCTTTCTTCAGTCACTGTGGTAAATCACCTTAAATAACTTTAAGATTGGGAAAATGTGTTATTAAAGTTAGAATTCATTCTTTACTTTACTCGAATTTAGCATTTTTTTATGAATTATGCAATTTTCCTCAAATTGTGCAGTCGGACACAATTTGAGGTCAATTGTGCAAAAGCGCACTATCGCGTAGTATCAGATAGCCTGCTTAATTGACCAATGGGGTCAGTACTTCAGAGTTCCATACCATCTACTGACAAGATTCACAATTCACAATTCACAATTATTCACTTTATCTCTGAAGATGAGTACTACACAGGTTGTTGAAACATCAATCACTGTCAGCAATAGTCCTAATCATTGTACTCACCCGCCTCAATAAGCATGTTCATGCACCCACATACCGTAAAAGTTCATATAGAAACTACAAGGTAATTGTATTGCATGTTGACAAAATTGATGTGAGCTTAATCAAAGTCAATGCCAGTCACTGAAAGCCATTACAAGTAAATGTAGATTGCAAGTACAGTAGTTCCCCTGTTTTGTTACCATGTACCTCTTAAATGCCCTAGTCTATTAAAATACATTGTAACAGTAAACTTGTGTCGACCATTTAGTTGGTCAACTTAAGTGCTAACACAGCTCTGACTTAAAAGTGACAATGAAAAAGATAATGACAGTCTGGTTTTATTTTCTAGCACTTTCAAATGGCCCTAATGGATTCCAGTCCTTGTTCATTGTCAAAAGTTGAGAGTAAGTTTGAACAGCTTGTAAAAAAATAATGTCTTCCTTGTCTGTACTGAAGAAATAGTAAATTAATTTAATAATGCTGTGATGTAAAAGTTTGTTTAATGGCTCTCCATGTGTTTGACTTGCAAGGTCCATGTCATTGTGCAGAGTGTTTTTCAAATGAATATGGACTTAATTTGAAAGAAACTTTGAGCAAAATTTAGCCCCAGTTGAATTTTTATTGAAAGTGTTTGCGCAAGATATTAGATTGAGAGCTGAGGTGTGAAAAAACGGAATTGCTTCTGTCACAAACATTTTAACAACTGTATCAGTACACTTATCACATCAACCATATTTAGAACCAGTTTTGCATTCTTTGCAATCCCCTCTTTTAGGCATAATTTATTTTTTGATGTTCATGTATAGTAAGTTCTGACACTGTAAGTACAGCTGTACATGGTATGCTGTTACCTGATACTGTGTACCCTTGTCTAGCCATGTAATTTGCTGCCTATCTGCATAATTGCTGTCCCTTCACAAGATAGTCATACCGAAATGCTTGTGACATAATGTTCTTTTTTTCGAACTTTGCGATAGGCCATTTGCACGATGATGTCATTTTACTACTACAATGACGAGAATCCTTCATGGCTTTGCTCTCTTGTGCAAATTAGGGCTTTTGTTTATTAAAGCTCACTTAGATTACCAAATTTACAATGTAAATTTGAAAGGAGAAACGAAAAGGATTCTGGCTGTAGTAGTAAAATGAAACCATTTTGCAAATGGCCTATTACAGATAATCAACCTCTTTGCCATGTTTATGTACAGTGTACCTGTATGTTTGCAAGACCGTCTTGTTAATTCCTGTTATTTTGTCAATTTTGAAAAATTTTAGTTCGATTTCACCTTGGCCACCTTTTTGAGATGCAGAACAAGTGTGACTTAGCACAAGAAATGTATGAAACCATAATAGAGACTCCGAACGTACCTAACAGCATCAGAGCTAATGCCTATAAACAACTGGGTGAGTACAAGCTATGTCAGTTAACAACAGGTTCATGGGCAGCGTATATATGTTGAGAGATGAAGCATGCGGGAAGTTTGGGGAGCATGAAAGAGGCATAAGAGTTGCTCAAGGCACAGCCAAGTGCAACTGTATCCTCTTTAAACTTTGCAAAGAATGATTTGCATGCTCCATAGCTCACCCATGCAGATGACAACAACAACACTCCCCTACTCACCTACTATCTGTCGACAAATTAACACATTATCAGTCATGATCGACTGACAACAACACTAACAGGCCTCACTCAGCTAAACCAATATCAGAGGCAACTGAGGCTGTTGCTTTATTTAAAATTTTGAAGTTTCTTGTGAGAGAATAGTGTGCCTTAGGATAAACATGGCCAGTAAGATGGCAAAAGAAATGAAAACTTTTTTTCCTGCTATATTTGCCTATGAGGGAATTTTTGTTCAGTTATGGTCCTATTATCCATGGAATCCTTATGGGATAAAAGACAAAATTGAACGCTGATAATGACAGCCTTACTAAGGTGACACATGCTTTTTGAGGCAGCAGATTAGTTAACTGAGTAATTCCATTCACCTTTGTAGACAGTCAATAGTGATAGTCAAATCTGTAAAATACCAATAAAGTCATTGGGAAACTTTTTCTTATTACAAGTACGAAAGGTTAGCCTTGGTGATGATGGTTGTACATGTATTGATTGTCTCTGAACAGGGTGGATGTATTATAACAAGGAACACCTTGGAGATAGAGCATCCAGAATGGAGAAAGCTGTTCAGTTGCTACTAAAAGCAATTGAAACAGATCCTAATAGTGGTGCTGCCTGGTACTTAATAGGGAGGTGGGTGGAGATAATATTTGTCTATACTAAGCACAATTAAAGTAGCTGTTCAAAGTGGAAATACAAGTTATGTACGGGACATGTTTTCCATGAAACGTTTGTTGATGTTGCAGCTGTATTTGTCTAAAGTGTTTTAAACCCCAGTTGAAAGGAGTCTCTCTTTAAAGTGAGCCATCTCAAGTGATACCAAAATCAGCATTTTACATTCCTAAGCAATATGATAACCATGCCTGCCCATTTAACAGTGGATTTCCCTCCTTGGTGTCCTAAGTTTGACTCCCACTCTGACCTCACGCCAGAGATACACTATTTGTTTAAGCCTCAAGCTCAAATCCTCAGATGTACTTGTAAAATATTCTGAGTAAACTAGGTCAACTGTTGGGATTTTTAACTTATTTCATGTACAATTGTGTTTCAAATGTATGTTTCATCATAATGAGAGGCCTCTCAAGGGGAAGAGGTAACTTCCTTAAGTGTGGTTAGATGATGGGTGGCTGGGTGTGGGAAAGGTGACTATAACTTGGAATTATTGACAACCACTTAAAGAATGATACAGTATCAATCGACCAATGCTCCTGAAAAAAATGTTCATTTCATGTAACAATAATGTTGTTGTTTTATTCTGGATTAATTTTTCTCTGTATTTTGAACAATTTCTTTGAACCAGATGTTATGCCATGCAAGGAAAGGTGCATGATGCTTTTACATCTTATCGACAAGCTATTGATAAATCAGAGGCCAATGCTGACACTTGGTGCTCAATAGGGTAAGGTTTTCTGTGTTGAAATTTTAAGTCACAGTTGGGAAATTCTTCTCAGGAATGAGTGTGACATTCTTAATTTATTTATTTATTACTTCAACTGAATTTGTCCAAATTAAATAAATGCACCCTTCCCCCCTTTTTTAATTAAAAAGATGCATGTTTATGCTCAGGTTTTTACTGACTGTAAGTATTTGTGGATTTGATTTGTTTTCTCAATCATTGCAAAATAAAAGAAGCATACAACTTTGTATTATATTTTATTTTATGAATTATTGTGCCATACAGCTAATAGTTAATTCGTCTGTTCTTCTTTAGAGTTTTGTACCAACAGCAGAATCAGCCCATGGATGCTCTGCAGGCTTATGTATGTGCCATCCAATTGGACCCCACCCATGTGGCCGCATGGACAGATCTGGGTATTCTATATGAAGCCTGTGAACAACTGGGGTAGGAATTTTTTAAAATTATTTGTGGACGGGGCTTCTACAAGTATGCAGTGAAGTATCCTGCAACACTCTAGTTGTAGCTAATGTTTTAACTTTGATGTATGATGGCTGTCAATTGGCTGACCTATTCACCCTTAGTAATACTTGATGTTAATGTACCAAATGACCAACCAACCAGTCCTGCATGTACACTATGTAGTGTAACCTACTGACCAACTAGCCTGTACATGCACCTTCTGACCCACTGACCAACCAACTTTATAACATTAAGTCTTCCTTATCACCTCTCCAACCAACCCACCTCTTGCCTTCCAATTAACCAACCTACTAACTTTGCAGTGTTACTAATAGTAACCCACTGACTACCCTCCTTGCTATCTAACCAATCTACCTACCAACCACCTTACTGACCAACCTGTTGACTGCTTGCATCACTGACTTATCAACCAACCTACTGACTGCCTTCCTTACTATCTAACCAACCAACCAACCAACTGGCTGCCCTCCCAACCAACTTACCAAGCATCCTACTGACTGCATTCCAATCCCCTGCTGACATACTTCTAACAACCAACCAACTTACTTCCTCTCTGGCCTACACACCTACCTACAGCGTATCCACTGTCTTACTTACGTAATTGTGATTTAATACCTCAATGTAGAGATATTTTTCTCAATACTTCTATCTCAGTCTGTAATACTATCTAAGCGGTATTTTTATCTTACTCTACTCATGACATTATTTTGTTCTTGATCTCTTCTTTAGTGATGCCATTTCATGTTACAGTGCAGCCAGGAGATATGGTGAGTTCTTTGATAATTCCTCGGTTGTCATACATGTGATATGTTTTTGTAATTTTAAGAAGGCAGCTGAGGATTCCATTTTGCCTTGAAAAATTCCATTAGTCCTTGAATACTATTCATTGAAAAAGAGTTTGACAATTTTAAAAATTGATCTCCAGTTTCTTCCTCAAACATGTACAGTGTTGTAGTTTCACAGGTAACCCAGGCTCTGTGATAGTACCACAGTACTGTTCCAGTAAAATTACAGTGTTTGTATGGGGTAAAAATATCATCCTAAAATTTCTAGGAAATACTAAATAAAGATCAATGAAACTTACTCTGCAGTTAATTGTTGTTGTCCTTATTGCTCCAACGAAGTTTCGTGATAATTTGCAGTAATTTGTTCAAATTCACTCTATCTACAATAATAATATACAAGGTAGGAAACACGAGGTGCCATTTTCGCCCGACATGCTCTCATTCAACACAACTTTTTCCACGAAATTCGAACTCCAACGGAAAATAAACATGCCAGGATCGTAGAAATAGGATAGCAGCAGATATAGAAACCAATGAAGCTTTCCCAGATAGAGAAACGAATCCCACAGACTTGGACAAACTCAAGAATATAATCCAAACACACCGAGAATACTTGAAGAAGCAGCAGGCCAGATCAACGCGGCCAAGAAAATGAAGCCTGGGCACTGTACAAAAAAAATTCCATCCGGGGTCCTGGGGTGACCTTTCTAGGGACCGATACATCATTTGCCCAAAGCCACCCTCCCCTGCTGGAAAAATACTTGATAGAAGGCAATTGTTCTTCTTAGCTAATCACCATTTGCCAGAGCAAACCCGCACACGCAGCGCCTGAATTTAAATGGCTAAAAAAAAAGTAATATAATCAGGAGAGTCTGCGGAGTTACAAGGCGTCCGATTTCTTCTACTAAGGAATGCAAATAACAGTAATGAAACTAATGAAAAAACAACGCGAAATGCTTACAAGGCGGGCTAAAAACAAGGTTGAACAAAAGGTAGATGATGACTGAGATACTGTTGCTGTGAACTCTCGGCGAAACTATCGTAAATAAACGGTGAAGCTTACAAACTAATGTCAAAAATTATACAGAAAATTGCGACAGAATATGAATTGCGATAACTGAGGCGAATGTGAAAGGCACGTGCACTAGTAAACAAAGAACTAGCGCGATTAACATATTTAGCGATTAATGCGGCAGTAACGCCCGACTTCTTGTCAATACAAGTGAACGCTCTATCGGTTAAATATGTGAATCATCGAGATACACCTCTCTTTGAATTTGGTCCTGTTGTACAAATGCCTCGGTAAGAGCCAAAATTCACTTATATCTTTTGGTCGTTTTAAGTTTTGTAAATCCTCCTTCGTTGTTCTTTCCTTTGCCCTTATAACCTTGCCCTATTGATGTTTGATAAACTTTCTGAGGACCAGCGCCAGGAGCTGAATATAGTTCGAGAGGAAAATAATCTCTTTATATATAATAGGCCATAGTGATTGGCTAGGAAGAACAATTGCCTTCTATCAAGTATTTTTCCAGCAGGGGAGGGTGGCCTTGGGCAAATGATGTATCGGTCCCTAGAAAGGTCACCCCAGGACCCCCGGGATGGTATTTTTTTGTACAGTGCCCAGGCTTCATTTTCTTGGCCGCGCGTTGATCTGGCCCGGCTGCTTCGGCGAGCGTATTCTCGGTGTGTTTGGATTATATTCTTCGAGTTTGTCCAAGTCTGTGGGATTCGTTTCTCTATCTGGGAAAGCTTCATTGGTTTCTATATCTGCTGCTATCCTATTTCTACGATCCTGGCATGTTTATTTTCCGTTGGAGTTCGAATTTCGTGGAAAAAGTTGTGTTGAATGAGAGCATGTCGGCGAAAATGGCACCTCGTGTTTCCTACCTTGTATATTATTATTGTAGATAGAGTGAATTTGAACAAATTACTGCAAATTATCACGAAACTTCGTTGGAGCAATAAGGACAACAACAATTAACTGCAGAGTAAGTTTCATTGATCTTTATTTAGTATTTCCTAGAAATTTTAGGATGATATTTTTACCCCATACAAACACTGTAATTTTACTGGAACAGTACTGTGGTACTATCACAGAGCCTGGGTTACCTGTGGTAGTTTCCGTCTGTTAGAGTATGAAAATTATTTGGTAATAATGTGGGACTTCATAGGGAGGTGTATCATACATACCTGTAACGTCTATTGTGCAGTGAATTATGGGACTTAATGTCAAGTAGATTTGGCATAGAGCACTTAGATGTAGAGTTTGTTTAATATATAGAATGTTTCAGAGGATGGTTTTGGCTCAGTTTCCAAAGCTAGAAAGCCTTGAATTAGCATTAAAGTCTGCTATTTTTCATGTGATTTCTCATGATTAGATGTGACTTAAAATCAGTTGTTGCAGAATGCCATAATTGCATTATATCTGTTCAAAGCCCATTGTTTGGAAAAACTGTAAAAATACTTTAATTACTGCACTACGAGGCAATAAAAATGCCAAAGTTCATGTTAATAAAAAGGAGTAAGAGTGGAAGTTACCTGAAAATAACATTGTACTGTTCTGTCTCACAGGTGCTACAGACAGCACCATAGAGGCACGTGTTAAAGCCCTGCAGGCTCAGCTGGCGATGATGCCGCAGCAAGGAGAAGGTCAGAAGAAGTAAGTGTGCTTCTTTTCTACTTCTTTATTGGTGGAAAAGGATGTCTTCACTGAAATTCAACTTTTAAAAATCAAAATGCCCCTACACATTTCTAGAAGCATGTCAAAGGCCGTTTTTAACTAATAATGTCATACTCAAGGTCATGCATTTCCCATTCGGAAGATTTTCACACTTGACGTTTTGGACCACTTTTGTAATATTTCTCTTTTCAGGAATATCCCATCTGTTGAGGAAGCTTGGAAGTTGCCAATTCCAGCAGAGCTCACAACAAGAACAATACGAAATGCACAGGTACACTTGTAAACTCTATGGGGAGAAAGTTCTGTATATTATAAGGAAACGTTGCTTGAAAAAAAGTGACATAATCTAATGGAAATTTAGTAAATTATGTAAACAGTTGAACTGTACTTTATGGTTCATGTTAGTTGTGCCCTGGGCCCAGTTGTTGTAGATGGTGAATAGTACTATCGGCTGGTTAATCTCTATCCAGTGGATTATGTAATTGCAGGGTTTGAACAGGGTCTTTCCAGACCTGGAAAAAGTCTTGAAAATAGAGATAAAGTCTTGAAAAAATGGTAAAAAGTCTTGGGTTTTTTTGATGTGGCTAAATGTAAAAAAATGTTTTTTTCATGCTGGTCAAATCTTACTCAATCTTACCTGTACATGTACATGTACGTTTGCAGCACATCGTGGAAAATGCTTTGTTCCTTTATTTTCTTATAGGTCTAAATTGATCACCTATTTGATAACCTTGAGACTGAAAAAGAAATTATTGTTTCAGAAAAAGCGTGGAAAAAGTCTTGAATTTTGGATCCAAAAATCTCTACCAACCTTGTAATTGGTTTGCCAGTAGTTAACTGCTGGATAGTGATTTATCTGGTGGATAGCGCTATCCAGCCAGGGCCTGGGAAATTGACTGATTTAACTGAGATCCTGGAAACCTGCCTGCTGTTCACTTCACAGTTGAGCCTTCTTTACGTTCTAATAATGATATTGATAATTCCCATTAACACTGTCAGCTGAAGATGCCTGTCTTGATTTATAGGTAAAATTACTAACCAGTGGTCAGATACAAGCTCTGCAGCCTCAGCAACAACAACAACTTCAACAGCTTTACCTACAACAACAAGCACAAGTGCAACAACAACAACAACAACAACAGCAAGTAGCTGTATTGAACAGTTCACAGGTTAATACTCAAGCTCACTTGGACGACAGTAAGAATGTGACAAATCATGCTGCCTTTCAAGGCACAAAAGCAGAAAATCATGTTCATCTTAATGCAAATCAAACTTATCAGCAGGGCATTCCTAGTACAAGCTTACATAATAACTGGTCAGAAATAACTGTGCCACAAGTGACTCAAAATGGAGTGATTGCGAATTCTAACAGTAGTGTGGTACAAGCTAGTACAGCACAAGGAATATCTGATCAGTCTGTGTTAATATCACAACCGCAAGCCACTGTTCTGTCACAGGCAGACTCATTTCAAACCCAGGTGTGCCGTGAGTCTACTGTGAGTGCCATGGAAACGGCCTACGTGGGAGCTCAACTGTTACAAGCGAATGCCACAATAGGCTCAGACTCTGGAACTTTATCAACACTTTCATCAAACTTTGTTTCAACGTCTTCTGATGTACTTCTCAGTCAAAGTGTTGTTTGTTGTCAAGGAACGACTTTAACTTCCAGTGGATTAGTGACTACAGCATCAATGCCTACATCAGAACCTAGTTTGCGAAGTGGAATTGATACAACTATTTTAAGTGAAATTAATTGTTCGACTGATGCTAAGTCCAGTCCGCTAACAGGGAGTAGTGATCCGACACTTAGTAATGGTCCTATTTCCAGCTATTCAGTGTTTTCATCGTCAAATGCTTGTGCGAGTGGTATGGCTATTTCTCCGTTCTCGTCCCCTAATTATGTCATGTCACCCACACAGAAATCACCTTTCCATACTGGAGCAACCCTCTCCCCAAGTATCACGCAGCCACTCTCTATCAACCCAAGCTGTTTATCACCAAGTTCAGGTCTACCGGGAGGGCACTCTGCGTTCTCCCCTTCTCTGATCCCGTCAGACCTCTTGTCACCAACAAAACAGCTAGCAGTCATCTCACCTGCATCCTCCAAGTCACCATTTAATCTCAGTTCAGGAGGTGATAGTTTGGCTGTGCCCAAATTAAATTTATTGTATGATTCCATGGCCATTCCATGTCCTCCACCGACACCCACTCCTCCTCTACCCACTGACAAGCTGTCACCACAAACACCAAGTATTTATGTAAGTATAATTTTATTTTAACTCCTTGTAACTATTGAAATGGTTAAATAATACATGATACAGTGGCATTAAACTGTACAGACATTATTAGCAGGCTCAAGTTATGGTACCAAGGATGGGGTGGTTTCTCCCACTTAACATGCATATCACCCCAAATTTGATAAAATGTTGATGAATTCTACAGTGTTCTTGCTTTCATCTTTCAAACAAGGTACCATTTGCTTGAATCAGCTAATACTAGCAGCCTTCATGCTTAGTTAAAGAGTACGAAATTTGCCTATTTGAACAGCTTTTGGTCGGAAGGCCATGTAGATAATTTTTTTTATATATAGTTCTCTGGGTCGAGTGAAGATTATTGACCTATTTTGAGGCATTGTTCTTAGCTCTTCCCCGCTTTGTTGTAACTTCTGCTTTAACTCCTCTTCCATCGCTCCATCTTCCAATAATTATATTGTAGTCTTAGATAAACTCAGATAACTCACCAATGGCTTTTTGTTGTAAGGATTAACAACATTTTCACATTCAGCCCCTTCACTTACATGGGTAGTTGGGTCATAATTTTCAACTTCTTCCTGAAAGTTTTGTTAGCGGCTGGATATTTGGTGCCAACCCAGGAATAAAGTTCCTTTCTGAGTCGTCAGAATCGATGCTTGATAGGCCCTCAGAGAGAGATCTTTTTAGACATGAAGATGGTGATTCAAATGAGCCTAAGCAACAATGACAGCAACGAGAACGGCAAAGAAACAAGTTTGGATTAGCAAAGCAACTGTTTTGCACAAACATCACACTTTTTTGTTTATTTCTTTGCCGTCGTCGTTGCACGACAATGATCTGAAAATTCCTAATTTCACATTTTGTGGAGGACGTAAACACGAGAAAACGATTTTCTAATTCTTTTTGTAAACCTAGATACAGTCCTTTGGAATATAACTCCAGAAAAATTCACTAACATTATTTTGACAAATTGTTTGAGATGTGACATGGACAATGCAAGGAACAATGAATATTGAAACAGTGTGGATTCCACTTTTTAGAGATTCAGTCTCACACGACATCAGGCTCTGACTTGTGTGCTGGGCACATATTAAAGTGAACAATGCCTCAAAATACGTCACTCACCCCAGGCCTAAAATGTCACGGCGTAAGATAAAATTCTACATATTTAAAAATCTGTAAAAAAAATTGAGATTAATCTAAAATTGAAAACAATCGGTGGCATTGCTTATTACAAGCTAAAGTTTTCTTTTTTTATTCTATTCTTGAACAGATAATATATTTGGGGTGATATACACTTTATGAGAAAAATTAATGTTGAACGTTGTCAAGAACATTGTCATGGGATGTTAGGAGATAATGATAATGACTGAGAAGTTTAAAGCTCATTTATACCTTATCCCAACTTGGTTATAATGTTTTGTTTTTGAAATGTTTAAGCTGTGATTAGCTATTATACTTCTCAAACTCATTAACAATTCATAAAGAAAATGCAAAGGAAATTTATATTTAGTGTTTGGAAATCAGATGAAAAACTGCTCATTTTTGCATCAGATCCCTAATTTCTCCTTCTAAAATGATTTTGGTTGAGAAGCAATATCATATTTTGACACAGTGTTTCATGACCAGATGAAACACCTCAAATTTCGTCAAAAATACTCTGCTGCAAGTTGCATTTTTATAACTCTCTTCTCCATGTTTCATCTGGTAATGAAACACTGTGTCTCATGCTTGATATCTTGCATGAAATTCCTTTTGTGCCTTTATTACAAGTTTTTAAATACGTTTTTTAATGTTAGGTTGAGAACAAGAAGGATGCATTTTCAGCAGCCCTTCAAAATCTGGTTGTGGACAATGCCAATCCCATTCTAGTTATCAGAGGACTAGCGGCAGCTCTTAGATTAGGTTTGTATAAATTTATGTTTTTTTCTTTTCATAAAACATTGAGAATTGCCATGGGTTGAAGAATGAGTCTGAAGATTTTAGTGCTTTGAGGAAGTTCTTGAAATGGGCATATCTTCCACAAGCAGGATTTGAGCAATCTACAAACAACCGCAAAAGCATGCACAATGACACTGGCGGGTGCACCATTGTGTTAGCCCTGGAAAGCTGCATAACGTGCATTTTTTATGCCGTTAGATTGTTTGTACATCACTGCAGGCAATATTACCACTATTGTGCAAAATTATCTCAAGTTGAACTTCATGTAAATTAAATGTAGCCCCATTAAGCCATAAATAATTGGCTTGTTATTCGATATTATTAATGAAGGATGCGTTTATTTTTATTGGTTATAATATTATATTAACTTTGTCTTTCATTTTTGATACTTGCAGATTTAAGTTTATTTTCTACTAAAACTCTGGTTGAAACGAGTGGAGATCATCAGGTGGAAGTCAGAACTCAGGTGTGTAATTTATTTCCTTTATATTTATAGTGGAGGGATATAAATAAATTAATGGTTTACAAAAGCAACAAGTGGTCCAAACAGCAAATTAAAAGGTCAAGTGCAGTTTCTGTTAATTTGGAGTATTATCATTTAGTTCCTTTCAATAGGTATCGTCACCAAGAATAATTATTGTTTGTATGAATGGAAATATGAAAAATGATAATGGCCAAGTCTTGCTACACGTTTGTAATAGAAACTCTGCTAGCTTGAAATAAAAAGCAGAAACATAAACCTTTGACTGAGAACAGGAGACAGTTGACTGGAACTTGACAAAGTTGAGCCAACATTTTCAGTGAAAGAAAAAATTTTGAATTGTAAAGCCAGCTATCGTATTGTAATGGTGCATCCATTTATTTAGACTGTGTGGACAGTCTTACCTTCGGTATTTTGGAAGTAATTTTTGTAATTTGTATTTTCAGAGGCTCCAGGCTTCAGACGAAAACTGGGATGCACCTGGGGAGAATAAAGTTTGGCTTTGTGAGAGTAGCAGGTAAAGGTTATTATGTTTTGAACAACTTTACACAATTGTTGTGCTCGCAGTCACAGCACTCAATAGTTGCAACCACCTTGTTCAGCGTGTTAAATAGTGCCAGATGAAAGTGCTGTACATTAGCTTTCATTTGATGGTCCCACATCAAGATTTCTTGACCAGAGTTAGAATTAGACTCACTTTTTGTAGGGTAAATGAACATTGCAAGTAGAATACCGGAGTATGCAATGCAGGAAAATACAGCTATATGTTACAAGTCAAAAGTATATTTCAGGTTAACCTTAGCTGATTCTCAAATTATCTTTGTCTCCCAGGTCCTCATTCATGAATAGTCAGGACTAGGAGACAAAGGAAATTGAGATTCAACCTAGGTTGTCGAAATGTAACCTGAAGATAATTTGAACCTGTAACAGATACACTAACACGTATCGAATGTTGATTTCTAGGTCCTTCACGACCATTGCAAAGTATGCTCAGTACCAGGCCAACTCGTTTCAGGAGTCTTTGAAGGTAGAACCCTATTAATATTCAATGACATGTAACTCGCGAAACACTATGTTCCTTTTATTCTCGCCATTGAAAATTTTTGGTGTCTATATATGTGTGTATGACATGTAAAATGGTCCCTTCTGTATGGCATGCCTAAAAAAACTGAAAGGCTGATGTTTATTTATCGTAGTTTGTTTAGTTTAGAAGGGCAAGGTATATTTTGTTTTTTGTTTGTTTGTTTCCTGGTTTGCACTTCAGGAGGAGCAAGAAAGGCGGTCAGGGATCAAGGAACCTTCTCATTCAGACAGTGACTCTTCATCAGGCTCCAAGAAGTATGTAAAACTACAGTCGCACAATTGCTGGGACTTGAAGATTTTTTTAAAACGATCAGATAGTCATGATCCATGTTGTCATAGTGATGGTCATGATGCCTGTGTCATTGCTGTTGATGATGATGCTGATGATGTGGATGGGAATTGTGCATGATGATGATGATGATGAGTAAGCTGAGGCGGTAAAGGGTCTGTGATGTTGATGATGATGATAGTGGTAACGATGAGGTAGATGTAAGGTGATGATGATAATAATGCTGACGATAATGAAGCTCAGGTCGACGGTGGTGACATTAGAGAGATTAAGATTCACGTTTACGACATACCGCAAACGGCAAACGTCAGTTGAGAATTTCTCAGAATAGAAAATAAGCAGTCAAAAACAGTCCAGAACGATTCTTTTGGATAAAACTGGGAGAAAACTACTTATTTTTGTGTAGAAGCAGTAAACAGTAAACGAAAAATAAGGGAAAAACTTGGTCACGGGGTACAAATTCACGTCTGCCGTTTGGCGTAAACGTGAATCTTAGTCTCTCTATTAACAAACCTGAGGCTGAGGAGGCTGATGGTGACGTTAATGAGACTAAGGATGAAATTGATGATTGCTGGGGGGTGATGATGATAATAAAGGGGAGGGAGAATTTGACAATAAATATAGTGAAGATGCTACATGTTTTTTTTGAGGAGAAAGGGCGTCTATACACGCGTTGACGATGATGATGATGATAACGAGAATAGCTAAAACAATAATGATGTGCTTATACTAGTGTATTATGCCTTTACCAGGAAGATTACTCGTGGGTAAATTCCCAAAATGTAACTTGGTGAATCACTTTTTGTATTTTAGCGGCAAAAAAGGCAAAGGAAAGAAATTTAAGTGGATCAAGTTTGGTACCAATGTCGACCTTTCAGATGAGAGGAAGTGAGTTCAACTCTGAAAATGTTCCTTTAATGTATGTTTATAAACTTTTTAACCGGACTGTATAAATTATAAATTTCTATTTCTGTGCAGATGGAAAGCTCAGCTTCAAGAACTCACAAAGCTTCCACCATTTGCAAAGGTAAGCATCAGTAAACGTAGGCTTTCCATAGTCACTTACAGGACTCTTTCACCTGTAGATCAAGGCCATAGTACAGAAAAAACCTGCCTTTAAGAACCTGGGTTTTAAGAATCTGTTAGGAATAATTTGCCAGTTAAGCCCCCTCTATACAAGAACCTGTTATGCCTAAAAGTTGAAACAGGTTCTTATTTCTTTAAATCTGTAAAAAAATCTGTACACTTGGGCAAGTAAGATGAGTCAACATTCAGGATTCTCTTTGGAGACATAAATGCTTTATGACTCCAACTGCAAGAGTAATGGTATCACGTTTTTACCTAAGGAATAAGCTGAATACCACTAAATACTCTTAGCTACAATGTATTTTCTTCCTCAGAAAGTAAGAACCTATTTAACAACCCAACTACACTAAATTTGTGCTTATTGCCATTTATGTGAGAACCTGTTTAGGCTAACTTGGGGGAAATGCAGGTTCTTAGTCATGGGTTTTCAGTGTATTTGACTGAAGTGTAAGATAACTAGTTTCACCTACTGACTTTGACTTTGTGTTGATTTTTTAGGTTGTGAGCCCTGGAAACATGTTGAGCCATATTGGTCACACCATTCTAGGGATGAATTCCGTGCAGTTGTACATGAAGATACCAGGGTGCCGGACACCAGGTAGGTGTTTTAATGAGGCTTTTGTAACATAACATCACATAACGTAACATAACGTAACGTAACATAGCATAACATAACTCAGCATTTTGGGCGAGTTGACTAAAATTTTGGGCGACATAGCTCTGATTCCGGGCGACTTGACCGTAAACAGGTAAGAGTTCGGGCAGTTCATCCTCAAACAAACTAAGACGAACAAGAAGTGGCCTTGAGCAAGCAAGATGCAGAAGCTGCTTGCCCAAGTGACAAGCTGGGATTCAATTTTTTTTCGAGCCCTGAGAAGTACTTTAAAAACGAGTAACTACCTTTGTGTGTTTTGTACTTTGTCCTGTTCTTCATGGGTTGCTGTTTATGCAATAAATTCCCTTGTCTCATCAGGTCATCAAGAAAATAACAACTTCTATGCCATCAATATAAACATTGGTCCAGGAGACTGTGAGTGGTTTGCCACGCCAACCGAATATTGGGGAGTACTTCATAACATGTGTGAAAAGTAAGTTACTACAAAACGAAATGAAAGGGTCGGAGTGTAACCGATAATTTATGCAGGGTATGGAAATATATGTAAATTATGCAAATTTATGTCGAGTTTTGACCACCCTGTGTATACAAATAAATACCTCGTTAATAAGACTATCCTTTCGAACCAAAGGCAAAGACACTTGAGTTATTACAACCACCTCGTTACCGTACTACTACTAATTATTGATAATATTTGTTCAAATTAATTCAAATTGATGACCATAATTTCTTGTAATTGCCAGTTGCAGTGTTGCAGCATAAGATTTTCAGTTATTCTCTCTGAAATACTACACCACATGATCGTCAGTGATAGAGCGACATTTTGTTAAAAATTAGTGATTTAAATTGATAGAACTAACTTGTTGTCTGTTTTCCTTACCATTGCAGGAATAATCTGAATTTCTTAACAGGTAAATAAATATTCGCGATTCCTTGGTATTTGTAGTACAGTTTATTTTATCTAACCCACTCCGGAGACCTCATCTGAACATATAGGCAGTAAGTAAAAAGGCAAACTGACGAAAGTTCAGGCCCGGGTTGCTCAAACGTTGAATAGCCCTATCCACCCGATAAATCACTTTAGTAAAATCCAACTAGTGGTCTATTATCAATGCTGCGTTCTGATTGGTTAAGCTACTACTAGGCTATATGTTACAACCCACTAGTAGCAAAAAGCACCGGCTTTGAAAACCAAAACAATGGCGGCAGAATCGCCTTTTGCTAGCTAAAGTTGTTTTGTCTCGATATTTTTGACCAACTAGTTGGATTTTACTAAAACAATTATTCCTCTCGCCCTCATGGCCTCTGAGTCAATAGCCCATTCGGCCTTCAGCCTCATGGTCTATTGACTCAGAGCCCATTCGGGCTCGACAAATAATTGTTAAATATCCAGCGGATAAGTGATAGGAAAACCAATTGCGCTTTCCAGTGGATAGAGATTTATTCGTTGGGTAGTCTTACCCACCTTTGAACAACTGTGGCCAGTAGGACAGGAAGTAGGAGACGTTCAACTGTATCGGCTTCAATCGTAAAACACGGTCTATCTTCCTTTTTTACTCGTGTGACTCTTGGAGTAAGGGTGACGTAGTGGTGACAGCACTCGCCTCCCACCAAATCAATGTGACCCGGGTTCAAATCCCGGCGTGATCTTTGTTTTTAGTTTGTTGTTGGTTCTCTTCTTTGCTCCAAGAAGTTTTTCTGCGTGTACTCCGGTTTTCCCCTTTTCCTCAAAACCAACACTAACTTGCAAATTCCAATTCAGTCTGGAACGAACGGATGCATTTAAACGAGTTTTAAGAATTCTTAGGTTCCTAAGTGTTTCGTGTTGTTTTGATTTGTAAAGGTTCGTGGTGGCCTATACTGGAGGAGCTGTATGAGGAGCGTGTTCCAGTGTATAGATTTATCCAGAGACCTGGGGATCTGGTCTGGCTTAATCCAGGAGTGGTTCATTGGGTGCAGTCATTGGTAAGATTTTATTTATAGAAAGCTTAAGCACGTCAACTCGGAAGTGAATCCTTTTCTCTTGAAATATGCCTCCGCACTACCAAATTTGTATTGGTAAGTTTCTTCGCCCTTATAACGACGATTTGCCAGAAAATTTGGACAAAAACACTGCCCAAGAATGTAAAAAGTCCACTTCCGGTTTACGAGCATCGCTCAAAAACGCCTTTGCTCCCTGAGCTTAAGCACGTCAACCGGAAGTGATTCCTTTTTTCTTTTAATGTGCGACAACGACACCAAATCTGTCTTGCTAAGTGTCTTGACTCTTGTAGAGACGATCTGTCTGCATAGTTGGGAAAGAACATTAGCTTTGACCAAGAATACAAGAAGTCCACTTCCGCTTGACATGCGTCGCTCAAAAATGTCTTTGCCCAAGCTCGCTATAAGCAGCATTCAAACCCATCTAATCCTTTCACTTCCGAGTCTGGTACAAATAAATATTCATTCAAAATCCGAGTGTCATTGTGTAAAGTATTAACAGTAAATAGGACGAAGCTAAGTTACTGCTCAGTGGCTTGCAGAGGTGCTCAGTCACTTTATTTAACGGAGAGGGAATATGCTTGCCGTTACGATCAAGTACCTGTTTTTACACTAGGGTAATTTTAAAAGTCTCGAGTTCTGATGATGTGTGTTTACTTTGTAGGGTTGGTGTAACAATATCGCGTGGAACGTAGGTCCATTGACAGAAAAGATGTACAATGCTGCAATCGACAGATATGAGTGGAATAAACTACAAGGCAAGAATCGTTATGTCGCACAACTGCACTCATGATCGTCTCGTTCTGGCCTGTGTACAGAGCCCCCCTCGGGCGGGGGGGTCTGTACACAAGCTAATCTCATTCAGGTTTATTTTATTCACGCTTATTTAGTCAATTGCAGTAAAATTCCCCAAATTAGTAATCCTGAGAGAAAAATGGAGAAAGAACATAAGTTCGAAATAACATTTCAAAAAGGCCGGGAGAAATGTGTAGTGGAGAAAGGAGCAAAGCTTTCGAGTTTACCGGTGTAATTAGTGAGATAGAAAATAAAGTTGCAACTATTGCAACGTTGTGTATTAGGGACGAGACAAACAAGTGGACACAATTCCGAAGTATTTGCAGTATATATTTTCAGTATTGGTGTCAACATTTTTCGTAACGTTGCATTGAGATTCCAGAAGTAAATTCTTCCTAAGTCTACTATCCATGTTCAGGGTTGTAATATTCGTCTTTCTGATGTTATTTATTTCAGGTGAGAAATCCATCGTTTGCATGATTCATCTTTCGTGGAACTTGGCTAGGAATGTTAAAATTGCAGAAAGAAAGTTATACGAACACATCAGGTTAGTGTTGGTAACATTTAAGTTCGCTTGTTATCGAAAACTACACCGTCCGCTCTAGATCTAGTGCACATTCAACCTAATCTCAACGGGGTAAACACACCAAAAAAAACTGAAAAGCTTGCGACCCTTCTAACCTTTTATCCAGATGTAATTCCACCAACTGATCTTTGTGTTTTGAGATTTAGTGTCAAAAAGAGAGTTTGATAAAAGATTAAAGCACCTTGTCTGTGGAGACCATTTAAAAATTTTCATACTCTTTTCTCTGGATTATTTTATTGTGGATATTGTTAGGAGAAAATTGATGTTGGTCACTCTTTAAACTTTAAGGTAAAAGGGACCTCCATGCCTTGAACCAGTAGACTGCGAGAGAGTTCTGGACTGAGGATTCTCCCCCTACCCCCACGAGGCGTGAGTTTATTAGCAACAGCCTATGACTCGACATTTTTCCCATCCCTTTCTCACCCCACCCCCCCCCCCCGCCCCGCCCCCAGAGGCGAAAGCTTACCCGCAACTTGCCCTTTTATGAATGATGCCTCGACACGTTTTAATGACTTTTTCCCCCTTCTTATGTTGCGACAGAGTGGTGCTGGCCAGGTCGCTCAGATACTGCCAGGTTACTGTTGAGAAACTAAAGCAAACTGGGATTGAGGTGATGTGGCATGGCAAGAGAGACAACGAAGGATCTCATTACTGCGCTCAGTGCGAGGTGAGATGCCTAACAACAGCATTGTTTTCACATGTAATTTTTTTTACAGTAACTTTGCAATTTCTCGATTGCTGATTGGTGGAGGGCTATCGTCCGTGAGAATAAGAACCATGGAAATGACTTGATGATGGCACAATTTGTATTCCTCTGCCTCTTACGTGCGACTGTCTGAGAAACTTTAACTGCCAATTTTATTGTAAAAAAACAAGCACAATAATTACTTCGGCGGAGCGCGAAGTAAAGGATTCGCGACGCTCAGGAATGTATCAAAGTTTACTTTTTTTTGACAAAATTGGGCATGCAAAGACTGCAGGTTTCCGGTTTTATTCGGCTATTTGACGAAGTGAGAGCCGAATTAGTTCGAGATACCTCGAGATCACTTCGATTTCTTTGATTTACTGTTTAACGTTTTCGAGGAAGAAAGAGTTACTATTTTGGCTTTAACGGGATTTGAACCGACTCACCTGTGTGACCCGTCAGATCAGAGGAGACTCTAAGTTGAGGGATTAGCCGATTGCGCTACTGCGACGCAAGGTAGTTGGGGATAGGAAAAATAGTTATGAAATGATGCACTAGTTTCGGGACAAGATTGGGTGTGCAAGTTCGTGACTTTTCGGCTTATTTCGGCTATTTCACGAAATGAGACCGGACTACTTCGTGATATCTTGAGATCACTTTGAGTTTAGTCCTTAATTTATTGGAGAAATATATAGAGGATATTACGTGGTCGCGCAGAGACACGAAATTTCTCTTCGAGTGTTGAAAAACGTTTCACGAGTGAGCCCTCCTTTTGAACTGTTTTATGATGAATTTAAAGTTACAAAATGCTGCATTTGCAATCAATGATTCCACGACGCCGAAGTGTACGCTCCGTAGCGTCTTGTTTACCATGGTCTATGCCCTTTGTGACATGGAAATGATGTCAAAATGCTAAAAAATTTTGGTCTGTCTGCAGGAACCAAACAATAGAGTTCCCTGAGGGACTTACTTGTTTGTTTGTATAGTTTCTTTTGTTGTACGTAATCTGCGCCTCGGTACCAACCGAAGGAATCAAAACTTTGCAGTGAAATCATTCTCCTGCGGCTCTTGGTTCTACTAGAGTAGTAAACATTTTGAAGTCACTTCTGTGGTTGTCAAGAGGGTGGGCCGTTGGGAAAAACAGATGGCGAGAAGCAAAACTGTGTCATGATATCTGCACATGTTGTGTTTTCCTTTAACATCTTCTTTAAACGTTCTGGTGTTGCAGGTGGAAGTGTTTAATATTCTTTTTGTGACGGACAACAAAAAGCATTCAGTTTATTGCCAAGATTGCGCAAGGAAAACCAGTGCTAATCTCAGTGGATTTATTGTCCTCAATCAGGTAAGAGTAGATTGTACTTTCTTTCTCCTCACTGGTCGGCATGTCAAGTTAGTCCAGAACGCTCGACTTTAACAGTGAAACAAGTAAACTAAAAAATAAGACCGATATTTTTACCGCTAAAAGTCTAAAATTCTTCAAAAAATGCGAAGGTTTGCAAATTATAATGGCTCAGGATACAAAACTACAGTAATCGTACTTTTTTGGTGGGTGGGGGAGAAGGTGGGTTGGACGATTAGTAATATTAGCAACGCATTTAAAGTCACATGCCTTTCTGTAATAGTGTGAGACAAAATCATTTTCCACCTCTTTTATTTTTAACAGCCATTGGAATATCATTTCGGAAATGATAGTCACCCTTATCATGCCCTACATTTCTTAGCCATGACAGCTTTTAACTTTTCTCAGCATTCCCGCATTGTAACCCTGAAGCAATAACTCCATCATATGTGTATACCTATTTGAGGACATATTTCCCTTAAAAACCCTTATTTCGATACGCTTATATACTTGTCTTGATACATTTTTTTTCCGATGATAGCGAAAGGAATGTTTTGTAGTTATTAGTTAGTTTACGAAACAGGACGGAAGGGTAAACAGGAAGGCAAAACGCTTGTGCGTGACAAACGTGACGGGGCAAGTACTTGCGTGTTTTGTCGTGATCTTCACCTAAAATTAATGTTTTTCCCGGTCTTTTACGAAAATATCTGTTTCAGCTTGTCACACAAGGTTTGCCGTCGTCTTTCCTCTCCCGTCCTGTTGCGTACCGTAAGTTGTATATTATCTCTGATCAGACAGGAGCTTTGCAGTTCTCTGCCAGCTGTATTTGGTGCACCACTTAACAGTTTCCTCAATGAAAGTTGCGAAGGGAACTAATTTCAATCTTTAAATGTGCTCAATTTTGCACTCTCACTGTTAATTTTCTTCGCTTTTTAGTATTCAAATGAAGAGCTTACTGAAGTCTTCAACAATTTTAAATTACACACGGTAAGATTTTCTTGAACGCTTGTAATTATAATAAAAACGTCCGTTGTTGCTTGCCTGCGCAGTGGCAGCGCGTCATACTGAAACCATTACACAAAGGCCCAAATGAATGAAACGATTACCTTTGATCACGTTCACACCTGGTATTAGGGGACGTTGCCCGATTACAGTATTCGCTGGGTACTAATGTGAACGTCCCTTTCTTTAATTAAGTACCCTCGCCAGAATTCGGCCACGGTGCCGGTACCCGAGTTCAAGGTCTCGACCTTGAACTCGCGCACGTAAGTGGATTAACTGGTCCCTGTGTGCACTCGTTTTCTGTTAGTCCCGAAGCAATCCCTGCTTTGCACAATCATAACTCCCTGCTTAGCTCACGTTTCATGCTGATGACGCGTCAGCACCAAGATCTGGGTAGCTGTTCTGATTGGTCGCGCTGCAAGGAGAACTTGCTTCAGCCAATCAGAAGCACTTTCCTATCCAGATCCGAGTAGCGACACGTCATCAGTATGGAATTTCTGCGCTCGTTCTTCAGACATCATTTCGCGGGAAAACCAGTGGTAGCGATGTTTTCTCAGTGTATAGAGAACCTTAACTAATTGCAGCCAATACTTTTACAGGTATCCTCTCACATGGTGGACCCCGTGATGTCCCAGAATTCCTCGCAGCCAGTAAACATGGTGGCGCAGGGCGTCTGATAGGTTTTGATACTGTCATTTTTTTGTATAAAAGAATTCTATTTTGTATATTGAACAGAGCTTTACATTTGAGCGTAAATTTCGATTCCAAGCTGGGTAATATTTAATTTAGCTTCTGGAGAATCACACTTCGTGTATCTTTTCGTCCGTCCTTTTTTACTTAATGGAAAATAATGTGCAGGATTTTGTCGGCATTTTCGAGATTGAGCGCGCGTCTTCTCTCTGGTTCCTTTACAATGTTGTTCATTTTTTTTCGTATTTGAAAAGCACGATTTGGTCCAGAATTAGAGAGTAGTTTTCCAAAGGATAATTGTTTGTTTTACTGCAACTTCCGTTGTATATTTTAAGGAATTAGTAAATATTTTTTTCCACGATGCATTTCGTGGCATTTTCAATAAGGTTGATACTTGCAATTACAAACGAAAAGCCAAGAGATCTCTTATTGCTATACTGTTGCGTGACATACGCGCGTGATGTCACGTTTTTGTTAAGTGACATACATAAAAAGCGAGGCTTCTGCTTGATTTTGAGATTGTACTGCTTTTAGACTGGATTATTTTTGGTTACTCGCTGTAACTTAACTATTTTCAGTCGCACTTTTTATTTTAGGAGAAACGCAATACACTCGCTTACAACTGCATTTTTAGCGCAGCTGACTTCGTCTTCGTTCTATAAAACAAATTGTAAGATTACCTTGGCGGCTGTAATTAGCTTTATTGTGATTCACATGAGCTCGACTTAATCTATACACCCTCGCGAAAAAGTCATCTCACCTTTGTAAATAGCATTCTTTTCGTCGTTATCCAAGTCTCTTCAGTGGCTAATTTTCATGTTATTGTAAAGTTAAGTACAAGAAGGGGTGGTAGTGTCTTCGGTTTTGTTTTCGATGAGCGCTTTTCATTTTAGTTTTAAAAAAGTTCGCAGTGTTGAGCAAGCAAGGGGAAAATGGAAATGCTTCGACTGTCTTTGGCGACGTCCACACGGCAGCGGACGAAATTTCGACCGGCTGAAAAGTTTCACCGGACACGTCTTTCACACGGAACCGTTTAAAGCGATTTTCGTATGACCTTGTAACTACGCGCCAACAGTACAGAAACAATTAACGAACTGAAATAGAGCGATTTGATTGGTTTATCGAACGGATACAAACGTGTGTGGCCTTTGGTTGTTTAAGCGAACGCTCTGGTGAAAAAACTTCATGCCCGAAAAACTTTGTACAAATCAACCGATACTTCGCTTTGACGTCATACTGCAACACGATTGGCCGATCGAACAATGCCTTCTCCACGTTAGGGTTTTCTTGGGCGGGAAAACGAAGAAGCCATGTTTTGATTTTTTCATCCATTGGCTGATAAAGCAAATAGCGAACTCTTTCCGAAACTGTTTGAACTGCTAAGCGTATAAATTTTCGTACGGTTTAGGTTGTCCCGTGTGAACGGAAAACCTAAACGCACGAATTTTCGGAAACGTGCGAAATTCGTCCAGTGCCGTGTGAACGTAGCGTTAATCCGTCTCTCCAATTGGCAATGTATTGTGGAAGCTAGTGTAAATATCTCGCAAGTTTGAGAGGATGTAAGGCATTTTTTGGCACAGAGAGAACGCTTTTGTTGTTACGGAAAAGTGCACTTGATCTCGGTTCTTGTAGTCAAATAAGGAAGCGTCCATTCTGTTCATACTTTTATTCTGCCAAGTCTGTAAGGGCTGGTTTCCGAGCGGTCTCCACGGACGCTGGAATAAAAGGGACTGTAACATACAACAACGGCGACGGCGACGGCGACGGCGACGGCGACGAAACCGTCTCTTTAAAAGTGACTTCAGCGCGATTATCCCAGCTTTCTCACCTGTGTTTAATGTGGGCGAACTCTCCTGAAGCTGAGTTCCAAGGAAAAAATATTAAAGCTCAAAAAGAGAAAGAGAAATTCGTCGTCGTCTGTTTACGTTCTCGGTAAAACATTATATTAGGCACGGGAAAGTTGTTCTTTTGCTTGTCTAAACCTATTGTTTTTTTGCTGTTCTCGTTGCCGTTTTTTGACGTTCTCGTTTTTCTCGTTCGTCGTCGCCGTCGTGACATCTTAAACTCCTTAACATTCGAGGGAACATTGAGACTGTAGCAATCATTTTGGCCATGTTGAGCCTGTGCCATATAGTCTGGGCGGGAGTTGTGTTAAGATGCATTATGGGACTGTTTTGCGGTCTGTCGCTTCTCTTATTAGCTCTTAAGAGACTGTGCAAGAGACTCGGACAAAATTCGTGCCATAAAACAATCCCACAGTGCAAATCAACACCATATCGACCCAGTCCGGCTCTCGCGCGCAATCCTTAGTAGGCACGTTTTTGAGCGACGCACGTCATCCGGAAGATGACTTTTTGCACTCCTTTGGTCGTGAGATTCTAGAAATTCTTGGACAAATCGTCTCTTTAAGAGGGAGGACACTTAGCAATACAAATTTTGTACAGTCAAGGCATATCAAAAGAGAAAAAGGCTCACTTCCGGTCTACGTGCCGCGTCGCTCAAAAACGTCGCTGCTTAAGCTCCCTTTTAAGGACGCAGCGAACGTTACCGCAACGATTGCAGGGAGAGACTTGGAGAGGCTGTGTCACGGCTGTCTAGTTCATTTTGTGTATAATGCCTATTATGTGTCCTTTTTTGATATGAGACTTGGAAAGTTACTTGTGAATTACAAAATCAGAGCTTCGTGTCAAACAATTGTCTCCTAAGCATAGTATCAAACGTTACAAACAACAAAAAGGAAATTTGAAAAACTGTTAGGCTAACAGTTATTTAAAAATTGCAATACGCCACTTGCACATCTCCCATAATGCATTTTATTCGCCCCCAAAAATTTGTTTTTCATTTCTCCTGGGTATTACAGCCGTTCCAAGAGAAATTGAAAACAATGCTTATGCAAAGTTTTGGAGGCAAATAAGGTGCATTATGGGAGATGTGCAAGTGGTATATTGCAATCGGTTTGAATCTTCAAGTTTTTCCATCCGTGACTCCTTTTGTATTTGTTCAGTGGTGCTATTTACTGTACACCGTCTTTTCATGTTTGGTGGCGGTTCCTACTGATAGATTACGCGACTCAGCTCCTTTCAGTTCTTCAGTTTAGCGATTATATGGATAGCATTGCAGTCTGGTTTATCAGTTTCTTGTTGCACTTGGCATGTTCTTTGTAGAGTGATACTGCTGGTAAGAGAAGATAAACAAATTTGACACTTGATTCGTAAATGTTGTTGTGTCAAGAAGAAGTGGATAAAAGCAAGAGAGTCCTTCTGTCCTTTTATTTTTCAAGGCTCGAGTTATTTTTAGATAAGGACAACTTAAACTTTTGTGTTGAATAACATTGACATAAGTTCAAATTGTTGAAGTGGCAATTTGTTGGGTCATTCAAAAATAACATACCAAATCTTCGAAAATGTTTATACTCTCTTGCATTGATCTTCTCTTGACGGTATGTCATCCAGTTTTAGTAAAGAGATGTCGCAATTGTTAGGTTAGTTAAGTTAGTTGTTCGACTCTTTTACTCATAGTGACTGCGAGAATTGAAATGACTGCGAATAGTCACAAGTGTTTAACTAATATGTTGAGATCTGTCAAACCAGGGTTAGGTTTAGTTGTAATTTACTTGATCATAATCCTTTCCAAAACCTAATGAATTTCGGAGGGCGATGAAAAAGATCAACAGGACATTTTTGAAGCTGCTTAGTAAAGTTGAGGTTATGTCGAGTCTGAAAACTCTCGCCTTTATCACGAGTTTTAAAATTGGTAAAGCACTCCTTTCCCGCCTTGTTTTTGTTGTTGTTGTTTAAATAGCGCGTTGATTACAAAACATTTTTTTTGTTGATGCAGTGGAACCTGTATTTAGCACCACGAGATGGTCGTTGGTGTCCGATTAATTCAGGCGTCGAACACTGAATATACCGGTTTGTTTTACAGAAAAAAACGGTAGAAATGTTTAGAGCTCAACGACGCTCGTGTCCGCTTCATGTAGGTCTCACTGTAACAAGTAGTATCATTTAATTTTTGAAGCTGTAGGATTGTGTTGCTTCTTGTACAGATGAGAGAGTGAAAGAGTAGGACAAGCCTCAGAGAGTGGATAAACTTAATTAGTCCCAAGACTCGGAAATCTTTATATAAGGATTTATTCATCAAAAGACGTTTCACACTCCCCTAGGCACTACAGCTTGACAGTTTGTTTCAAAGTGAAGATAAACATCGTTCAGGAAGGTTTTTATGAAATGCATGCTATTTTGGTGCAGCGCAAAAAATTGTGACGTTCGTCAATCAGTTAATGCCCTACGCTATCGTTTAATTCCAATCCACTCCGTGGTGCTAATAATAATAATGATAATAAAGATTGATATTTATTTCGGTTAAAGACTGTCTCTTCAATGTCTACAAGTGAAAACATTTGGCAATTAGACAACGTCGCAGTGGGAACCGAAACGTATTTTTTCAGTTTCAAGCTGCCATGGGTACCAAAGGTTTTTTTTCACGCGTGCGACGTTTGCGGCGAGATGCTTCGGGACAGGCCGTAGATCGACACATCTTCGGCCCAAGGTCGAAGCTTCGGGTAACTATAAATACTCGATCGAAACTCAGGAAAACAGGCATGGAAAGCCTCTGGCACCCAGGGCAGTTTCGTACATGCACAGGAAGCGAGCTTGAATTATACGCGAATAATAATATGATTACTTATCGCCCAAGGCAGTTGAAGTTGCTTTAAAAAAAGTTTTACTTTATTTAAAAATACTAGAAGTGTACATGCTGAGCATTGCTGACGTATTGTTTCAAGACCTCAATATAGCTTGGAAAACGGGTGTCTCGTTATTGTAACGGAAGTAGCGACAACTCGAAGCTAGAACCCGCTTGTAGCATCCTTTTTTGATTGCCAAGACGGACTAACACACAGAAACGGTAGTACAAAGTAATTTACAAAAGATGAAACCCAGGAAAGGTCCAGAAAGCTATTTTGCATCACTACTGATAACAGTGGTAACGTCAACAATCACATTGCTGAGCACCATTTACAGGCGAAACATCAAATTGACTGAACCTCTGCGACATGTATAACGTATTCTACAGACTACTATCAACGTCTTACTTTAGAAAGCTGGTTTACTAACTTAGAACAAACGCCACTGAATCGTAGCCAACAGTTACCCAGCGCTGTACAAACGACTTATTGACGAGATCAAGCAAAACTAACTACGAGAGAACGACTGAAGAACTGACAATTCGACTAACAGTAGACGTCTGTTCAACTGTGACAATAGACGGATCGAAAAGCGCCAATTACTGATTTCGAGTCTTTATAGCCAATAACATCACGCTTAAGGTGGCTGAACACAGTTTTGCGGGCGGTCAGCGGTAGCGCGTGTTTTAAATTAGACAAACAAACATGGCGGCGAAAAAAGTAATGGTACACAGATGACGATAACTCAAAGTCTACTCATTAAAATTTTGTGATATTTGCCAGAATTTTTACTTTTATCGTATTTTTAATGATGAGAACTTTAAATTGGAAGTGGAACGGACCAATTTTGTGACACATTTAATAATTACGGTACAATTATATTATTGATTATCTAAAAACCCGTCTGTTAAAATTTGGTCAAATAAGTTTCAAATGGTAAGGATTAATTATAGTAAGCTGCGTGCAAGTTTATAGGAAAATCTAAGGAGTGAATTTTATGTAAACTGAGTAAAAGTGAAAGTTTAAGGTTGTAGTCAATCCTTCATGTTGCCATGGAAACTACGAAAAAGTCAAATTTTACCTGTCAGTCAAAATCTTTCATCAGTATATTTTTAACTTGCCAAGTTTCAGCTTGTGAGCTGCAACCTTTCTCTTGCCATGATTTGGCAAATGACCTATACTCAGAAACTGCCAAAACTGTGTTCAGCCACCTTAACTGACAGACGACCAATAACATCGCGACGTAATTGACCAATCAGATCAATAACCAGAGTATAATACCATCAACTGACGTAATCATAGATACAACTCACTTTGACTTTGAAGATGACTACCGCACAGGGTGTCGAAACGTCAGTCACTATCAACAACAACAGTCCTATTCAGGACTACGTTCACCCGGACGATAAAACTCAGCCTACTTTTGAAATGATTCCTGGGTTCAAACCTTTCACAGTATCTATGGTTTCTTGGTCACGTGGCTCGTTACAAATTAAGCCGAGTGGCTCTGGGGACGGGAATGGACCTTACCTGTCATCGACCTTGCAAGGATCATATATCTGAGGTGTCTCTAGAAGGCTTTTTACAGCCGTCGAAATGATTTAGAAATATCAAAATTATCGTACTTTATTTAGGAAGCAGAATGTAAGCGAATTTTGCTATAATTTGTCCTGACTTACTTGAAACTCATAACGCGTTATCGCGTGTCGGGTTGTGAAAATTGCAACATTTCTGTCAACAACGGAAAGTGTTGCGTCGGACTTCAGCCCTTTGATTATTAATAATTCCAAAATAGCGGTCTTAGATACCAACTTTGGCCTTCGTTTTCTCGGTTTCTATTTAACGAAAATGCTTCCGTTTTGGAATTTGAGTTCAGGCTGAGAGTACATTTCAAATAAACGATTTTATAAGCATGATCATTTTTTGACTATATAGTAGTTCTAATACCTTTTAAGGCATTTTAAAAGACCTCAATATCGCTTGGAAAACAGGTGTCTCGTTTTAGAACGGAAGTAGCGACAACTCGAAGCTAGAACCCGCTTGTAGCATCCTTTTTTGATTGCCAAGAGGGAATAACACAGAGAAATGGCAGCAAAATATAATTTTACAAAAGATGAAACCCAGGAAGCGTCTAGAGAACTATTTTGCTCGGCTGAATTTACAAAAGAAGTACATAGCGAACTCATCTTTCTCTCCGTGGTTAACACTTTTCTGGCCTTAACCGCATTTTTGGGGAACGCTCTGATCTTACTCGCCCTAAAAAATGAGACTTCACTTCATCCACCGTCCAAACTTCTGTATCGTTGCTTAGCAATGACCGATTTATCCGTTGGGGTCATTCTGCAGCCTCTGTTTGTTGCTTATTGGATGTCTGTGGTGAACGAAAGATGGGATATTTGTTACTACGCAGATTTGTTAAGTTCAGTAGCAGCCTATTTTTTGAGTTCAGTTTCTCTGATGACACTGTCTGCAATAAGTGTGGACAGACTTCTCGCTCTGTTATTAGGGCTTAGGTACAGACAAGCTGTAACTTTGAAAAGAGCATGTATAACCGTAATCGTAATTTTCATTTTGGGCCTCATCTGCGCATCGACATACTTCTGGAATCCTCTTATAACCACACGGTTGACAAGCGTGGGTTTAATTCTCTGTTTAATCACCTCAATTTTCTGTTACACGAAAATCTTCATCTCTTTGTGTCATAGCCAGGTTCAAGTACAGGATAAGGTTTCTCAAGGACAAACTTCACTGAACACAGCTCGATACAGAAAGGCAGTGTTCGGTGCGCTATACATACAACTGACACTGGTTATTTGTTATTTGCCTGTCGGTCTAGCGGTAGCTTTGACTCCTCAAAGAAAGATGCCTCTATCAACTTATCTTGCCAGACAATTTACGACCAGTTTTCTTTTGTTAAACTCGTCGTTAAACCCCTTACTTTATTGCTGGAGGTTAAAAGAAGTTAGGCAAGCTGTAAAAGGCACAGTGAAAAAAATTTTTTGTTCACAGTAGTCGAGTTAGTTTATTCAAGCTTAGACCCAAGCAAAGAAACTACGCTCTACTAAAACTTAACCATCACTTTACAGATAACAGTGGCAGGAGATGCGGACAACAAAATGTTGTATATTCATTAACCTTCATATAACAGGTGCTGTGGTAGCCATAACAACTCAAACAGATCTCTCTAGATCAGGAAAATTAGCTGATTACAAAATAAAAGAATAAAAACCGTTTTTCAAAACAAAATAGAACAGAAAGCGCTCGAAGGACGCCCACTTTTTATTATATTTCCCATACATACATACATAATCTTTATTTAACGTGGGAGAAACACTTAGCTAAAGCTATTTTGCAGGTTTTCCACAAATCAATATTAAGAAAGAAAGAAAGAAAATATGTACATAGAAGTGTAAAAATATAAAATATCTAGCATCTAAAATTACAAAATTAGATAACTAAAATTGAATGTTCCTCACTTGTTTGTTAAATTCTAGTCCTCCAGCTCTTAATCGTAATTCGTTTGGAATAATGTTCCATTGTTTTGCGGCGAAATATCTGAAGGAGTTTAATCCATACTTTGTAGTATTTACTTTTGGCAGTGATAGCGTATTATTGCCCCTTAAATCGTACTTGTTGTCTCTCATTTTAACGAGTTCCTTAATGCAAGTGGGGACGGTGCCTTGAAAACAGGCGTTTATAGTTATTAACATGTCCTGGACACGACGGTTTTCCAGCGTGGTTCCTAAACCTATTCGCTGTAGCAGTTCATAATACTTACTATTTTACTAGGGTGCTTTGCATAAAACTATCCATACATATATCCTACATACATACTTTATTCGTCCCATACAGAGCCATGAACAACAGTAATTAATAACTTAAGGTGGTAAAAACTATGTACACTGATAATTGAGTAAAAATTGAGCTTAATATGTGTCCAAAAAATTTAACATTAAGTTTTTCTCCAGGAGACTGTTGAAGTCGTTCAAGGTCTGTTTCAGCTTAAGGGCAGGGTCACGTGAGTTCTAAAGTTTAACTGTTCTAAAATAGAAGGTTCTTTGTCCTGTGGCGGTTTTATACAGAGAGGTATGTAACATCTGGGAGTCCCTCGTGGTACTCTTAGTGATGCTATAGCTCTTTGAATATATTTAGAAAATAATGAACTGGTGCGCCACCAGTCTTACATTTAAAAGCCATTATTGCACGACGGTAGAAGAGCTGCTGTCTTACTGGTTCTTTAAATACAGGGGAAATATGATCATATTTCCTTGTGTTGCTAACGATACTGGCCGCAAAATTTTGCACAGCTTGGATGCTACTCAGGTTATGTAGCTTTATGTTCAGAGGTGTTGCTCCAAACATTACAACAGTAATATAGCTTGCTGAAAACTAAAGCATATTAATCATGATGGTTCAAGTGCTCGCGTCGAAAGCGTCATAGTGCAATATCTTTGAATGCACCGTTGTCGTTTAGTAGTTCCGTTCTAAATTTTATTTGCTTTGGCTAAGAACGGTCTTGTTGCACTGCCAACATGCGTTTGCTGTAAAGGAAAATCGTCTTCTCAAAATCCCAGAAGATAACCCTACTTGCGATTCACGTGCCGCGGCAGGTGCTACTTAGCTAAGCGGTGAAGCGTTAGAGAGGGGAGAAAAGCAAAATAATCATTTGAACAAATTATCTATGAGCATCTGCGACAGAATCGAGCAAGATCCTGGGAACGAGTGAGCAGCGCACGCTAGCGAACAAACATTGCATGTATGTGACGAAATAAACAGATGTCGTAAGCAAACCAATTGCAGCAAAAAAGTAAAGAGATGTCGCAATTGTTAAGTTAATTGTTCGACTCTTTCACTCATAATAACTGTCAGAATTGAAATGACTGCGAATAGTCACAAGTATTTAACGAGTATGTTAAGATCTGTCAAACCAATTGGGTTAGGTTTTAGTTGTAATTTACTTGATCATAATCCAGTCCAAAACCTAATGAATTTCGGGGGGCGATAAAAAGATCAACAGGAAAACCCGCTTAGTAAATTTGAAGTTATGTCGAGTCTGAAAACTCCCGGCTTTGTCACGAGTTTTAAAATTGGTAAAACACTCCTTTTGTTGTTGTTGTTGTTTATATAAAATAGCGCGTTGATTACCGTGACAAAACATTTCTTTTGATAATGCAGTGGAACCTGTAGTTATTACCACGAGATGGTCGCTGGCGTCCGATTAATTCAGGCGTCGAACACTAAATATACCGGTTTGTTTTACAGAAAAAACGGTAGAAATGTTCAGAGCTCAACGACGCTCGCGTCGCGTCCGCTTGATGTAGGTCTCACCGTAACAAGTAGTATCATTTAACTTTTGAAGCTGTAGGACTGTTTTGCTTCTTGTACAGATGAGAGAGTGAAAGGGTAGGACAAATCTCAGAGAGTAGCCTGCGAACAGCAGACGCATTTCCGGTCGTCGCTTCTCTCCCTCCGAAGAATAGCTATACACGAGCCACAGCGGGTGCTATATACTTACCTTATTCTTACTAATTTTCGCGCGCACTTAATTTCGCAAATATTCGGGAGCCGGATTTCACGAGTACTGATTTTCGCGATTGCAAACAAAATTAGAGAAAAAGGGTACTAAATCTCGCGATTTTGTCTTTGTTTTGTTTTCGTAAATCCTGAACAGAGGGCACTTGTCACAAACCAATAAAACATGCATATATTTCAAAGCAAGGTTGTCAACTTACAATAGGGAGCTTAAGCAGCGACGTTTTTGAGCGACGCACGTCAACCGGAAGTGAGGTATTTTCCCTCTTAACATGCCTTGATGATATAAAATTTGTATTCCTTAGCTTCTTTACTGTTATAGAGGTGATTTGACTGAAAATTTGCGCGAAGCCACCGTCAAAAAATGAAAAAGGGCAACTTCCGGTTGACGTGCGTCGCTCAAAAACGTCGTTGCTTAAGCTCCCTAATGGCCGTTCATAGAACCTTATGAGCAAGACAAAACGTAACTGCTTACTGTGTATGCTGTCTATATGCAAAGTATATCATACAGTTCAGTGCTTAAAACGCAACTTGAGATGTCCACAAAATGCACAGTACAAAAACAGAAGTCGACCAGAAAGACAACGAAACTGCATTAAATTCTTAATGTTTTGTTTTCGAAAATAATATTAAGATATATTAAATTTGCCGTGTTTAAATTTCGCGAATTTTTTTCGCGAAAATCGCGAAATTTAATACTCGCGAAAATTAGAAAGAATAAGGAAGCTAAGCGGTAGAGAGGAGAGAAAAGCGGAAAGCGAGGGAAGAGAAAAGCAAAATAATCATTTGAACAAATTATCTACACTGTATGAGCATCTCCAACAGAATCGAGCAAGATCCTAGGAACGAGTGAGCAGCGCGCGCTAACAAACGTTGCGCGCGCGGGTGACGAAATAAACAAACAGATGTCGTAAACAAACAAGTTGCAACAAAGAGTTCAAAGATAACTGGCGGTTTACTGTTCCTGCAGTTAAGTTATTTTTTTTGTTTATGATGGCCCCGGGATGAGGACCTGGAGTGTGGTAATAGCTGCCTTTGTCTTTCACCTCTGTACGCAAGAAATTCAAGGTGAGATGGCCGTTTTTCTGAGAAGTTGATCGCCCCGCTGCGTGGAGAAACCAAATCGATGCATTTTTAAACGCACTATTTGATCGCTTCTCTTGTTCAAAACAGCAAAGTTGCACAAATTTTCAGCATCAAGATTAGGTTTTTTTTTGAGAGAAATAAGCTTTTCAATACAAGTTTCAGTCAAAGTTTTGAGTTTTGTTTGTTTCAGTTTTTGTCGCAACTCGCGAAATGAGTTTTTCCGGCGCGTTTCACTTTTACTAGGCAATGTTTGTTAGAAACAGATGCTGTTACAAAGTTGCAAGACAGATTTTACGAAAAAATTAATGGTACGGCAAGGCATTAAGCCTGGATATTCTCCGGCCCTTTCTGACTTTGCCAGGGACCTAAAATTTTTAAGGAAAATCTAACACGTCTCGTGAGATTAGAATCTACAATTTAGTAATATTATTATTATCATTAATGCATATACAAGTTGGCATAGAAGTTGGACTTTTTTGCCACAAAATATAAATTCAATTTCTTAAAGTAGTTTAGTGTTTTAGTGGACGACATATTTGTTAAGGTACAAAATCACTTTTGCTACTTTCCCCTCTAATTTTTAGGGCGTCTTTTATTCACGCAAGACACTACAATCGCTTCCGAAGGGTCTAATGCCACATTTATTTGCCAAGTGTCAGAATCAACATTAACTTTAAAGAACGAATGGTTGTTTGAAAATAGGACTGTATCTGAAAATGGAAAATTAGCTTCTGGAGTTAATGAAGATAAGTACAAGTTGAAATTATCGGGAACCAGATTGGAAATTGTTAATCTAACTGTGCAAGATGGTGGATATTACCAGTGCATCATTCGAAGAGAAAATGGCGAACTTCTTTTCAGCGTGAGAGGGACATTGAACGTTATAAAAGGTACTTTAGCTTGATTTATTTTTTAGCTAATTGGCTGATGAAAAAATCTTGCTAATTAGATCTATTTCAGATTTAACCCAACTAGTTCTTCCTCTCAAAAAGTAAAAAATCTGTTCTTATCCCTTCTAATATTTGAAGATTACCCCTCTTAGTTTCTGTTTTGCGCAAATTTCCCAAATATGTATAGCAGTTTCTTTTTCCTAAATTTGCGAGATTCGTGACATGCCTAGCCTGCGTGCAGACGATAACTAAACTCTGATTAGTACCGTCTGCGGAGCAGCGCAGAGATCCTTGTTCTGGACCCCCAACGGACTCAACGAATTACCGGAAGTTCGTTTCGAATTCCCCTTCAACCTGATTTGGCGATCACGACAAACAAAACAAAGGCGTTTTTTAACTGGCCAATCGTGGCGCGTACTCAAATCTGGGTACACAGCTGGAAGTCCAGAACAAGGATTTCGGCGCTGTTTCGCAGACGGAGTTAACCAGAGTTTAATTTCGTCTGCGCGCAGGCTATGACATGCCATGCCATTCTTACTTACGTTCACTACACAAGTTTTGTCGTTACATGTTATTATTTTCATCGTTTTTGCTATGATCGCTTTCGGTGTTTTTATAGGCGGTCATTACTAAGTGTCCCAATGGTAGTGGTCTTAATGTATTGACCATACATAATAGGCTTTTTACAATAGTTAGTCACGCGATCAACTTTTTGTAAAAATGAAAACAGTTCGCTTTTGAAAACGTTTGTTAGTAGGAACTGAAAGAGCATATTAAATTAAGTAACCTTTGAATTTTCAGCCGTATATCTCAAAAGGAGCGATTGCAAAGGCCGCCGAAAATTAGAAGGATTTGTATGAAAAGACATTTCTGGCCACCCAGACTCGCTTGAATGGTTTTCCATACAAATCCTTGTATTAATCTTTCCCTTAAGCATTTACGGTCTCAAATTGCCTGTAATGCATAAAAAGAAGATTTGAGCCCCAAAATGCGTAAGGAAATTTACGACAGTTAGAAAATTTCCACATTAACAAGGGTTTGTATGGAAAACCATTCAAGCGTGACTACAAATCCTTCTAATTTTCAGCGGCCGTTGCGCTCGCTACTTTTGAGATATACGGCTGAAAATTTACAGGTTACCTAATGTTAATATGCTCTTTCAGTTCCTGCTAGCAAAATTTTTCAAAAGCGAAAAGGCCTATTTGCTATCTAATTTAAAATTTTCAGCAGCAGACTTCCTTGATGAACAGCCCACCAACACTTCAAGGGTTTTTGTATCTTCAACTCAAATGATCGAGCCTAGTGTCGCTTCTCAGAACCTCCAGCCGTCACCAACTGCGTCTGTGGTTCCTTCGGCCGCAGTACAAAGAAGAGTGTTTCATGACGCAGCTTCAGTGACACAGGAATCCCAAGAGAAACCTACATGTCAGAACTCTTCTAACAGCACAGGTATAAGCGAATCCGTTTTAAGTTTCGGTACTTTCGATACTTCCAGTATTAAAAGAAACATGATAGAACGGAGAATCATCTATAGGGTGAAAATTCAAGTGCTTCAAATAACCACTGGCCACCCTCCTGAGCGATAGCCCCAGTAATGAAGGGAATTAGGGGACCACACGAGGCAAGCGAAAAATAGCTTCTGTCGAACTTACTCAATACATACCAGTTAAGCTTCCTTTTTGCAAGAATTTGGGAAACATTTATTCATTATCATATTCGCAAAATTTTATCACCACGCATCGCCAGACCCAGAACTGAGTCTGCATAATGGAGCCTACACTACAGAGGTTCTGTTCTGTGGAACAAAATTCCCTCAGAGATTAGAAAGCTGCCTACAGTGTAGTTTAAATGTTTTTAAAACTTCATTTCATGGGAAAGATTATCTTAATACGACTCATTGTAACTCTAGCCTTATTATTAACAATGAAAGTTTCTGTATTTTTAACTTTATAGTCAAGTGGTTCCTTAGAGTATTTTAGTCTAATTTTACACACGATTCCTAGGAAGACCATGTAAAAATTTTTTTCGTGTATAAATAAAGATTTATGATGATGATGATGATGATGATCGCCTTTTTGCTCAAGTGGTTCTTCTTTAACAGCTGTCGCTTTCAACATGGACAGGACCTCACCGAATCTAATGAAAGTTAACGAAGGCTGCCAATTAAAACTTCAGTGTACCTACTGCTCGGTATCACCATCGGACGGCGCCATCTTGTCTTGGTACAAAGAAGGTGTGGAGATCACAAATGATACTAGACACGTGATAAGCAAGGATGAGCTTGGTATCCCTGTGGCGAAGCATCTTTTGGATGAAGGGCTTTACATGTGCGTTGTCACGTTTAAGAAACAAAATATTTCAAGGTTCATGACTGTTATTGTAAGAAAAGGTAAGACACTCTTTAGGTATTCTTTCTTTCTTAACTGTAAACTGTAAGTAAAACCAAGTTTTCATATATGTTAAACTTTTTATGTTTTGAATTAACGCTGGGGCTCTTCGCTCATATTAGGCCTTGGTCACAGTGTTTGATGCTATGTAAAGTACAAAAGAAGTATTTTAACAGAGGAAAATTAAATGAAAAAAAAAATCATGCACGCGGAATAATCCATACCTTATAAAAACAAAACAAAACAAAACAAAAAAACACTGACCATGATATCAGGTATCAAAGGAAATGCCTTCTATTGGCATAAGCTTTGAAAGGTCAAAATTACCCCAATCGTTCAAGTAGTGACTTCACGTCACATGGAAACCCAAATTCGACCAGCTTTATTTTATGGTACGCGCGCTATGATTGGCTGCTACGCGAGCAAGATTTCCTTGTAAACACCGGGCAGAGTTAGCTAGGTGTCCAAGGCATACACAATCTGTGTTTAACTTGATAGTGAACACCCACGTTATGGTAAATTAACAGCTGTCGTAAAAGGGTATCCGCTTACAAATGTCGTATAACAGTATAGAGGGATCAAGTGCACAACTCATTGAGGCGACGTGTATTTTTAAAGTTTTCTGCTGACAAGTTGCTTGTAATTGATTGCAGGCTCAATTGCGTCCATTGTTTTATATAATAGCACTAAAAAGGCCATATAACATATAACTTATCAACTCGTCTGCTCGGTCATTACAGGGAAATCTCAGACCTCGGCCGTGATGTATTAACCTCGCTATCGCTCGGTCAAGACATCAGTGCCTCGGTCTGAGATTTCCCTGTAATGACCTCACTCCCGGTTAATAAGTAAAAAGTAATAGCTTTGCAGCAGGAAAAGAAGATTGTCTGGGGGTTCTAAGTTCTGGATATTTCCAAACAGAGATTGGTGATTGTTGTCAGGCGTGCTCGAGTGCTGGAGGTTACATTGCCGATATCTTTTACGCTTTTCTCCTCCTTCCCCTCTCCTCTTTTACGTCTACCACGCAGGCTATACTCTTGTTAAACGCTCATTTAGGAATTTTTTTCTGCAAAACAAGAGACGAACCGCTACAAAGGATCAGTTTCTCGGGTTAGAGGGTTAAATGCTCCCTAAGGCCGAGAAAGCAGCAAAGCTGTTACGAGATACTTTCATGACAATTTTTTCGACTTTGGTATAAGGTGGATTAAATCGCAAGCGTCCTGCTTGTGTTGAATTTAGAAACCATCGACCACAGATAATTTAGACCTGGTATTATGGTTACTAGCTGGCACAATCAACAGCATCTAACTCAGGAAAAAGTCTACTATCATTCCTCATGATGACTCCTTTCTCAGAGGTTTCGTTAAATTAGTTTTGTATTTATTAACCGTGACAGTCCAATAAAAGTATCATCAACATGTCTATTTGATAAAATGAAAATTTCTGTTGTTTTCACAGCCGAGTCTGACCCACTCCTGTCAACCGTATTAGCCCAGAACAAGTCCTTCCTGAGTGTTCAGGTCACATGGCATCTGACTGATCATGGCGTTTTCACTTCTGCTGTTGTTAGCCTCGGTTTGAGACTAATAAATTCTGATGAATGGAGTGACGCGATTGGTAATATATCCTTGGAGTGTGGTCGTCACATGTTCAAAAATCTACAGCCAGGCAGTGAATATTTGTTGAATGTCACTCTACATAACAAGTACAAACAAGTGGAAAGTCGGGCGGTTGTGTTCTGGTCTGCGGCTACCAATTCTTCAGGTAGGGAGTGCTTGAATCAAACTCAAGTTATAGAATGCGAAATGTCCGTCAACTTTAAAAGGCTTTTAGTGCGGACTCCTCATCATCATCACCACGATCACTATAACCACAACCACCACCACCACTACCACTGTCATCATCATCGACATCATCACTATATCATCATCATCATCATCACCCTTCGCCACCTCCTCCTGGTCATCGTCATCATCATCATCATCATCATCATCATCATCATCATCATCATCTCTAGGAGATCTTCACTGGCTTCCAGTTGAGGAGAGAATTGTTTTTAAAATAAATTTAATAACTTTTAAAACATTGAATGACTCCGGTCCCCGTTATCTTGAAGATATTTTAAAATTTTACCATCAGTCAAGGACATTACGGTCATCAAGGGATCATTTACGCCTTGAGGAACCACATTTTAACATGAAAACTTATGGCCAGCGAGCGTTTTTCGTTGCTGCCCCCCGACTATGGAACAAGCTCGCCTTTGAAATTCGAGCTTGTTCTGATGTAAATCTTTCTTTTTAAAAAGGTATATGACATTTAGTTTCATCATATTTGTCTTTGTTTTCTTTCCTTTTAAAGATGTGTATGCTATGAATTTCCCAATATGTACAGTAGGGTTATATGTAAGCTTGTGATTAATGATATTCTTATGTCCTTTTTTACATTGTAAAGTGCTTAGAACAGCGATGTATAAGCGCTATATAAATTCTATTATTATTATTATTATTATTATTATCATCACCATCATCATTGTTCATTGTTATTACCATTGTTTGCCAAAATCCTCTTTCTTTTCTATACTTTCCTTATCTTCAAACTTAGAAAGGTTAAGCAGGTTAAGTAAATGGTAAAGTAGTGATGATTAGCCTGTTAGAGCAACTCTTCAAATGAGAAATAAAATAACTCACTGTGGTGGTCCAATAATCCAGTCACGCTGCTCACGTTAAACTTCAAAGACTCAAATCTCCAATCTCCGGTTATGATTACTCATTACTATGTTATGTTCCTTACCAGCAACAAGTCATTTTTGTCTTGAAGAAAAAGTGAGCTTTAAAAACCTAAAAAGCTTATCGTCAAATATGTAAGACCTTTTGAGCGTAACTTTGTACATGACTAGGGGACATTTATTTAACAACATCTTTTGGGTTTTCAGATAACGACCACAAAATTCTGGTTTTGTATCAAGTTACCAACAGAAGTGCCCTGGGTGTTGCGCTTGGTGTTGTGGGATTGCTAGTTTTAGGGATGATTATGTACGCATGCGTGACATGGTGTCAGAATGACAAGAACGGCTACAGCATTCCACCTGGTCAGCGGAATAAGAGCGAGACTGACGAGAGCGATGCTCTCTTCTCTGTCACAAGCAGCATGTATTACAACAAGTAGGTTTAATAACACATGTTAAATATACCACATTAAAACCTCTTACAAAAGATTAAGGGTAAAGGTCATTATTAAAAACTGAATCATTGGATAGTTCAATTCTAGAGTTCCGATTGGTTCAGCCATCATGAGTATATGAGCCATTAGTAAAATACAACTAGTGGACTATTATCAATGTTGCGTTCTGATTGGTTGAGCTACTACTAGGCTATATGTTATAGCCCATTAGTAGCGAAAAGCAAAGGCTTTTTGGCGCAAAAAAGGATTAGTCTATCTTTTACTGGCTAAAATTGTTTGGTCTGAATATTTTTGACCAACTAGTTGGATCTTACCAACACAATTATTCCTCTTGCCCTCATGGCCTCTGAGTCAGAGCCCATTCGGGCTCGAGGAATAATTGTTAATTATACCATGCTCTCCAAATATGTAACTGTACGCGTCTGCCCCCCCCCCCCCAAAAAGAACTCTCGATATTTTGTGGGCGTTTTCAATTAAATAGTCATTTTACTCGCGCTTGTTGGATATGAGATGATTATAGCCAACTCGGCGCTATCGTCATCATTTGCCTGACAAACGTGAGAACTTCGTCGGAAAGAAAAAATATAGCCTGGGAAAGAGGTTGGATTATTTGTTGACGAGAACGACTAGCTGGGGCAAGTAACTCAACGAACTTGACAAGGAAAGATGAACTGCGGGAAGTTTAAGCAAGCAATCAGCACGAAATGCGGTTTATGAAATATAATAACTTAATTATGGGGTTTTTCAGGGAGAACAAGACAATTTATTCAAATGGTACATAACATGGTACAGAATCCCAGTTGGTTGGCGCAGAAGCATATAACCCTGTTTGGAGGCAACCCAGTTGGCTGTTTCACATACGTGGCTAAGAATTTGAGTTATAGGGACTATCGAGAAAAAAAAAATCTAGATTAGGGGTCAGGGTCAGAGCTGAACTCAGGGAGTTTCCATAAAGCAGCCGTTCTGAGCTGGCTGAGCTGAACGCTGGCCTTTACTTCAAGGGAGGTGACAAGAATTCAATTCATGGTTCGTACAAATTCAGACAAACAAATTTCAAGGATTTTCAAAGACAAATTACAGCATTTAAGGACTAAGATTTATTTAATAAGTCGACATTTTTTAACCGCCTTTGATCACCCTACTAGCTAAAACACGTCCGAGACTTTGCAAAATGAGTGGGTGTGACTTGCAATTTGCATCTGAGGTACAGGAATAGCATTTGAAAAAAAGAACCAGAAAAAAACTTTTGTTCATGCACAAAACAAAAATGTTATTACGTTACCCGTGAGTTTTACAGGTTCTTACGCCGAGGATGAGCCAAATTTTTCTCGCCAAAGTAATCTAATTTTACAGAAAAAGGTGTCTGGGGTAGATAAGGTTGTGAATTTCAAGTACTTTTTAAGACCTAATAAAGAAATCAACTTCTTTTCAAGGACCTAAACCGAATTCAAGGACTTTTCAAGACGACTAGTAAAATACAAGACCTTTTCAAGATTGTACAAACCATGCAATTTCTGCTAAGTTGAGGGAGGGAACTTTACCAACAAAAAAATACTGATTCGAGCATCTTTCTGACAGAAATACATTAGGAAGTTGGGTTCGTACAGAATTCAAGACTCTTTCCAGACTACATTTCCAAAACAATAACTTTTCCCAGACTCAAGGCTATCAAATAGGTGATCAATAAAGACCTTGAAAAACGCAAGAAACAAAGCTTTTTTCTTCATGCGCTGCAAACATACGGACGAGATAGACCAAGATTTGACCAAAACGAAAAAAATTTTACTTCTAAAGCACTTGTTGTAACATTGAAAACAAAAAAGAACTTACGACTTTTGACCATTAATTATTTTTCCAGACTTTATCTCTATTTCCAGACTTTTTTCAGGTCTAGAAAATTGCTGGGCAAATTTCAAGACTTTTTCAAGAATCCAAGACTTTGTATGAATTTAAAGCAAGTCATAGTGATATTCCGTTCATCAAACATCAGAAACAAAAATTAAATCATATTGTGTACTGTAACTTTAAATTTCAGGGCCTTTGAAGACGATAAAGTGGACTGGATGCTGGATGAAGAAATAATCTCCTGAATTTGTTTGAATCTTTCATAAACTTTTCCTGATATACCACACAGAAGAAGAAAGTCCTTTCTCAATCTGATGAAAAGCAGTTTAAAGCTCATAAATAAAATGGTAAAACCGTGTACAGTGGCGCCTTTTTGTCTGATTTACTTTGCAATAGAACATTTAAATAGTGAACAACAAAAACAAAACATGCATCACCTAATATTCTCCTTTTAATAAAAAAAACCTATAAAATGTAACAAAGGAAATAATTGAAAAATTTATCAAAATTTTAAAATTTCTACTAACAAAGCCATCGATTTAAAATTAAATAAAATGCTATCTAAAAAGAGAAAAAGAATATATATACATCTAAACATGTAGATATACCGGAATATTTGTACAAAAGGGAGCATAAATTTACCTTAGATTTAAATTTGTACAAAAACCTGATCGGTGAGCTTAGCAGACTCATCTCTCATGGTCAAAGTAAAACCAGGAAAAAATCAAAAGAAGAAATTAAAGGGTCAAAATTCAAACACTGAGATTTTTAAACCTTATTTACAAATTGATTTTATCATCTTTGCACGTAACTCATTTTAGCTCAAACACTTTTTGACGTGTTTTAAAGAATAGTTTCTTTATCACAGCGTCTATGTAACTGAAGAATTCTGGGACGTTAACATTTACATAAAACCACCCAGGAGGAAATCTTGTGCAGAAGCAAAAAACTATTGGCGTGGTGGGAGTACTACCCGCTACAAAATATGTCCAAGTTTACTGAACAGACTAAAAAGAGCGGAAAAATTGCTTCGCCTCAAACAACAGCCCATAATTTCTGAAGCTTCCCAAACGAGATGGCGTGAACCATTAGACTTTCTAACCAAAATTTCCGGCCTCCAAATATAAATGGCAAGTAGCCCTGGTCAATCCCGATACGAATAGGTTGATTCACGACAGCAACGCAAGATGACACATAATTAACCTCAACTGGATACAGTCAAGACAGTGTTCTGCGATCGAAGTGACATGTGATTTCTACTTCCTAAAAAAAGCCTCCGCCTACTTCCCCAGAAACAATACTTTCTCTTCATACATAGAAACGTTCACTGTTCGATAAGGTGAGACGAAGATCAAGTTGCAGGGCCTTGACGTTGTCGATATCACCGGCCACTGTGCTTTGTAATTACTTCAAAGCTCAAGCTCCTTCGTTGCGTTTATGTAGCTTCGATCATAATTGTCCAAATCAATGGACAGCTGAAATCACAAAAAGAAATGAGGATAAGTGATAAACAGGCTTTTTGATTTAGGCCTTGCATGCACATGCAACTTTACGCGTGCACAAGCGACACGAACGGCGTTAAGTTTTTTATTCATTCATTCATTCATTTACTAATACAGCAACCTCTCAAAAAGAGGATTATTAGCCGATGTGGTAAAAATAAAAATAAAAACAACAACAACAAAAAAAGAAACAAACAAACAAACAAACAAACAAAAAAAACTTTTCACATTACTTCGGTACGAAAGGGCAGCTTACCTTTCAAATGTTTCATCGTAGTTAACTTAAATTCAGGTTCGCCAAAATTGGTAATAAATAGAAAAGGGCGGAAAAAAATGACAACGACACTGAAGCTGATAGCAGGTCAACTGCTTAACAGATATGCGTCAGTTGGTAGGGCACCGAACGGTAACGGAGGGGTTATAGGTTCGAAACTCGCTAAAGACCCTTTTGGGTCAGGTTTTATTTCACAGTCAGCGCCGTAGCCAGTATGAGGCAAACCGAGGCACTTGCCTCAGTCATTTAAGGTTTGATCCCAGTGTTTTGTTTAAACGTAGTCATCATAAATACCAAGCGGGGAATTCAATCATGAATATTGCCTCAGTCCTTATTTTTTTCTGGCTACGGCTCTAACAGTTGCTTGAGTGGGCTGTTCGAGTTGTCCCAGACCCCCTTGACATGACAATTTTATACTCTGATACGATGCAATAAAAATTTATTGTTTACACGAAAGGTTTTGCACTCCAAAAAGTAATGTATACCAACCGTCTGTGCAGTCATCAGTCTGTGGAGTGTTTTTCCTAACTCCAGGAATGTTGGTCTAGATGCAGGGTCTTGTTGCCAACACTGCCACATGATGGCATATCTAGAGAAAAATTATTAAAAATGAAATGACGAAACTTCATTTGCTTAATTTTTATCAACAACTTCTTCAACTCAAACTCGTTAAGACAAACCAAAGGATATCCCTTCAGGAGAAAAGTTAAAAGGCGTCTTAACAAACCCTACATCTAAGATACTCACAACTCATCGGAGCAGAATTTTGGTTTCGGCATCCTGTACCCTGAACGCAGCTCTTCAATCAACTGATCTCGACCTAAAGCTGGGTATGGATGAGCTCCTAAAATAATAAGAACAAAAAACAAGTCTAATTGCGGGCGAAAAACGAGGGACAAGAGGAGCCCGCAATCCTAATCTCCAGGTTGTTATTACGCATGCGCGGCACAAATGTACCCAGCATTCGTTTGGACTTCCACTAAGAATGAATGGAATGCACAGAACGCCATTTGATCACGCACGTTTGGACCTTCTATCACTCGTAATCTGATCACGCGTGTCTTGACTATCTGTCACGTGAAACTTACGCAAAGCACAGCGATGGAGCAAAAGCGTTTTGACCTTCGATCGTTGTAGCGCGCACTCCGTAACCTTTGGTTATTACTAGTTAGAAACATAAAAAACTCTTACCGGTGTGTAAGAAGAAAATAGCCGGTAACCACGTACCCGGTCGGGTACAGAGCAAATAAAAAGGAACTTCTCGACGAGCAGAGGGCAAGGAAAAAATCTTATCGACGTCACAAACTACTTTGATTAAAACAGAAATCATCTTGAAATTCTGTGCTGTGAATTTCGCTTCTTTTTTCTATGTGTGGTTTGATTGAGTGTTTTCTGGGGTGTTTCTTGGTGTTGCGCAAACTGTTGTTGGTTAGCTATTGTTTTGAATTGGATGTTCATTCTTACCTAACGTCACAGTTTCCCATAACAGAATACCAAAAGACCACCTAGAAAACAAAAGTTGGGCTCCAGTTTAAAATCGAAGACTTTAAAATAGTTTGCATTTTGCTCTAGTTTACATACACCTTATTCGATGGTTTAGCATATAATGCGTGTGGATATTTTGCGAGTTGCGTGGTATTTTTCCGAGCTCCGCAGGGTCGAGGAAAATACGGGCAATGAGCAAAATGTCCGCTCGTATTATATGCTAAACCATCGAATAAGAGGTTTATTATTCCACTACAAAAAAACTGTTATTTTGCAATTGGCCTCTATTTTTTGGTAAGAGTATTCACGGAACATCCTGATTCCGTCTGTGAAAATGACGTTAACAATGAGCAAAATGTTCACTCGTATTATATGCCAAACCTTTGAATGAGAGGTTAATTATTTTACTGCAAAAGAAAAATGTTATTTTAGCTTCTATTTTCTAGTAAGAGTATCCAAAATATCCTGATTCTGTCAGCCATATTTGCTCCTTTTGCATCCGCCGGTATTCGCCCTGTTGTAAACCGGTTAAACCAGGGGCCCGTTTCTCGAAAGTCCCGTTAACTTTTCGGGCCCAAAATCAAATATTCAAATCGAAATATAAAGAATAAGAGCGAGTGTCCTGGCCAGTAAACTACTCCATTTTGTTTCATTAACTGATAGTTTTATCATGGAAGATGCAAAAATATTGAAACCTCTGTCTGGCATGTAAACCAGAACAGCTTTACGGGCCCGTTAATAGGCCATTTTCACGATGACGACATTTGACTACAACTACCAGAATTCTTTCGGTTTTTCTTTGTTATTTAAATTTGTCAATCCCGCTGAGGATTAAAGAACAATAGCCTTAATTTGCATAAGAAAACAACACACTAAAGGATTCTGGGAGTTGTAGTAAAATGACGTTATCGTGCAATTGTCCTATTATCGGGACTTCCGAGAAACGAGCTCCAGGACACTACAGTATATTACGTCCTCGTATTTTGCGCGTTCTCTTTACCTTATATGGTAAAATGATTTAATAGTGGATAACAACGTGACTTAACCCTACCGCTTAGGCCGTTTTCGTTTCATATGGAACGATGGATATTTTCCTTTCTAAACCCACTTTGCTTTCAGTGTAAGCGTGTAAGTTAGTAAGTAGCGCATTCAACAAAGAAAAATCGCTGCACAGGAAACCACTTTTGGACATTCTAACCAATCATGCCAGAGTTACAAAAAGCCTCCCAACATTTTGGGTTGAACTTAGCTTTTTACCTACAACCCTATTCCAGATAAAAATTCCCCCGTTCGGTTCCTGGAAAGATAGCCAGATACAATTCCATGGGAAAGAAAGATGATAAAGCGGGCAACAAAACTGGATATAAAAAAGGAAGGCAAAGAAAAAACAAGAGAGGCAACGAAAAAACGAGAGAGAGCGAGAAATACTTACACATCACTTTCAGTGGTTGTTACGCCCTGAAATATTGACTCTATGGCCATCCATCTGAGAGGCAAGTCCGCCTGAAAACACCAACATAAAAATCTATGAAACTAGCACTAGGAGCCGAGTGAACCAACGTCGTAAATGGCTGGACAGCGAGTACTTTGCGAAGAAATATATCCATGACAGACATCTGGAGGCATAGAAATGGGCATCACTACCACTTTAAAGAATATCGTACCCTTTGTAGACTTAACGTTTCCCACAGATTAGCCTGAGAAAGGAGGCGATATTTCGCAACGCCACCACTCGTTTTACCGAGAAATGATGTCTGTAGAACGAGCGCATCAGTATGGAATTTCTGCGCTTGTTCCTCAGTCCTCATTTTGCGGAAAAATCATTGGTGGCGTGGCAAAATGACAGCTGTTTTCTCAGGGTACTGCAGATCAATGAAGGGTTTAGTTTCTAAAGAAACTGTGGTGTTGCGTCGGTTGGGAAGTCAAATACGAAGATTTGGTTTTTGCAACTGAGTTGATAATGTAGTCCTGGTCAACGTAAAAAGATAGAGAAGCTAACGTTACGCCCTGACGTACGTCTGACGTAGTCTGTCTAGCAGTCTGGGCTGAGTTGCTCAAAGCATGGTTAACTTTAACCATTGGTTAAGCAGTATCAAAACCAATACGTTGTCAAGGTATTAAACGCTGGTTAACGCCAACCATGCTTCGAGCAACTGGGCCCTGGCAGTCTAGAAAGCCTTTTTAGTTTGTAGCGCAACACTTCGAGAAAGTGCCGAGTGACATCGCCGCAGGAGACCATACCATTTGATGTACCAATTAAGTGGCAGCGGCTGTGAATAGCTGGTAAGGCCTTATTTACAACATCGGCACGACACTGCTAGAGCATTGTTGACATAAGCTATGAGTTAATCCAAGCACACATGTGCGGTACAAGACACGCCGCCCTCAACTTGGAACACTGAGCGTACCACGACAGGGAGACAGGGATTTAAGTAAGTAGCCGCAGGGCTGAGGAAGAAAAAAAATTCACGTACTTCTCCCAGTTTCAAATACTGCTTCTTTTCGTAGATATCTCTTGCCAAACCAAAATCTGCGATTTTACAAACGTGACCTTTGTCGACTAGAATGTTTCTAGCGGCCAAATCTCTGTGCACAACCTGTAAAAGAAAAGAGAAAGAAACGAATCAGAGCGGACAATTAGAAAGCAAAAAGTAAATAAACAAATAAGTATAAATAAATAAATAATAAAATGCACTTTTTTGAGTGTCAATATATTTAGCACGAAAGTCGTAATTGGGGACACTATTTTTTACGTCTCCTACTGGAGTCGGGACCGCCATTTTACATGGTCACCCGAGCCATGCGAAGGTCTAGCCGCTCGAGGCGCAAAGGGAGTACCCTCATTTCTCAGTTATTTTAAGACCCCGAGTATTGGTCCGGCCCCAGGAATCGAGCCCGAAACCTCCGCTCTGCCGACTGAGCTAACCCTACCAACAATAACAAAGACAATGAAAAAAGCATACCACATATGCAAAGTATCATTAAACACAATCAGTTTTTCGCGATCTCTAGAATTATCAGCCGTAACCAATTTTGGATTAGCCGTTTCAAGGGTTCACATAATGGGGTGCCGGCGCGAAGTCGGAGAGCGGGAAAACAATAAGGAGAAAGAGAGGGAGTTTTCAGCTGTTTTTCCTGCTCACATCTCTCTGCGCCGTCCATACAATTTGAACCCTTAGAACAGGCTAATTAACAGCTATTCCTCGAGGGCGCGTTGGATATGAGTTGGGTATCTACCATGCCTACAAGCGCGACTGGAATAATTGTTTTATTAAAAACGCCCACAAAATAAATTCTTCAGGACTTTATTTGTAAAAAAACCCCCCGATTTTCAGCTTATTTTTAATTTTGAGCAGACACGTACAGTTACCATATTTGGAGAGCATGGTATAATGGCTCATATACCATGATGGCTAAGCCAATCAGAGCACTAGAATTGCATTATTCAATGATTCGGTATTTAGCAATAGTTGATATCGCGCGAAACCTCATCTAGCAACTTTAATGTTTGTGAGTTTTTGCATTTGACAATCACTTCCGAGCAAGGACTGTTGAAGTACTCACCTTTTGACTAGCAAGGTAGCCCATTCCACGCGCACACTGCCAGGCAAATGACAACAGATCACGGCACGTTAGCGTTAAACTGTTACCCGCCATGTTTGCGTACACAACTTTACCATGACTGGAACGGAGAAAATCTCTCAAGTTACCCATGGAGCAGAACTCAACGATGATGAAAGGTTGAGCTGTTGAAAATAAAACAAGTACCTTACTACATGAAATTTTCGCGACACGTTAACGCGATCTGATGGTTTGCATATTTTGTGACACTTGAATTTTGCGATTTCGCAAAAATTTTGGATTGAGGGTCACTTCAATTACGTGTTTTTGAGCAAGACACCATAAATTTGACTTTTTATTTAATCAAATAAAACGGCATCATTTGCATTTATTATCAGGTCAAAACTAAAATAACTAGACCCGCCGATAGGCGACTTCACTGGGCTGCCATAAACCCGTGTTGCATGAAAACGGGAAGTTTTCTAGAACAGACAGCCAATAGCTTATAATAAAAGGAATTAACCCAATAAACGTATCCCGATCGATCTATGGGCCTCATATCAACCGACTGCACCGAGACTACAAATATATCATCTTATTTTAAATTATGGTTGACACGAAAACGCACTTTGCCACAAGATAAAAATGTTACGTTTCAAGTTTTCTTCCTTTCGTTTATTGTTATTTTTCTTCAACTGAAAGGAATTAGCTGTTTGCATTTTCTGAACTCAAATTTGATCCCTCACATGTTGATTTCATCGGAACGAACTTTTAAAAAATGTAAACAGATCAAACGGTCGATCGCACAATTCTTTATACCGTGATATGAGCTGAAGCTTCGCTATTTTTCTCAGCCGTGACTAACGTATTTTCATGGAAGACAATTATTCTGTTATTTACTCCTCCGAAATTTTAGGCGAAACGCTTTTCACAGCTAAAACCGTGGCTGGCTAAAGACTGAACTAAACGCACCTTGAAATACAATATTGAGAACAACTGTAAGTCATAGGAAGCAAAAACACCAAACTATGCAGTAGTGAGTGACTTTTCTCTTAAACACTCTGCTTTTTCTCTTCACTGCTCATTTGTTCTCTCGCCAAACTGAAATGACCAGCTTCGCAGACTATTGAATTTGTGTGCGAATTTCTCGAAGTGTGAATTCTTTCGTCCCAGTCTTCTTTACCGTTATCCGAAATTTAGACTTTTAAAAGGCCGTTTGTTGCATTAAACAGAAGGAAATATAGAGGTGAAAAGGCAATCTGCAACACGGCGCTGATACGGCAAAATATGGTTTGCCTAAACACCAAGAGTCATAATGGGACAGAGAGGAAATCTTAGGGCGTTGGCCGGGATCTGTGAATTATGTCCCATTATGGCTCCTGTAAACACGCAACGCCTTCTGTGTTGAATTGGGTGAACAATTAACAGCGTCCGGATATTACGGAGACGATCGAACGGAAGAGGATTTATAACTGGGCGTAAAAAATGATCCACTGGAGGGTCTATGTGACGACAGTAACGTTAACAACAAAGAAGCTCTCACAATGTCCCCAAACATTTTATGCTTGTACATGAATTATTTACAGTCAATTGTCCACGATACCCAATATAAACAAGCCACAAGAGTTTTATGTAATAAGAACACGTTTCAATCTGCAATAAACTCATATTCCTTTATTGTCGACACAGTCTGAGTCACTAAATTTTCGCGTCACGTTATGTTCGCGACACATTTTTTTGCGTCACATTAACATCGCCAAATTTAAGTGTCGCGAAAATTTCATAACCAATTTGTATAACCAATGTCTTCGATTCCTCCTGGGACGACTTAAATACCCAGGAAAAATTGTAAACAATGCATGGTTACGTAAAATTTTGGGGGGAAAACAAGGTGCATTATGGTCCATGTGAAAATGGTAAATGGCCTTATTTTGAGAGCACGGGATTTTGCTACTCCGAAGTGACCCATTATAGGCTTCTAAAATTGATAATTATAATTCATTGATAGAAACAAAAAAAATCACACAAAAATCAAAGTCATGATGGTTTGAAAATAACATGCCATTTACCATCATTGACAATTCGAGAATACCAGACAACAGAGTCGTTTCATTCGATATCCAGACTTTTCCAAGTCTCAATCTATAAAAAAATTTGATTACTCCTCAAAAGTTTTGGATACTGGATGAACTACTCCTCCACACATATTTGAAGAATAACCCAAAAAATCAGTAGTCGCTTGTCTTTTGCTGGTGAATCGTGGTAACAAGGATTATAATAAAAGTAATTAATCTACTTTTTCTCAAGAAGAGGGAGTTATAATGTCTAGGAAACCATTCAGAAACCGCGGGGGAAAAGAGGCGACTGCAATGAGGTTTAAAAGTAAATTGCGCCAAGCACAGCGTTTTAGCAAGCTGTATTTGAATCAAGTATGACAATAAACAGTAAACACATTTTTATCAGCGTTTGATGAGTAATTTCTAACGGCTTTTTTTCATCTGGTTCCGATATTTTGAGGCTAATTGCCGTAACCGTTCGGCTTTCGTTACTTTTACGGGACCGTCGCTCTATACAGAAGAAAAGGGAAGTGCGGGAGGAAAATGACGAGTTTAAGACCACGAAGAAAAAATAATGTACGTTCGACAACAAAGGACGAAGAAAGTCCAAATACTGGCCATTTCTGGATGAATCTTTTAGCCACGAGGAATGAATATCGTAGTCGGAATTTTAGCAACGCAAGAATAACACAGAAAATATCTAAAAAAGGTTATGTTTTTTTTCTCGTTCTACGTTCCGCATTTGGCGTATATATTTGTCGTGTCGCGTAAAATCGTCGTGCGTTCAGTTAGTTTTTCCTCTACAAATAAACGAATTCCAACCTTTCAATACCGCTTTTCTTGTTGGAAGTAACTTTTCTTTATACTTTTCCTCTGTTCTGCTTCTTGTTGTTTGAGATTTCACTTTTCTGGGCACCAGCCATTCATGTGATACTATGACAAGAGCTGCTACGACGCTCACTTCAATGTTTGAACTGAAGCTTCGAAAACTTGACGTCATAAACGTTTTAATTTTCGTCACACGCGAATTTTGAACCCAAGCGCGTGCGCCCAAACAAGCCAGCGATTTTTCGAAACATTACCCTCGGTTTTATTCACACAATTTAAAGTATTGCAAAATTTTCAGCAATACAAAACTTCTACCCATTATTAGGATAACTTTGGAATAAATTCTAGTACTGCTGAACAATGAGGTTGAAACTTTGGAATCTGTGAATGAGAAAAGAGGCGTGGATGTGTTCAGGAAGAAGTAGAACTCCGGATACTTTTTAACGAATTCATGGAGACAGGACGGTCATTTCCAAGTCGCCATGAAGCCACGCCAAGGTCAAGCCGTTTGCAGGGCAAAGACAGTACGAAAGCTTCAGCAAAGACGACGTCGACGGCAACGAGAACGCCAAAAAAGAGTAATAGGTTTAACAAGGACTGTTATTCTGTAAATATTTTACTGTATAGTTCATTTTGCCATTTTATGTTTGGTTGTATTCCCATGTATTCCGATGCATTTAATCATTTATCAGGACCCCTATTGATATCAGCCTTGCTGAAGGGGCAAATCCTTTATAAATATAGGAAAATAAATAAATAAATAAATAAATAAATAAATAAATAAATATATATATAAAGCAAAACAAGAACGTAGTTCCCTTACGCGACGTTCCTGGGAGGACATAAACACATGGCGACGATTTTTTTCCTCTTCTCAACTAGACTGCGTTCCCCAGCAATTCATTTCCCGGGAAATTCACCTATATTTGCCATTTGAGTCAGAATAAAAATTTTAAGATTTTAAAAAAAGACGAAGTAATATTGATGTTTGGCTTCAGTCGGCGTTTTCGTTACTAAAGCTCCATACTACCTTCTAACGGCAATCGAGCGTGCGACCTGCCAGTGTGGTGACCAGCGCTGTGTTGAGCTAGCCCTGCACCATCTTCCATTTCCTTAAGGTCTCAAATGTAAGCTAACTCGAAGTGGATATAACTTTTTTCTGTATCTTTGATTACCTGATTTTGTGCAGCACCCAACCAGTCCTACTATATTGGGGTGAGGTGCCATAGTCTTCATAAGCTCCAACTCATCTAGAAACTCCTTCTTTTGCTGCTGATCTGCGTTTTCTGATGTAAAGGAGACAATTAAAATTGTATGGGTAACACAGTTACAGAAAGCAAACAGATTTACGACAGACAATCAATATATACAACTACAAACTAACGCTCTTATTAAAAAAGGTTCTTATAAAAAAGAGTGTACTATAGTTAGGCTACGAACCTTTTAGCATCTTGACAGCAACAATTTGGGTGCCTTGTCTGGTCTTTAGAAATCCCTTCATAACTTTACCAAAGTGACCGGATCCCAAAGCCTTATCCAGGCGGACATTTCTCTTCGGAACTTCCCACTGTTTTGGTCGCGGGATGGAAGCGTACTCGCCCCCGACCCCCATCGCCATAGCTGAAGCCGCATCAGGCCTTATGGAGACGTAAGAGTAGGTATCCTGTCTGTCCCGTGGTATCCCTGTGGCTTCATCATACATGCCATTGCGCTTGTTATTTTCAGAATTCTAAAAGAAGTAAGTTTAAACGCCATTCTTGTGGTTCAATTTTATTTATTGGTTTAAATTTTACATCCCTTTGTTTTTGGAAATGGTAATGCATGACATAGAAGTTGAAGTTGAGAAATAAAATTTAAACCAAGAATAAAATTGAGCCGCAACATATAAAATATCATGCAGTTAACAAGAAGGTAACATATTAAATAGTCGTTTACGCCTTTCTTGTGGCCATCAGAGTTCATGGAGCAGCCAGCAGTTTTTATAGTGTTTTTGTGGTATCTGTTTCTAAGAAATTTGCCATAGCAACCGTTCCAGATAATTTATTAGGCTGATTTAGCAACAGAACGGGAACGTCATTTGACTACGGGAAAGCGCGCTGAAACTACTAAATTCGACTTCCGGTGCGCAATTCGCAGCTCTGCCATTGGTCAAACCAGTTGTTTGATTTGCGCGCGCAGTCGTCAACTGACGTTCCCGTTCTGTTGCTAAATCAGCCTAATAGATGTAGGAGCGATTCCTATGCCTGAATAAAACAGTAGTGCATAATTTGTTTCTAGATGCAAAATCTTTTTCAGTCACAAAAGTGGCCGAAAATCCATATTGAGCGGAAATTTGAAGTTTTATTGAGAAAAATGTTAACTCCCCCCGTCCCCACCAAACAAAACAAAACAAAACAAAACAAAACAAAAACTTGCACGTCTTCATAACCGATCCTGGGGTTGATCACTTATAAACCGGGAACGGTTTTGTCCTCCAATAAAGGCTGGTTTTCACTAGCGACGGAGTAGGAGTCGTAAGCGGAGTGGTAAGAGCGCTTATGACCTAGTGAAAATCAAAAATCGGAGTCGTAAGCAGAGTCATAAGCGCGATGGAATCGGAGTCGAAAAAATCAGAACGTTTCCATTTTCTTCCGACTCCGCTTACGACTCCGTCGTTTACGATCTATTGAAAACCATATTGTCGGAGTAGGAAGCAGAAGCGGAAGGATAAACCAATCACAAAGCACGTTCCCATGCTTTGTGATTGGTTTAGTTCTTCCGCTTCTGCTTACCACTCCGACGACTTAGTTTTCGCTTGATCGAAAACGACGGAGTGGTAAGCGGAATCAAAAGAGAGTTTTCACAAGATCGTCAAGTCCTACGCAATTGATTACGCCGGGCTCCAACTCCGACTCCGACTCCGTCGCTAGTGAAAACCAGCCTTAATGCCAACAACGCTACGATCGAAACCCACCAACCATTAGTGAGGTTGGTGATCAGTACGGCAATCACTAGCAGCCACGGTATACTTCGCAATCAATAAAACAACAGCAGCAACAACAACAACAACAAAACTGACTTTATAGGGGTAAAGCAATTACTGGAAATTCAATAGTTTTCGTTGCGGCCCACAAGGTTAAGACTCCCTACTGGCCGGAGGCAAACCAGTTGGCTATTTACAAGGGTGACCGAAGGGTTAAACTCAGGACTGCCGAGAAAAAATCCAGTTAGCGGTTATGCGGGGATTGAACTCAGGGCTTGTTTTGGCGCATGGCACTACTAGACTTCGGGAGATTCCATCGGAATCTATGTGTTTCTAATAGATCCGATGGACTCCATCGGACGACTTTTTAACTCTCTTCGAAGTATTGTTTACACTTCCGGTTTCACCTTATGACTAGACTTCCGGTAGCTCAAGTAGACTCGACTGTACTTCGATTTCATTTCTCGACTAGAATCCACTGGACTCCAGGTTTTGTCCACTGGAATCTAGTTGAGAGTATTGGACATGACTGATTCCAGCGCTCTAACCCCTCGGCCACCATGCCTCCTATCTTGAGACAAACGACAAAAAACCCTTTACAACAAATTATCTTACCACGACTGTGTACATAACTGCAGGAGAAGGTCTGGAAGGAGTTTTTCTCTTTTTCTTCATACGACGCAAAAACAGCACTATAACAAAGATGAGTACAATAAGCAGTAATCCTCCAATGACTCCGCCTACTATAGCACTCGTTGGTGACGCTTGGTCTGTTCGCTGTTGAGGGTTATCGGTTTTTCCTGACAAAGAGGGGGAAAAATCTCTTGGTCAGCATAAGATAAGTTTATCTAGTGCGATAAAATGGTCTTGTTTCCCTTTAATCCTTACTTCTCTTCCTATCCTAACAAACTATTGCTATATCTCATACCATAAGGCAGCCGCTAAATAACATATCCACAACCAATACAGGGCATTTGTATAACTGCCCTTTTAGCCAATCAAATGTGACAACACAGTAGGATGCAAAAATATTTTGACATTCAATGGTGACCTATGACCTGCGTCTTGTACCTGCCAAACCTACCTCTTAGAACAACTGACACTTCACTGGATTCAGTAGAGCCAAACTGATTGACAGCTGTCACTCTGAAGACAAACAGCCCGTCCCAGCCTTCGCTGTTACTCAATACAGTGCTTGTAACATTGCTGTTTACTGCATCTGTTGAAGTCCATGAATTTGAATCGCTACGTTTAAATTGCACCGTGAATATAGTATGAGCTCCGCCATCATAGCCTGGTACCCAGGTAGCTTGAATAGTTTGTAATGATTGGGGCTTGACTGTAACATTAGTAGGAGCTTCAGGACTTCCTGTATAGTAATGGTACATGTATTAAAATGAATTTCTATTCTCTTTTAGTTCATGTAGCCTAAGAGAACAGCCGCCATTTCACAACGCCACCACTGGTTTCCCCGCGAAATAACGACAGGAACGAGCGTGGTAATTCCACACTGATGACGCGTCACTACCCAGATTTGGGTAGCGCTTCTGATTGGTTGAAACAAATTCCCACGTGGCTTGACCAATCAGAAGCACTATCCACATCTGGATAGTGACGCTTCATCAGTATGGAATTTCTGTTCAGACGTCATTTCACGGAATAAAACCATTGGCGGCGTCGTTAAATGTCGACTGTTGCTCTCAGCCTACTTTTCCTGCGATGTATGTGTGAACAAGCAGTATATCTGTACATGTAGGTTGTCCAATAAACACAATAAGAGTCTGTAACCCCTTCCTCGATGATATTAACTTTAGAAAGGGTAACGAAAAATCTTTAGCATTACCTTTGACTTTCAGAGTTACATTTCCAGAGTTTATTCCAAACAGGTTCTGCACCATACACGTGTAAAATCCAGTATCACTGTATTGAGCAGATCGGATTTCAAGTTCAGCGTTGTATATTCCGTTTGACTGTTGCTCTAAAGTGGTTTTTGCACTATTCAATTGTTCACCATCTTTGTACCAAGCTACGTCTGGAAGCACTGGTGTGATGATAATACATCGTAATTTCACAATTGAATCTCTTTTGGCTTCTTGAAAGGGATTTACTGCTTTGACATTTTCTCCTGCAAGATATCAGACAAAGGACGGATGTGTCAACTCTTTAAAGACTGAGCTGCAAATAAGACTAACCTAAACTTTACAGTAATTACTTCTTAGTGATTCACTTCTCAACCAAATTTAGGTTGTCACTTCTCAGAGACGGCAACAACTAATTCTTTACGATCTATACTCACACCTTTCGTTAAAATATAACGCTGATTTCTAGCAGTAATATTCAGGCACCTCCCGTTTTGTTTCGCTGTAGGTCCCCTTACTCCAGGCGAACATAAATCGCAAAAGAAAGGATGTTTCATATAAAATGCTACATTCGTATTAATCTCAGTCATCACTTTAAAATTTTGAACTAAAATGTGAACCAACCCAGACTCGTTTTTGGTGTTGAGCGTCACTAAAATTAAAAATAACTATCGATAGATATCTGCATAACATGAAACAGAGTTGAAAAAACCCTTGAACTGCCTGAAGACAATTCAGTTGGTTATTAGGAACCTTACGATCCGACAACGGCCACGTCCATGAAAAGGTCGCTGAAAAACAGACTTCCCATCATTTTAAACTTTTTCGCGATAATCCCAATTCGCCATGTTACTTAAAAGAAGGGGATTTTGGCTGGAGCTGAAGAGAGGGCAACGCGCTCAAGTTCGGACAAAGATGGTAGAATTTATCGCCTTACCGTTCCCGTTCCCAAGGAGTAATAGTAGTAGTAAAATTCCGACAACGGCCACGTCCATGAAAAGGTCGCTGAAAAACAGACTTCCCATCATTTTAAACTTTTTCGCGATTATCCCAATTCGCCATGTTACTTAAAAGAAGGGGATTTTGGCTGGAGCCAAGAGAGGGCAACGCTACAAGGTCATTTCACGTCATAGTTGTGCAGTGAAGGCAAAGAAATGTACAAAGAAAGCGTGATGCACGTGCAGAGTTGTTGTTTTGCTCATTAAACCTATTGTTTTGTGACGTTCCCGTTGCCGTCGTCGTCGTGGTTTCGTAAGGTCCCTATTTACATGTACAGGCGTCACCGAGGAAGGATCTTTATACGTTTCTGGAAAACTGCCCACCTACCCCTCCCCTAAGCCAATATTAACACTTACTTCTCATTTAGGGTAAAATGTTGGCTTTGGGGAGGGGTAGGTGGGCAGATTCCCAGAAAAGCACGGACTGTTCGACCATGCTGCCTCTAACATTAGTTTTAATTATTTTGCCAAAATTACACAATCAACATAAAGCAAAGAATAATACTCACCTTTCACAAACAGTGTGATGTTTCCTCTGACATTTCCTGCAAGATTGTCCCCCTCGCATCCATATTTGCCAGCATCAAGTAGTGTAACGCTTTTAAGTTTTAAAAAGGCTTCACATCTACTGTTCAGAGTAACCGTGACCTGAGAGTCATTCTCGGCGAGTTTCTGTCCATCTTTGTACCATGTTATTTGTGGGGATGGACTTCCAACAAAAACACACATTAACTCAATATCGGCACCTCCTGTAGTAATGACCTCTGACTTTGGTACTTCAATTTGTAATGGTACAACTGAGTCTACAAGCAATAATAATAATAATAATAATAGTAATAATAATAATAACGATAATGATAATGATTAATGATAGTAATAATGATAATAATATCATAGTACAGTTAAGCAAACCTGTCAACCTCTATTAAGCGGTCACTGCAAAGTCGTGGAAATAGAGTACCGAAGTGTGACGTCATGGAAAATGAAATTTGTGAAATTATGGGATTTTCCCCATATTAAAAGGTCGTCAAGGCGCCTTTGTCAAAAAAGATTTATCATTGTCCATAGATATTTGCAATAAACATAACCTGAAATCTTCTAAGGCTACCAGGTTCTAATCTTATGAACCAAGCCAAATTTAGAAGGATTTGTATGGAATCGTCACAGCATAACTTGTCTAATATCTCAGAGACAATTTGCCCTGAATTTTTTGCGAATAGGCAGGACGTTGTTCTTTCAGAAACTGAACAGTGTGCAAATTTCATTTTTATGACGTGAGTTGACTATGGTAATTTTGTACCGTCTTTCCCAGATAAACGGTCACTTTGTCAAGATTTCGGTTTTGTCCATACTGCCTTTAGACATAACCTGAGATCAGGCTCTATTTTCGTTTCGCTTTGAAAATTACATTAGAGAGAATGTATGAGAACCGCTCAAATTGGGCCTGATCTCAGGTTACAATAGACATACACTGTGCATGAAGTTTAGTAGTCTTGTACTTTCTCGCTTTTGGCACAAGAAGAGGTAGAAACACGTTGAGGTAAATTATAATATGGTTCCTACATCTTACTAGTTTATTTTTCCCTGAGAACTTTATTAGCTGTATCAAGTTTATACTGAAAACTTTGATTCGCTAGAACATGTAATTTTGACACTCCACTTTAGACGCGCAGCTTTGCTCCATTACAGAAGTCACACTGAAATCACCGTCCTTATGTGTGAACAGAATTCCAATCCGGTATGGTTCCCATGCCAGCGCAAAAGCTATTCGGTATAGTATGCAATAAACATGGTTCAAAGAACCTTAACCGATCCACTTTGCATAATTTAAGGATTACAAATCCCCTCAAAGCGTCTCTGGATCTTGCTTTTACAAATTTTCAAATACTACAGCTGATGGAAAATGTTGTACCCCCAAACCGTTTCGATGCTAGTTCTCTTTAATGAAGAGCAAAAAAGGGTGAAAATTGAAGACGTTATCAAGGTAAATGTTTTCTTTTCTTTCAGTGGAAATAAATTCTGAGCATAAGCTGCCACGTTCAGCAGAGTATTTTATTCCTTTTCATTATTGTAACTATAGACTTAGTATAGTCTTGTCTTCTGTCCTCTGTTTATGTGTACAATGTAGCTTTGTTTTAAAGTTGTTGTATTATCTCACTTTAAAAATTAATTAAAAAGAGCTTTACTTACTTGTATTTGAAATAAAAGCTTTGTTGCTTGTTACAGTTCCTTTGGAATTGGTCACTATACAGTGGTATTTTCCAAGATGTCGCTTTTGTACTTTGCTTATTTTCAGAGAATAAATCTGATCATTATTCCAAGTCTGTTGTGTGAAGGAAATGAGTTTGTCACGATCTGAAACGTTTTTGCCATACCTTGTCCATGAAACACTCAACTGTTCATTACTGCTGACCACACCACAAGATAAAGTAATGGCTTCTCCATGATATGCAGACACATTCTCTGGTTGAATGATGATTGAGGGATCTATTAGAATTCAAAGTAATGATCAGCAATAAAATAGAAGTAAAAGTAATACAATCCTCTATAAAGTCCCTTGTCTCGAACAAGCCTCCCCTTTCTCATAGCAGGGTGCAAAGAAAATCATTTTTACAGCCTGCCATTCGGGCAAGCTGAAGCTAGCAGTTACTAGCCCAGAGGTCATTTCAACTAGCCCCAAAAACATTTTGACTAGCAAAATTGATTTCACAGTTCTTCTGTTATTCAAATTCCTCAAAAAACCTCACTTGCCCTTCGGGCAAGTTAAAAACAGAATTCACTAGCCCGATAGCAAAATCCACTAGCCCGGGGCTATCGGACGGTACTTTCTTTGCATGCTGTAATAGACCCCTCCATTTCAGGGAAGAAAGTTATTAACCCCAACCCCCACCCCCTTACCCTTAAATGAAAGAAAATGAAAGACTGTATTTCATTATTCATGAAACACTTCATGTGGACCAATCTGACTGTTTAATTCAAGTGCTGGAAGTTGGGATTTCTTTTGATCTTTGGCTGAAAGACCTCTAAACCGCATGTGCCTAAGCTTTTTCACTTTGCATTCAAGTTCTTTATGGAGAATTGATACAGGCCATCATCTTCGCTAAATTAAATAAGTTCCACCTCTCAAATAAGACCCCCTCCTCCCTTGTCCATTAAGCCCTTTCCCCTAAAATGTGCTTGAAATCAATACGGGGGTGGTCAAAGACAAAATTCAACAAAAATCTCCAAATTTGTAACATTTCCTTTCTAGCTTTTATGCCTCCTTGCCACTTGTTTTTAATATATACCCAGAGAGATTACTTTTAGCTTAATTCTGGGGTCATCAGTAAAGCTTTGTTTGGAAGAGTGCAGAAAGCAAGAAAATGGGAGATTTGAGTCAGGTGCATGGGGGTACCAGCAACATACTCCTGATTTTGAGACGTGTAAAGGTCCCTTTATTCGGAGGGTCGGGGTTTGACATCCTGATGGCTGATAACAAATCAAACTGGAGTGTATACGTTAAGTAAAGGTCCAAAAAAGAAGCCGAAAGAACCAACCATGATGACTACGTTGGAATGCAAAAAGGTGCTTACTTTACAAAAAATGTGCTATTTTCTCTACTACACTTCTGATTGGTTTAAACATGAAATTGAAAAAAAAAATCTGCGCAAAGCAACATGTATTTCTAAACAAATTCCTTATAACAAAATCTTGTCTGATCGAGTCTAATTTACACAAAAATCCTATGTGTGGAAAATGTAAAATAAATCAATTATTGTAAACTTTTCTTGGCTATTGTTTGCAACTCTTATGATTGGTCAAAATCTCTTAACGTACGAAAAGCACCCTTTAAAAATGGAGTTTTAATACATTTTATTTTGTAAACTGCATTTTTGTAGGTTTATACATTCTTTGTGTAAAAATGAAAACATTTCTATTTGAGAAAAGCATATTGTGCCATAACAAAATAAACTGCTTCTCATCTTACCCGGATCATAAATTTACTTAAATGACATACCTGGAACTACATTGACATACACTGACTCAGAAATAGAGCCTTTTATATTGAATGCAGTACAAGTGTATTTTCCACTGTGCCATGTTCTAGCAACCAGAAATGTCAGTTCCTTTCCATGTGGTGCTAGGTCAATATCCCAGATAGGATAGTTATCTTTCAGCCACGTATAAGATGGTTCAGGGTAGCCATATGTTTTGCAAGGCAGTGTGTATAATTGTCCTTTGTATAATGTTACATTGTGTGGTTTTACATGCCATGAGGGTGCACTTTCTAGAAGAGAGAACAATAATATACACAACTAGTAATCATTTTTTGTTTAAAATGGCACATGAACAATTAAAACTATTGCGAAGTCTTCTATTACAGATTAAACATCTCGATTGGATGGACAGTTAGTGCAAATCACAAGAGTCTCAATTTTAGACAGAACTGAGTGGAAAGATGTTAAGATTGGGTTGTTGCTCACTCATTTCAGGCAAGTTCTTAAGAGAAGTTTTCCTGTGTGAGTCAAAAAGCTGTTAGTGGTCATTGCAGTGGTAAGAAGTCGTATTTGCAGGCTCAAATGCAGTCATGTTGTACAGGGCTCATACATACTATTCTGAGCTCTTCAAATTCCACGACTTTTTCCATGACCTTTTATAGGTCTTAACCCTTTAAGTCCCAATAGTGCTCAAAATCAATTTTCTCCTAACGATATCCATAGACTATCATGAGCATAGTCTACGAGAAATAACAAAATGATCCAAAAGAGAAAAATATTTGATCTTTTACCAAATTCTCTCAACTAATTCTTCAAAGAAATGTATGGAGATCAGTTTGGAGAATTTGTATGTGGATATTGGGACTTAAAGGGTTAATTGCTGTGACTTTCCAGAATTTTCAAAACGTTCCTTGTTCTAGGCTATTTTTTGGCCTAACTCAGTTCAACAGACATGAACTCTGCAGGTGTCCACCAAAATGTAAGCTGTTCATGTTGTTTAATTTCTTGTCTCTATTTTACATTGAAATTGTTTTGCTACATCCACAGCATCTAATCTACCCGACATAACTTTTATTTTCCATGACTTTCCAAGACCAACAATTAAATTTCATGACTGTCCAGACCTGGAAAATGTAATTCTTGCATTTCATGACTCTCCAGGTTTTCCATGACCTGTACAGACCCTGTTGTACATGTAGCAATAAAGGGCTGAGGTGCTAATTAAGTGCAATATTTCACTGTTCTGATACAGTTGTTTTCCCTTCTCTCCCCCTAGCCTCCCCTCCCTGTATTTCCATTGCCTTTCAGTGTGAGTGGGGACCAATGGATGGGTTAGTATTCCACATGATGGGAATGCTGTGGTACTGTTATATTGGGCTAGGGGCTGACTGGCCAGCCTCCAGTGGAAGCCTCTGGACATACTAAGTACACTGGAATCTGGCAAACATTTGCTATGGGTCTGCTATAGGGTACCCTTGCAGAGTGGCGATAAATTTTTGATAAAAATTGCGAAAATGATGACAATAGTGAAAATCTGGCAAACAATAGAAAGACGGTTGGTGAAAAGTTAAATGAGATTACGAGAGGTGCTCCTTATAAAGTGGCCAAATTAATGAACATGACGAATCTGATAAATTAATTTAGGTTTGTTTCATGGAAAATTTGGGATGAATCTGGAACTCACTGAGGCTTCTGTCCACTAAATATGGGGTGTGATTAAGTCGGCCAGCCCGTATATATTTCTATGTATATATTGTGATGGTGTTCGCCCTGACATCACTATTGTTATAAGTCACAGCGCATTTTGTGTTTCTAGGAAACATTCTGACTATTAAAAAAGACCACCCCAAACCTGGCCTGGTTGTTTTAGCGCCTGTTTAAGAAATGCTTTTAGCAATAAATTTCCAAATTAGAAGTACCTTTAACAGAAAGTAGATGTGATTTGGACCATTAGCTTCAAAATAACAGTGGAAATGGAGGTATGAAAACACTGTTTTGCATCCTACTTTGCAGAAGGTTGTATCGCCTTTGTTGGGCATATATGTTCTTTCAATATGATGAAATGCGTTAAAATTCATTTTTTACCATTAATAGCCCAGTTATTTTTCTGAAATATACCTTTGAATTCATGTTTAATATGGATCGATCAGCTTTAAATGGTGCTTTATGCTAGTGGCAGTTCTATGGAAAGGGAAATAAATTAAATACTTTCCCCACTACTTGTGTAACCTCCTCAGTTATTACTGTATATTAGTGGTAAGGATAAATTTATTGTGCTGAGCAGAAGGAGCAGGGTTCGAATCCTGGTTAAAGTCACTATTTTTTCTCTTTTTTCTTCTTTTTTTCCCCCGGTATTGTTTGGTTTTGTTTTTTAATAAGAAAAAAAAAGGATCTATTAACCTAAAGAAGGGCGATAGCTTGTTTCTGTTTCTTTCTACTTCTGGCCCTTTGCCTCTGCTTCACAAGGCTCTGCAATTCACATATTTCTAGTTTAGAATTTATTTGTGCCTGATGCTACCATTGTTTGTTTGTTCTTATTCTTTTTGTCTTTTTAAAACGGGGGATGGGGAGGGGGTGAAGTTATTTAAGTACAAGCAAAACATAAATATAGCTATCAAATGAATAATTTTCATTAATGATAAATTAAGTTAAATCTTACCTGTTACTACATTGAGATGTGCATAAGCTATAATTCTGCCATGTGTATTCTCAGCGATACAGGCATATCGTCCTGAATCAGACCACTCCACACCCAGGATGTAAAGATACCCATCCTGGTTTATCGCAAATCTCCCACTGGTCTCAATCGCAGTCTCTTGGTTACCAGATGAATACTTTACCCATTTTATTGTTGGTGTTGGAAAGCCAATAGCTTGGCAAGGGAAATACACTGTTTCATACAACTTTTCTGTCACATTTCTTGGTTTTTGTTGGAAAACAGGTGAAGAAGCCACTTCTAAAAAAAGATGTGGTAAAAGGAAATGCAATCAATTAATAACAGTTGAACCTCCAGTAAGTCCAAAAAATAATAATTGTGAAATAGAATAATTGTACTTTAAACCTCCATTTAATGGAGGAAAGTGACTGCATGCACCTCTATCAAGCAGGTGCAGCCACCTTTATTTGGCCTTCCCAATGAGAGTCCTCCTATGATAATTTTTCAATTCTATTCAATGGCCACCAAATGTTTGACACACTTGGTATGCTGAGAGAAAGTTCACCCTGTCAGAGGTCAAGAAGGTGAGAACTGATTATGGGCCCATAATGCAACATTTCATTTACAATGCCAAGTTAGTCCTATCATAAAGTTTATTCCATAGTATAACATTTTTCTGTACATAGTAGTATATTATTTGTGCAAAGTTGGGAGAACCTCACCCCAACAATTTCAAGGAGGATTTACTTGTTTGTTACGATATTCTGGTAGTTTTGTTCAGTATTAGAGCTGTCTCTACAGCGAAAGTTGTCAGAAGCCTCTAAAGGTGTTTGTTTCAGATAAAACCCCTGTGAAAAACCTCCATGGAATTCCATGGAATTCCATGGAGGATTAGGACATCAATCTCCATGGAATTCCATGGAAATCTCTCCATAGATTTCCATGGAAAACATTAGGACAGCAATTTCCATGGAATTCCATGGAAATTTTTACATCAATATTTTCCATGGAGGATTAGGACATTTTCCATGGAATTCCATGGAAAAGCTCCATGCAATTCCATAGAAACTACACTACACCCATTATTCCATGGATCTCCAGGGAGTTTCATGGAATTCACAGGCATTAGACATTTAAGATATTCAGTACTGAATCAAATGGAATACATAACAGATTTTGGTCCACTGTAATTTATTTAATCAATATAAGGACTGCATAAATCTCTTTTTTAAGATATCAATCAAAAGTTAACATTCTTTTGGCGGAAAATTTGACATACCGTAGCTTAACAAATTAATGTTTACTTGTGACTATATACATACAGTTTAGAATGCCGCAATCATAATGAAGTAGTTTAAATGAAAAATTTAGATTTAATACATGGCAAGGAATCTTGGCCTGGTGTTTAAGAAAAGTAGCAGGCGAACAGATGCATAATTCAAAGCAAAAAATAAGCTAATCCTTGAATGCACAAACCGTCAGTATGTAAGACTTAAACATGGCTTTATTTAATGCGACGAAAAAGGGAAGTGCTATTTATTGCTACTTATTTCATCGATCAGAACCACTATGGTATTTAGTTATAGCAAAGTCCTACCTAATCCTCGGGAAAAAACGGCGTCAGCCACAATTATGATTTATCAGTCTCTTGTATAGTTTTTACGTAGCAGGCATGAAAATTCTAAATATGATATTTCTTCTTAATACATCGAAGCAGTCCATTGAAGTACAGTCTTCGATTTCTAATTCTGCCAGAATTAGTTATTATTCCAAAGGATTCCGAAGGCAATTTGCACGAAAGACCACATTCATATCTGTATGAACAAAACAGATGAAAAATACATATTAAAACCGATAAACAGCACCCGAAAACCTACCCTTCTAAATTTATCATAGCCAATCGAGTGGACGAATTCAGTTGAGCAACGAAACCAAACACGAACACGAGTTGTGTACATATTGAGCTTACCTTCCTCTTTAATGTGCGATCCAGCTGAGTCATTGTTTAATCGAAGTCGATTTGAAAGAAGCCAAATGTAAGCAACCTCACAAGTGATATTTTGCGTTGAAAATAACATCTTTTTCGGATGCATTCATTGCAAAGACAATCCGTTTACATAGGCGTACGGGCCGGGGGGGCGAGGGGGGCTGCAGCCCCCCCAAATTTTGGGCAACTCAGATTTTTTGGGCAGCAGGAGAAAATTTGCACAAAGCCTGTTTTTAAAGACGTCTCCATGTTTATTTAATTATTTTGAAGACCTGAATATTAACCTGAAGTCGGCGTAATAATCCACTTACATTCACAGGAGACAGTAACCGCCTAACATGTGATGAGTAATTTACATATTTATTTTTTTGTTATTGTTGGGCACCGTACTGCACTGGGCTAGCTGGAATGCGCTATCCAGTCGCATAACTTTCTAGAATCATCTCCACTCGAAGAACAGGGTGGGTCTGAAGACGGAGGAGTGGCTGACTAATTCTCAGTTTGAATTACGAGAAGAATCTTAATTCTTTTAAAAAATCTATTGCTAATTTGTTAAAGTAGACCGAAATGTTTACAAAACCGCTAAGAAGAGCGCACTAATCAAATCCTTCTTTCTAGCAATCGGGCAGAGCTATGTCCACGATCTTTCACACACGTGAAAACTACTATGAGGTGAAATTGTATGTCAAAAGCTCTTCGTTTTCTACAGATAACGGCCAAACCTCACGATTTTCCTTTTCTTACCGTATTTTTAACGGTAGAAACTTCATCGCAAACTATCTCGATGAAGCTCTTACATATTTTGCTTAAAATTTGCAAACATTGAGAAGACCGTATTGGCGAAAAAAGCTCCTGTGAAAGATTTTGTAAGGTTCCCAGTGCCGAGAATTTTTAATTTTGCTGAAGTAAAATAGGTAATGGCGTGATTTCGATGCTATGACAACTCCGATGTCATTGCAACCCTGATCATGACAAATTTTCATCTACTGTGGTGGCAATTTTTCCAAACGTTTGTTTATGGCGACATAGTTTATGCTCAAACTTGGCAATGCATGACCCTGAAAAACTGTATCAAACCACCTTCACGGCCTATGTTGTTGCAATATGGCCCTTGTTTCTTTTCGACTCTTTTGTAAAAATTTGGAACACTTGCGAAAATTTTTTGGGCAAATGGCTTACCGCCCCCCCTGGCAAAAAATTTCCCGTACGCCTATGTCCATTTACACAACACTGTAGTACTGCACAGAAGTCTGCCTAAAGATTTGAACCAAAAAAACTAATCTTCTACGCCTTTCTGTTGGTTCAAAAGCCCCACGTGATCACGTAAGTCACCAAGCGGAGAGGCCTGGAAGCCAGTTCAAGCACCAAACATGGCGTCAACTCACAGCACGATCGTGGAGATGTCTGTCTTTAAGGGCTTTAAATTGTGGTCCTTTTCAGAGTTAATTGTACTATTCCGACGCTGTTGAAGAGTAAAGCAGTGAGAGGAAAATATTGCATTGTTCTCCCAGGTGAGGGAACCTTTGAAAAAAGGCAGCAGGCCCATTCATAGTCTGCTACACAACTCTTAGTGTTGTCACGCAACTCTCCTCCCCACTAAAAACGGCTGTGTAGCAGACTAGCCTATCCACGCATGCGGCAAAAACTCTAACATTGCTTGTGTAGGTTCGCCGAAATACTCCATGCAAAGCAATCTCATCGATCAGGTTGAACTCGAGTAACAGGGAAAATCTTAGCTCTCAACCAAAGACACTTTGATGCCGAGAAGAGTTATGTGCCTATAAATTTAGCTAGTGGGATCATTTTCTACTGGCTATTTAAGTACGGGACCCGTACATTGTCTTGTATTTGCTATTCATACGGGATTCCGACTAAACTGATTAGGGCTATTAAAGCACTGACTCGAAACGGTTAGCTTCTGATTAGGGTTACGGTTGTTGTTATATGAATAAAATCAAACTCCACCTAGGAGCGAGTTACTACTCCGTGGTAGAGTGGTTAGGCTACGAACTATGTATTCTATGCCCCAGGATCAGCATTCTTGCCACATCGAATTTTTCTTCTTTTCAAAATTTGCCACTGAAATTTTTTCCTAAAAAATGGAATAGTGGTTGAAGAGACGTACACGTATTTGTTGATCAGAAATTTCAAGAGACTTAGAAATTTCATACAAATTTCAGGTAGAGACTTGATCCTGTATGTCATAGCAAATATACACATCGGTGTACGGGTCTTGTACGAATAGCCACTGTGTCAATGTAACAAAGCAACTGCATGTTGTTAATAACAGTGATCTTCTCATATTTTAAACACAACACTGATTTTAAAAGATAAATGGCAGACAGCCCTACCAAAAACTAATTTTCTATATTTATTTATTTTTTAACAGGATCATTTTTTTTATTAAGCACACATAATATTCCTCTTTATAGTTAGCAATAAGATATCTGACACTGGGACTTTCAGCATCAGTGAACAATACTTTTGCATTGTCTGTGTAATTTAAACTAAACGCACTATTTTGCTTTTAGAAAGCTTCCAAATGTTTCCTATTTTTCTATCCAATAAAAAGTGCAGACTTGAACATGTGTTTAACAAGTTGATGAGTTGCTTGATCACTGAATTTCTATGGATTTTCTCATACAAACTGCATGGTATTCTATCGAACCCCATGGACACATTATGGCATTCCATGGAACCCCTGGCTTTGGGGAAGGCAGGATAGAATGCCATTTACGATTGTTGTGGTTCCGTTGATTACCATCATGGACCAAGTGGAATATTTGAACAAGTCAGATCGGATGGCGGCGGCAATGGGAACCCCGTTGGCATTCCTCAATCACCGAATAGTAAATTTTCCCTTCAATTGTTGTGCATTTTCATTGCTTGAGTTAATGATCTGTATTGATACTCCATGGAATTCCATTTTTTGACTACGCTGAAATCATGTTTTTAAAGCCGTAAATAAATTCATTATCATGAAATACTTCATGGAACTCCATGGAACTCCATGGATACTCCATGGGATTCCATGGAACTCCATGGATACTCCATGGAACTCCGTCCATGGGATTCCATGGAATTCCATGGAAGTTCCATGGAATTCCATGGATTTCCATGGATTTCCATGGAATTCCATGGATTTCCATCGAATTCTATGGATTTCCATAGAATTCCATGGAGGTATTTCACACGGGAAGTGAAGTTACTGTTAAAGGTTAATAATGTTACTTCCAGACAAAATTACCTACTGTATATTCAGTGGCCAACCTCAATTAAGTGGCCACTTGCCATTACCCCGGGGGTTGTCGCTTAATTCTTTAAGCCCTAATATCCAAGTTCAAATTCTCAAAACTGATCTCCATACATTTCCTTAATGAATTAAATGTGAGAACTTGTTTGAAGATCAAAGCGTTTTCTGTGAAGGGATTACTTTATATATTCTCACAACAGTTTCTCTTGATTATGTATTGATATCATAATTAAGGAGAAAATTGATTTTCATCACTCTCGGGACTTAGGTTCAACTGTAACCACATTTACTTTCAGTATACCGTCAATCCTCTCTTTCGTCCCCCCTCTCTAATAAGGCCCCCCTTTTCAAAGGAGGAAAGTTAATAAGCCTCCCTCCCCACTCCATCCTTATTTTTCAGAAACAATTGGTTTATTCCGGCTGGAAATTCATATCGTTTTTGGCTTCAGCCCCATGACCTCCAACTTCATGGGCTTATTAACTTTTTCAACCTTACTCTCTAGTTCTCTGTGGAGAATTGTTACCATTTTCTTATTGTTAGAAAAAGCAGTATAACGCCTGGGAACCACAAGTCCATCCCATAGAAACCTTACTTCCGTTGATGCATTTCACTAAATTAAAAAGCCCCCCTTCTTTCTATCAAGCTCCCCCCTGCCCCTCAAAAGTGCTTGAAAAAAATAATAAATAGAGAATTTACGGTAAATAATATTCAAAGACCAGAGCAAAATTTGAGACAAAAAACAAATATTTTGTCTGAATTGCTTGAACTTCGATTTAGCGATGTGAAGTCTCAGGTGGCATCACAGAAAAGTTGTTATGAAATTATCCGCAAGAGAGGATTGTTAATGGCTGGGAGGTCCAGTCCCTAGTCCCTATTCAGAGAGGCTTTTCTTTGTTTATAATAGAAATGGCATCCTTGATGCGGCACTTGATTGGGTTATTTTTGTCAGCTATTGTACTTTTACATTGTGCGGGTTGATGTTGTGACCCACTGCACAGCAGTGCTTGAAAACAGCAGAAGTTTCACGGGATTGGTGTTCTGTGATCCTGGTAAAAAGGGACCAATGTAGTTGTCCAGACATTGTTCACATTGGCTGTGGTAAACGACCCTGCACTTCTTTAATTTCTCTAATCAATCCTTTACATGTGTCAATTGATTTCACAGCACGTTAAAAGGTTTGTAGAAGATGTGGAACCCATGGGATTTAAAGATCCACTGTAACCTACTGGTCATTTACAATACTGTCAACAACTTTCCTGTTATGCAACCTGAATTTTATATATGGTCATTTCCTATTTTGAGGAGAAGGCCATGTCCCTGTTGGTATTTAACACATTTTTATGTCGCCATTTTGTCACCATTTCATCTTGTCTTATGTCGCTGTTTAAAGGTCAATAAGTCACGAGACTCGGAAGTGAACATTCCACTCTGCATATCAGTTCTACCGGTACTTAATTTTTCCATTGCCAGTATTCTTATATTTTAAATATAAATTTTATTTGATAGATTTTGACTTTTGCAACATAACTTAACTGAACTGAACAACAACACCTGAAAATCTAGGCTTCTATTTGCCACCCATCGACCAATTATGGGCTGTGACCATGAGAAACGGCCATTATTACCTAATAATTAATTATTTCATAATAATTATTTCATTTACAATATATTAGTTAACCTGAAATTCCTGCCAATTTAATTTGCTGTGGTGATCAGATATAGATTTTAGGCCTCTTCACATGAGATCTCGCCTTACCACTAAATCCTAAAGTAAAATGAGGGCTGGCTCAGTTCCAGAGATCTCGGTTTTTCCAACTGGGATCTCAATAAGCAGGCTGGAAATTTTGCGATAAGAACACTATAGTCTGGTTACTGGGATGAAAGTGGGATGAATTCTGGTGGCGTGGATGGCATATAGTCATCTTGCATTGCCTGCTGTATTTTCCACTTCATAAACATCCCATTTAACTGCAGTGATACAGCTTTTAGAGTTGCCAAAACTAGCACTAAGATAGGTGCAAAAGTGTTAATTTTTGTTTTTGTCACGTTTACTTTGTTTCTCAAATTTCGTACCAGAAATTGCTGTGATGCTCCGATGTTATTTTGGAAGCCACAACAACCTTGATCATGCAAATTTCGTACCAGAACTTGTCCTCGGGATCTTCTGCTTTTTCTGCGCGGCTGAAATTTCTTATAGGCAAATCTTTGCAGACGTCTTTGTTTACATTTTCCCTCATTAGCATATGACTTGACCCATAGAAGCCGTGGATGTATATACATGAACTAAATGCAAAAGTTGAAAGAGCTGATTAAGTTGAGCAATTTGTCCAATTTTCAGCTCTTTGCAAGCAATATTGAAGAAAATACCAGCCATCAAAAACTGCGAAATTGCTGGGTGGCAAAAAAGTTAGTTAATGAGCCATACCTTCTCTGTAAGACAACACATTTTTTGAAGAGAATTTATCCGAAACAATTCGGTGTATTGGGCTCAAATTTTCAGAGAGAACTGAAACTGTTATGCCCTTTCAATATTCAGAGTTGTTATTCTATTAGCATCATCAGATAGTGATAAGCATATGTTAATGAGGCAAAAAGTGTAAACAAAGATTCGCCCATATGAACCCAAGGCGGTCCACCGGGCTCACGTGAAATTAAGAGCCCCTTAGATGTTATTCGAGCCTGAATAAATGCCGAACATGTACATGTAACATATGTTACAGGACCTCTCAATTCCTTTGTCTCCTAGCCCTAAGAGACTTGTAAAGGGAATTGAGAATCAACCTACCAACAATTTAACCTGAAATCAAATTTGACCTGTAACATATATAGTGTAATCTTGAAAACAAAACCACAGAAAACAATAAAGCGTATCAGCATGTAAATGTTTACATCACAGCAACCATACACCAAATGTATTCTTCCATGAAGAAGTTCAAATATTTCTGACAGCTTATCAAAAGCTTAATAATTAGTTTTGGAATGACAACGCCTGTGAAGAATTATTAATTTTTTGTGTATGTGCAGATAGCACCTTTCAGTTTTCTACATTATTTATTTTCAAAAATTTTCCAAGATTTTTACCCCTTAATGGATATAAGGACTTACGAGAATCCACTTTCGACACAGTTGTCGAGAATAACAGGCAAACAACGAAGGTCCACCGTGCAGAATCCATTCCAACACACGATCAAATCGATTTCGTCTGTGATGATAGACAGAACCTAGTGTAAATGTATTGAGATATCATTTCAGCAAAGGAAATATACCATCGATTGTTCTTAGCTTAAAAAGTCTCGAAAGAACAACAAAAAGTCAAATCACTAGGTGTAAATAGCTTACTTAAAAATCAGTGCGCACGAAATAAAATTTTCATGCAATCAAAGCAGACGCTGTTTATAGCTGGCAGCGTTTTAACGAGACGAAAAGTCAAAACTTGTGACCTTCCTTCTCAAAGTCGTGTTCTTAATATCGTGGAAAACGAGTCAAGTGGTAAAAGAAAAAAGCAAATTGTAGGTAGGTTTTGGGCGAGTCTTGAAGAAACTCTGCAGGACAAGTGACCAAAGTAACACTTAAAATAATAAGGTTAAATAATTTATAAGCCGTCTCGAGCGCGTCTGATTCTACTCACCACTTCGAGTTGAAATGAATGCAGACACTTGACTCCAGGTGAGTATGTTTTAAGCAACAAATAATCCGGCAAATAATCAATTCACATCGCTTCAACTGTGTCTAGGTGTTTCCTGGCAAACGACAGTATTCAAGAGGTGATGAGAAGCCATATTGACGTCACGACTGTGGGTGGAGGGGTGTGACAGAGCCCCCTCTTCCGGTTAAAGGACCTTCCGGTTCTGCCGGTGATACGGAGATAAAACCGGGATTTGTTCATTCGCTGTTTTTTGAAGGGGAAACATTGAATTTTTTATGCTGAGCTGCGATCAGGCTGTTTTTTTTAGAAGAGAGGGGAAAAGAAAGAGAATTGATAGAGAGGGGATGGTCCTAGGCTCCTTGCACCTCACTGACCTCAGCTTCTTTGACAAACTTGTTAAACTTTTAATTTTTGGGACTGTAGGGTGTGAAAGCAATTACACTGATAAAATGCGAAATTATTGAGTGGATCGGTTGAGGAAAAATTGTCATGATATAATACTTCATTGTTTTCATCTGCCATCTGGTTTTTGGATTGCAAGCTAGCGTCATTGCAGTTTTTTAGATAACTTCCGTCTGAGGGAAACGCGAGTTATGATGTCTCGTCCCAGTTCAGTTCGACTTACTTTTTATATTTTTATTATATATGTCATTCCAAGTCATGTTGATTCGCTTGTGGTTTTGTCTCTTTTACCTTGAGTAATTATTCGCACCTTGACAATTTTTCTTTACTATAAAAGGATCGGCAGGTTTACAATATTTCAAATATTGTAACTGTGCTATTCTTCTGGATATTCTAAAGAGATGGGTTCAGGGATCATTTAATAAATTCCCCTCGAAGAAGAATCAGACTCACATTATTCTCGGTCAGCTCACATAAATTATTAAAAGTTGTTTCCCTTGAAATCGAAAGATCCCGAAGATAGCGTATACTTTCAGCGGAGTCTAAACGGGGTCAAATAATAAAAGCAGTTTTTATCAGTTGTTATTTCGGAAGCCACAACGACCTTGATCATGCAGTGATCGAATCTGGGCAAGGGCGTGCAGTATTACGCTGGCGTGTGGATGGTGACCTGTTGTGATATAACACTCTAAACGAAATTATGTTCTTTTGGCCAAATTTAGGTCAGGCTTGGAAGGGAGGCAACATTTCCCACCTGTAACTAACGTATACCTAGTCATATTTGGTTGACGTCGAAGAGAGATTGTACAATCAAACTGTATTAGCAAGCGCATGTATGATATTTAACCCTCGAGCCCGAATGGTGAGTCAAGAGCCGAATGCGCTATTGACTCAGAGGCCATGAGGGAATAATTCATTAGTAAAATCCAACTAGTCGGTAAAAAATATTGTGACAAAAAGACTTTAGCTAGTTGAAGCTAGGCTTAAATCCTTTTTTTGCCGCCAAAAAGCCGGCGCTTTTCGCTACTAGTGGGCTATAACATATAGCCTAGTAGTGGCTCAACCAATCAGAACGCAACATTGATAATAGACTAAAGAATATTTTAAGACTTTCCTTTATCTGAATAATTTCTTTCCTATAAATAGAAAAACCCGTTGCGCTATAACCTGATGTTTTGCTTCCAGTTTCACTGTGGGACGAGATTTTCTTTTCGCGTTAAGGCGAACCCCTTAAGCCTTCTGCAGGCTAAGATACAAAAAGCTTTATAGTTGAAAATTCTCGTAAAGGATCACCTCTCGTAAGGCTCCGCGACTGTAGGGGTGACGGTTTTATAATTGTCCATTGTTTTTAACCTCTTGTAAGCGACCGCTTGACTCATGGTCTGCTCTCTATGTTCACTGCATGTACTCGGAAGATGCGAAGAACTTTTTGTTGACAAAATATCGTAATTTGAAATTTGCATTCAGAATGAATAAGGCTCAATTTCTGCTGTTCTCTCGGATGCGCCCCAGGCCCGGAGTCCATTACTTCGGCTTGTAGTCAAGACTAAAACTTGAGTTACTCACGACAGCCCCAGATGTTCAAACGTTGGACAGTACCATCCGCGAGTTAAATCGCTATCCAGCAGTATTAGGGAAATAATTTGCATTATAATACTTTTTTTTTTATTAAACGTTTCAGCTCATTAATAGACTGTGCGAAATATCAATTCTAATCTTTTTATCAGATATGGTCACTGACATTTCAAAGGGAAAGAATTTGCTAGTAGTCTCACCAGTTTGATAGTGGAAAAAATCTTACACCTTACTAGCAAAACTTAGCAAGTGCACCAAAAAGTTAACTTCCAGCCCTGATGCCACTCCTCGCCCTGCTAGATTCTGCCTTGCCACGTTCTCAAGCGTAGAATATCGATAAAACTTAAATTACTCGGGTTTGTTTCCTCTTTTGAACCTACCGCGATAACAAAATGTGCGGTTGTTTGAGCAGAGTTAGTTGAGGAGACTGGTTATGAAAGCCAGTAAACGTCAGTGGTAAAAGCAACAGTGCTGCAGACGTTAGGGGTGGTTCACTCTGTATTTTGAGGGCAACCCATGGTCGCCTCGAGCTCAGTCAACCATATAAGCCTGAGTCATTTTCAGAATTTTACGGTGTTTCTTATAAACAAACTGTTCGCGCCAAGGAACCAAGAATGAATGTGTCAGTCTTTTAAAACTAGGCAAGTAAAAGATCAATCTTACTGCGAGTATAGAAATCAATACAGGTATCTGAACAAAACCTAACTCTTTTATTATTCTTGCATGTTTAACAAAATATTATATTTGCGCAATTTTGTGTTAACAAGAATGAATTTTTTTGTTATTTACACAACACCTCTCCAGTTTGGCTAGTTCTGTCCCGATTTCCCTCAATTGCTTAAGAAGACAGGGGCAGTGGAACTGATAAAAGCAGCACCTCCTTTCCCTCCCAGGGTTACAACTTTGAATTGCACTTTTTATTGTGAATATGTAATTTTGATAGGTCTTGGGAGGGAAAGGATAGATTCAGTATAGAGATAGAGTACCACCCAGATGAAGATAAACATATGATCGTACGATCTCGAATTGAAGGGACTTATAGGCTGCCTTACGTTTCCCTTGTTTTCCTGTCGCGTTACTCAATATCCTAATTCCTTAAAAAAATAGGGCACTGCTCGTAATCTAAGTGACTTTAATTTCAGTTACGATTTTGAAAGCCTTTCAGAAAGTAATAGCGAGCCTAAGCAAAGGCGTTTTTAAACGACTCATATCAACCGGAAAGTGAACTTCTTGCATTCTCAAGTTGGGGAATGCTTTTGCCCAAATCTACGTGCAAATCGTCTCTACTGCAGTAAAGACACTGAGCACGACATATTTGGTAGCGTCAACACACATTAAAAGGGAAAAGGCCTGACTTGCAGTTGACGCGGGTGGCTCAAAAACGCATTTGCTGAAGCTCCCTAAAAACTATGTATTTTAAAAAACATGTCTCGCAGAACCTCGTGAGGCAGGTTGTTAATAGTGATAAAAAACAAAGGTTTGTACCAAACCAATGATAACCAACAAAACAAATAAAATAACAAATAAATACAAAGACCTGCAAAAGGTACGAAAAAATATCACTAACTGTTCAGCTGTAAAGCCCAGAGTTCTGCTGTATTTTTGGTAATCGCAGTGCGCTATGTTTCAAATGTGTAATCTTAGTAAATAAGGATAAAATATGTAAAATCTAACTACTTCATGCTACTACATGTCCTCTAGCTTGGACGCCTTGTACAATAATCTACACTACTATACAAATAGTTGGCCATTTTCTGCCAATCTTAGGGTTGTTTATTCGAATTGTATCGGGATGTCGCCCAGGAATTTTTCTATAAAGTATTCTTACCTTGCTGTTTTAAAGCGTACGAAGCGTATATATCAAAAAATATATAATTACATTTTTAGGCTACAAACTAAAAAACGATAAAACTTTAACTACAGCAACCCAGAGAAACATACATCAGGGGTGTTGACTTCTGCTACCATAGTGAAGTGTTATCTTAACCTGCGAGCAAGCTCTCTGGGGATCACTAGGGTGTTCCTTACCGTCCCCTCCACCCACAGAGCTAGTCTCGTCTAGTTTATGAAGACCCTCTCCTCAAGCCATAACGACCACATGAATTCACCGCGGTAACGTTCATCTGAATCACATGATCCGAACGGGTGAGGGACGGTGGCCAAATGGGAGGGTCTAAGAGTTTGGCGGAGATGTTCCTAAGTGCGAGAACAGAAGTTTACCCAATGTGATTGCCACTTGACTTTTACGACTGTGTTGTGTTGTAAAGGACAGTTTCTTTTAAGTGCCTGACCGGAGTATGTGGTGCTTCTATGAAAAGCTCTCCTGGAATATCGCTTATATAGATCAGCATTCCACACTATAACTTGTATCCACTGCTATTAAAGTAAATATAGCAAAGTAAACTTGCCGCTTGGACAATTAAGTAGCTTGCAGGGCTACAAAATTGTTTCTCGTTTTAACCTAGAGCGGAGAGCCAGACAGAATATTCCATGTTGTGCTCATTCTTCTATAAATCTTTGTTCTCTCTCTCGACAGCTTCCGGTCTCCTCAGACCAAATAACTAAAGTAATTTATTTCCGGTTCTCTTCTGTCGTCGAACTCAGACCCTCGCGGCTGTCTCGGGCGTACAGGCATTTCTGGCTCTGGGGTGAGGGTGTCACGTGACGATCGTAAAGACTCTGGTCTTAAAAATTCGTCTGATTCTCGCGAAGGGGGTCTGACAAGTTGACCGTGAATATTTACGTAAGGCTGTGGAGGAAAGACAAAGAAAACAGAAAATGAGGTACGGTAGGGCGCATTTTCTGTAGCCTGTTCCAGGCTCTCAGATAGTACGGATAACGCGTGAGTGAAAGGCACGCAAAGATATGAGTGCGTGATCTGTAAAAAAACGGCGGTGGCCCTTCCTCTCCCCAGTTTCCTCCCGTTTTATTCTCGTGTTCGTGCTTTCTAACTCGGAGCTTGGAACAGGCAAAACTTTCTTTCTGTGGGGCTGTTAACCATGCTGTACTAGAGGTACAACTTTTGAGTCTGTAAATAAAAAGGGTAACCACTATAATGAAACGGCTACTAAGCAGTATTTTCCTGTGGTGCTGTTTTCGTGCTGCGTAAGGTGGATCTGTGGGCAAAAATCTGTGGCGACCCGTAATCATTCAAATGAAAGCTACTAAGCAGTAATTTATTACACTGTTTAGTGTTTTGTAAAAGGTGGTTCTCACTTTCGAATCGAATCTGGAGACGAAATGCTCAAGTGTGACCATTCAAATAATAGCTACTGAGCAGTACTTTTTTTCCTGTACTGTGAGCGATGCTGTACGAAGTGGTTCGAACTTTTGTATCGGTAGATCAGGTTCTTCAAAAGTTCTCCACAAGGTGGGTAACGCTATCCATTGCGTAAATCTCTATTCAGTGGATAACGCTATCAAATTAAAGATGGGTAACGGTGGGTAACGCTATCTATTGCGTAAATCTCTATTCAGTGGATAACGCTATCAAATTAAAGGTGGGTAACGGTGGGTAACGCTATCTATTGCGTAAATCTCTATTCAGTGGATAACGCTATCAAATTAAAGGTGGGTAACGGTGGGTAACGCTATCTATTGCGTAAATCTCTATTCAGTGGATAACGCTATCAAATTAAAGGTGGGTAACGGTGGGTAACGCTATCCATTGCGTAAATCTCTATTCAGTGGATAACGCTATCAAATTAAAGGTGGGTAACGGTGGGTAACGCTATCTATTGCGTAAATCTCTATTCAGTGGATAACGCTATCAAATTAAAGGTGGGTAACGGTGGGTAACGCTATCTATTGCGTAAATCTCTATTCAGTGGATAACGCTATCAAATTAAAGGTGGGTAACGGTGGGTAACGCTATCCATTGCGTAAATCTCTATTCAGTGGATAACGCCATCAAATTTTCCTAATAGCTACTTATCCACTGGATAGCGACACTTATCCGGTGGACAGCGTTATCCAGCCTTTGAACAACCGGGACCTGTAGATGAAATTCTGAAATGTAACTTGACAAATTCAGTTTATAATCTACTTCCTTACTTCAGAATAAACTTAACTCGTACCTTTCTTTGTCGATTTGCTGAAGGCGGAGGAGGGTTATAAGGAGCTGGGCCGTCCGAATCGGATTGTGTATCTCGGCCGTACGGTGGGTAGACTACATCACGTAAGAATGCGGGTGGCTCAGGAAGACCATCATCTATATTAATAAAAACGTTTTTAGTTAATTAACAACAAAAACATACAGTAGTAAACTCGATTAGCCTGAAACGTCAGGCTTAGACTCTCTCCCGCGCCCACGGGCAAGGGGGTGGTTTAACCACAGAAATGGGTTTTACTGTGATGGCAATAAAATAAAAATAAATAAAAAAATAACCATAATGAGGGTTCGTACTCTTTTAAGCTCTTCAGATTCCAGGACTTTCCATGACTTTTTCCATGACGTTCTTAAGTTTCCATAGCCTTAGGTTTAGCTGTCACTTTTTTACAAATTTTTAAAGCTTTTGTGTTTTAGGGCGTTTTTGACCTTAAACATTTTAAAAGACAACACCATAGTGTCCACCTAAATGTGTGTCGTTCGCGCTGTTCAATCACTCCTCTCTATCTTAAATTGTCCTTGCTTTGCCATCTGCCGCAACTAAACTACCAACCAAAACTTAAATCTTCCATGACTTTCAAGGACCGACAATTAAATTCTTAAATTCCATGACTTTCCAGGTCTGGAAAATGAAATTCTTAAATTCCATGACTTTCCAGGTTTTCCATGACCCGTACGAACCCTACATAATACAGTCTTGCCTGCCTATGAAGCCACCTCTTTCACTACCCGTCTTAAAATTTAAACCCAGCTATTTCATGCTATGTTAAATAGATTATTTTTCTTGCTGTTATGAATTCGGTGCGAAGCAGGGGACAGCGATTTGTTCCTACACGTTTAAACTTAAAAAATTGTGGCGTTAGGTGTCTCCTGATTATCAGATGTTTGTTGAGATGAATATTTTTAGCTGTGACTTCCGCAGGTTTCTACATGTTGTAGATTGAAATTGTCCTTTGGATTTTCTGGTCACGTCCGTAATCGATTTACGGAAAAGTTTGTCCAATCATTTTTGATGAAGAACAGCTCGACTACAGGGCATTAGCTTTTTAAAAACTGTTATTTCAGTGTCTTTTTTATCGTCATCGTAATTTCTATATTGCTTGCCCTATATTTGCTGGACAACCCAGGCCTCGCTACGAAATGTAGGAAAGAAAATTGTTCAGGCCAAACAAACAACCCGAATGAGCCTCTCCTGGCCAATCAGAAAGAGCCTTACGCAAGCTTTAATCCGAGTCAAGCGGATGGGCTTGCTGGTCATGCGAATAGCTTGTTGGGCAGCGATGAAAATCAAGGTGCGGTAACGGCTGATGGAGAGTTGAGAAGAGAGAATTGTACCAGTGAGTGGTGAACTTTTTAAGAGAAAAAAGCAGTTTACGAAGATCGAGCCTCGTCCTTTAGTTGAAGACGAACTGGTTAGTTCCCCATAAAAATTCTTTCAACGCATTTTTCTGGCAAAACGTCCCGACGACGAAGAGCAAGAGCCTTCGACGTGTTGAAGGAAAGGAACTTTTTGGGTAAGCTGGGATAGTGGTGAGGATTTGTCTTCAGTTTTTAGTTTAGCGTTAAACATTAAAGTGTTGCAGGGCTAAAAATATTTTTGGGACTGTTGCCGGCTACGTGCCAAATTGGTTTTAGCTCGGTCAAGTCTTTCTTCTGACCGGTCAACATCAGAAGCTAAAAATAACGAACACGATATGAAGTTGAACGTATAGCCAAACAAGTAACGACATTAAGTGCTTGTTCTCTGCAAACGTAATAGTGTGCAAAGATTTTTTCCTGGTCGCTTATTTACGTATCTGGTCAAAATGACCGGCAAACCGAATGTTTGTCCGGACCAATGGTCTTCTGGAACCAGCCTGCGAGCAAGCTCTCCATTTGGGCAAGCGAAGCGAGCCTCGCGAGAACGCGAGAACTTGTTTCACTCGCCCAAATAGGAGAGCTTGCTCGCAGGCTATCTTGAACCAGCCCGCGAGCAAGCTCTCCATTTGGGGGAGTCGCGAGAATTCACGTGAGAGCAGCACGCGAAAGGAGACCCGAGTGCGAAAGGCGGGCGCGAGGGGCGGGCGCACGCTCGAGCCCCTCGCGAGTTGCTTCGCTCACTTTAAATGGAGAGCTTGCTAGCAGACCTTCTTGACCAGACATTTTCCGTCGACCGGTCGTTATTTTAAGCCCTTTGTTTTGTTGTTACCCATACAAGATTTATGGCAAAAGGAGAGAGCTAGACAGCCTTGAACAAATAACGCCACAATCTGAGAAGTCACCACAATGGCCCTTATGTACGATTACGTCAGACAAGCAAATTTTACCTCGTTTGTGTACTAAATTCTTTGCATCCACCATCTTTCTGCATGGGTATTCTTTTCGAATGTACTGCCTTGGGGATAAATTTGTATAAAACTTCGCGAATTTACAATGTCAAAACGAGGCTTTGCTCGACTGAATGCATTTAGACTATTTCCAAGCGAAACACTGAAGACTTCACGATGTTTTTTGTTGCCTAATCGTATTACGTTAAGGTGATAAAAGGTTTGAAACTTTGGAAATGAGGTTTAGGACGTGAAATTAACCCTTGTTACACAAATCTTACACAAACAGTCTTCACGGCAACAACTATGACAACTGTTAGGGAGCTTATTTTAAGCAGCGACGTTTTTGAGCAACAGACGTCGACCGGATGTATAGTATACTTTTTGCACTATTGAGCGGTGATTTTGAACAAATTCTTGGACAAATCGTCTCTTTAAGAGTAAGGACACTTAGCAATACAAATTTGGTAGCGTCAAGGCATATCAAAAGAGAAAAAGGCTCACTTCCGGTTGACGTGCGTCGCTCAAAAACGTCACTGCTTAAAGGGGCTATGTCACCCAACACGCATGCGCGAGCCAATGAAAACAAACTTGAAAAAGACAGCCCAACTTTTTCAAGTTGTGTCGGAGATTTTGGAAGGCTGTTTTTATCTGTCTAAATCTCAGCCATCGTTCGATAGTTAGCGAAGTTTTGTATTAAGAATCATTCTATGGTGATTACAGAACAATTTTTTGGCGTTATTTTAAAATTGTTTGCCTGTGGAATGTTTTTACGTGGATTTACTGTGTCCTCTTATCAGCGGCCGTTGTAATGGCAGAGTTAATGACGGCTACTCCACAATGAGTGATGGAATCTTTGATGGAATCTTCCCTATAGTTCACAGGACCTTTCTATTGAGTTATTTTAGAGGCTGCTGGCTCTTGGATTTTTCTTGTGCTCAAAGTATGTGGACATATAATGAAGCGGCTATGGAGTTGGCGGCGGCCGTTTTTTGTAAACGATTACAAGAGCATCAGGCCATGAGTTTCGTGACGAAACTAAACTCCTGGCGAAGGAAACATTCTAAAATTCGGCTAGATTCCTTCTTGTATTTATCTCGATTCACGGCAAAGATAAACACGACCGTTTGCTCGTCCAGATTGTTCTCAACGGACTTAGAGAGGCACCTTAGTACGAGTTAGATCCTGTAAACGCCATGTTTTTGAACTGTTTGTGTTGGAGCATAATTTTGGAAAATAGCAGAGTTTGCTTTCCCTTCTTATCAACGGACTGCTTATAGTGGAGTAGTATACCAATGATGCTGGGTTCTGTTTTTCTCGACGTCGCAGTGATTCGGCACGATCGAACAATTTTGCGCGATAATGTATGTTTCCCTAAGATCAAAACAAAGACTTGGTCTCTTGTTCTATCAGCATCTAAGTTATAAAATCAATAGCGACAGACAAGTCTAATTGTTAATGATTTGAAACAGTCTTGGTCTTTATCTTCGGTCTAGCGTCTTTTGTAGCTCGTTTGTAAAATACAACTTCCATTTATTTTGTTGAATAAGACAATATGTTGTTGTTGAATTTTTGTTTGCGCTCTATTTTATGAATGGCATGCGTTTTTACTTCAAAACTACAAGTAAAATTGTCGTCGCAGTTTTATTCTTGATCTAGCATAACCAGAGAAGAAACGTTCCATAAATTCTATCGAAATATCCCTTATCTAAACCCATTTCGCTAAACCTCTCTAAATTCGGAACCTTGGACGTGACAGAGAACATGAAGAAAGTCACGCGTTAAAAACAATAGAATTTTGACAGTTGAAAGTAATTTGCATAACCTCACAGCGCACATGGAGAAAGTCACGCGTTAAAAACAATAGAATTTTGACAGTTGAAAGTAATTTGCATAACCTCAGAGCGCATGCTCTCCAGCTGACATAGCCCCTTTAATGTCCCTATTAACTTACGTGGATCGTGATGGTAATTGGACATTCCTCGGTTGCTAGGTAACATAGCCATAGGAGGTGGGAGATCTGGGGGTCTTTCACTACGGGGTAGATTAACTGGATCATCGAGGTCTAAATCTCCCGGATAATGCATAGGTTCTGCTGGCGACCTGTCTTCCGGTGTATACTGTGGGGGTGGCCCTGAGTACAAAAGTTATCAACACTAAATTCAACTGCGTGAAACGCGGACAGTACGTCAAGCGGACGGTTACAGCGACATACAACGACCACCCCTACTTAGCGCACTCGCACCCCTTGAAGTTTAGCTTGATAGTAAGTTTTTCGTAACCTGCATTAAAATAGTTACTGTTATCAGCTTACGCCAAAAGACAAAACTATAATCAATTTTATTCTAACTATTACTTCAGGGAGACCCGTTTATTTCACTTATAGCTAGGGAAAAGAAAAGATTAAACTAATCGGAAAAATTAACCAAACTTAGTGTATTACTCTAGTTAATGTTAGATCATTCGTTTTTCATTATTGGTGATGAAGAAACTGAAATGAAAAAGGTGTTCTTAATTGATGCGATTGAGTTAATTAAGACGTTCCTTTGTTTTTCCACTTTTCAGCAAAAATTTACGGGAAATCACCAATGAGTTTTAGTCACGTTATATGGTTATTAAAAAGTCAAACATTTGGATTATATTTAGCTTGGCTGTTAGTTCCCTTTACAATTTATTTAAGTAGTTACAAATTGTTTTCCACCATCACTCCTACCTTAAGAACTAGTCAAAACTGTTCAGTATCGTACAATGAGTGTGAGTATCGTATCGTATCGTACAGTATCGCATGGTTTTGCTTTTCTTACTTATTGATAAACACCTGCGTTTTTAAGTCACAATATTGAGATATGTTTAACTGTATTTAAGGTTTAATCAATTTATTTTTATACTAACATCCTTTATAAGCACTGGCGTTGTAGAAAGACGGTCCAACCATCAGCGGTAGAGGACGAGGTCGGCCTGCTGAAATGATAGTAGGTTGGGTTTGTTAACTAATACTTAGTACAAAATATTAACTTAGAAACAATGGTTAAAAACAAGACTGGGGACAAGCACAAAAAAAGAGTTTCGATTGGTAGGCGGCTTTCACGGTTAACGATTAATACCTTGGATTTTACACTGTTACATTAAAAAGAAATCTAAGTCAAAATAATTAATTGTTTAGTTATCCATTAATTGATCAAAATACATTTAAGGGCTTAGAACGTCCTTGAGTGTCAGAGAACAGAGAAGAAAACTGGAATAGCACCCATTAACGTGAAGAATATAAAAAATTCCTGCACTAAAGAGAAACAAATGTCCATTTTAATGGTTAATCTATCTATTTGATGTTAGACACATTTAAGAATTTAAACCCTCCTTAGCTATCCCAATTTAAGGAAAAGTCTGTAACGAGGCTAGAATTAAAAAAGATTAAGAACTAAAGAGTAACATTTGAGGGAATTTAATGTAGAAGAGAAATGCATAACTAACTCGGGTAGAAAAACCTTCTTCCAGTGGATTCCCGATACAACGAGGAGCCAGCAGCCAGCAAAAAGCCTGACTTCTGGCTGTACGTGTGTTGAGGTCCCATTCGCTGAGAAGCCTTTTAAGCTATTACAGCCAGCTTGATCATACGGTATGCTGGCAGGGATAGAAAACCACACCATCAGAGACTACTTCCCCTACTAAGCGCTTCTTACGAACAGTGTGTGTGTGTGTATGTGTGTGTTCCTCACCGTCCCGCATACCTTTGAATGAGCACGTGATGTGAGACGGGACTTACAGTTTCTGATCCTTTCCTGTCGAAGAAGGCTAGAAAATCTAACCCTTTGCAAAACAGTTACTGCTTTTGTAACGTTTTACAAAAGTAGCACTTTCTCCTCAGTTATGGAAAGTCCCTGAGCGTTAGTCCGGCCAGGCTTTGAACTCACGGCTTCCCACTAGCCAGATCGGCGCTCATCCAACTGAGCTAACCGTGCGTTTGCAAAATAGAGATCATTTTCCATACATATTTATAGCAGCGCTTGTTTTACCTGGGTTTCACAGTAACAAAAGGGATCAAAACCTACCGATTGCCGGTTCACTTGGCTCGCTGCGCGGTTTCTTTGTCGATTTTTTCTTTTGCGGCATTGAATATGGAACTGTTGGGTCAATGGGCCCATTTCTGGGGGCGCTCGTGGTAGAAAGGCCTTGAGGTAACACTCTTGGTCCCAAAACACGTCCCTGTTGGTCCACTGGTGCATAACGTGGATCGTCATTAAGCTCATTAGGTCTGCAGATAACAAATAAATGAATTACGAGTAATAAAAAATTACATGAGCAGAGTCGACTTTTGAAAAGCAAATAGGCCAAAGCGTCCTTATAATGTTATAAAGGGAATGAAAGCAAACAAACAAACAAAAACGAAACAAACAAACAAAACTAAAGGCCGCCTGGAGGCGAATTTCGATCCAATTTCCTGCGCAACCTCGTAATAGCCATTAAAAGAAGCGATATAGCGTCCCCAAAACAGCCCATAGAGCAATTCGACGCAACATTTACAAGTCTTACTCTTAACTTCAAAATGGCCAATAATTTAAACATCAAACAGCCCAATAAAGCCAGTACTTGTCGTTAAAAACGACTTGAACCTCTCGACTCCTTCCAAGACAATATTATTTTTTCTGTCGCGTCAGTGGCTCCTCCAATACTCTGATTTAAATTTCAATCAGTGCATAGACGAGACGAAAAATGTATTAATAATAATATCTTTAGTTATCCTGATAAAACCGATAAGCTGACCAACAGAGGAACAACTGGTATGGTCCGGTGATCAGAAATAAAAACTATCAAAAAATTGGTTCGAGACAAGACTAGCGGTAGCCTAACTCTATCAAATTACAGTCCTTCTTCCTTGACTTCGTTCACGAAGAAAGACAACCGTTTCATTAATCACTTTCTTAACAAAACAGAAGAGTCTTAGTAACGTTTGCATTGTTGCGAATACAGCTTTGGGTTTGCCCATATCCCATGACAACGCCCATCTACGGAGAAATGGGATAAAGTTGTAACTTAGGATTCTCAGGTTCAAATTACCTCAGCAAGTTTCTCAGATGTTTCTACGCTTTTCAAAATTACTTTTGGGCCGGAAAATCTTAGGCCAAACAAATGAGGATCATTTTACGTTTCTAGGAAACTGCCGACCTACCCCTCACGTAAACCAACATTAACACTTGGTTCTTACTTAGGGCAAAATGTTGGCTTAGGGGAGGGGTAGGTGGGCAAAACCGCTAGTGACATTGTTTCCTTTAACTTTCATACAAAAGCCAACGCACAAACCTGACTCGAGGGGGAGGTGGTGCCGTTCTTTGAGGAGTAAACCGCGTTTCCCCGTCACTAGAGTCAGTGGGCTCATCGGAGGGCGATGGCCTTGGTCTACGTCCAGCGTGTCTACCTTGGCCAGGTCCCGTAAGGTCTCCTGTCGACTTCCTAATCTTTGGCTTTCGCCCAGACTGGCGCATGGCCTCTTCAAATGAGGGTGGTTCGTGATAAGGTGGCAGCGTGTTGAAGTCTCTCTGCGGTCCCCTTGCTGGGTAGGCTGAGTCAAGATCGCCGGTGCTTTGAGCTACAGGATGGTTTCTTGAGAGACGGGAACCTGGGTTCATGAGCATTTCAGACTGAGGTTGGACGGAATCTAAACCAAAAGCAGTGAGTAGGCATCAACCCAATTGAAATTAAGGCTGTAACAAGAAGTGGTCCTCAGGGTCTCTCACACAATAGGCCTCTTTAGCTTGTATGTTTTGTTTTCCCTATGAATGACTCAAGGAAATTTGCCCCTTTGTCTTTTCATGAATTATCCGCATATAAGCACAGGAATAAGACGAAATTTGAATGAAACAGTTCTCTAGAGTATTCATGACTTATATTGGGTAAATACAACAATACTAGCTTAAGAGGGTTGTTGCTAACTCCACAACGCGCTAGTTGCTGAATCACTCCTTCTATTAAAAAGGTGTAGCCTTTCTTTGCATAGTGACAATCCTCACACTCAAAAATAAGCACCACTGACACCCTGTTCAGCACAATAAACAGTACCACAAAACGTAACTTGAGTGGACCTCAGTTTAAGATTTTATGTGCTGCCTCGTACTTTAATATTAAACAACACCAAGGAAAAGTACTACTCAGTAATTTTCATTTGATGCCACACCTGAAAATTCTAACGCGGTGCGCGTGTCACTAAGCAATGACGTTTTCGAGCGACGTACGTCAACCTGAAGTGAGCCTTTTTCACCTTTAATATGCTTTGAGACCACCAAATTTGTATTGCTAAGTTTTTTTACTCTTATAGAGACGATTTTTCCAAAAGTTTGTTTAAAACCACGGCTGAAGAGTGCAAAAAGTCCACTTCCGGTTACCGTGCGTTGCTGCTTAAACTCCCTATAAGGGATCTTTAGCAAATACGTTTTTGAGCAACTCACGTGAACAGGAAGTGGACTTTTCGCATTCTTGGGCAGTGGTTTTGCCTAAACTACGGTGGCGCCAAGGCATCTTAGCGTCGCTCGAAAACGTCGTTGCTTATGCTTCCTAAACTCATTTTTACGAGTTTTTTCAATGAACAATACCTTGTGATAAGTAGCCAAGGTTGACGCCAGAGTCACCTTTCTTTTTCTTTCCATCAGTTGAGTTCATGGACTGCATGGACGCAAAATGTGCTTCAATGAAAGGATCATCTTCAACAGATTCCATACCATAGCTACGTGGTCTTGTATCGAGGGAGCGCGAGACATCTGGCGGCCCACCAACTACATAACTGTAAGAGGGGAAATTTATATTAGTTCGGCTGCCTTTGTTTTGTTTGTTGAGTTTTTTACTTCTAATCAGCAGGATTCAATCTAGGATTTATCGTTTGCTGGGGGAGACGTCCTGAGTGGCCAAAGGCCACAAGCTTCCTAGGGTGGTCCAGGAGCTTACCCCTTGCAAATTTTTTAAAATGATTATGCGCTGAGATACAATCTGGTGCCTTTTGAGACAGTTTTGAGAAATAATACAATGGTATTTCATTTCATTTTTTCAATCGTAATCACGTTACAATACAATGTTACAATACTCAATGTTCCTTGTCATATGGTGTCCTTAGAGAGGGAATACTTACATCACCTGCAGTGACCTCGTGGCGTCTGGATAATTTTTCCGATATAGTTCCTAGGACCAGCTGGTTTAGTAAATTCTGTCTCACCTTGCTAATTAGTTATGGGTGGATTCAATCAGTTGCAACATACGCGTTTCGTCATCGCATTTGTCTGTTGGAATTTTTTGACGCTTTAAAGTTCAAAACCACTAAACAGTTCCAGAGAGCAAATGCGACGGCAAAACGCGTATGTTGCAAATAAATCGTCAATCCATCCAAGATCGGATGTCACTGAAACGGAAAACGGGGAATGGAAACGGGGAACGGCAACAGGGAACGAGCACGGGGAACAAGGGGAACAAGGGGAAGGGCAAAATTAAACATGGGAAAAAAAAAACAGACTTAACCCTATCCCCATTAGTAACTTCGTTACCAATTATCTTTTGTTTCCCGTTCCTCGTTCCTCGAATTAGTAACATTCCTCCAAGACCAGCATTTCCTCCGCAAACTATCTAAACCATTACTAAAGATAGCTAGTAAAAGACAACTTCACAACTTAAATGATCTCCTACCTTGAAGTTTGAGACATATTTACGCGGTCAGCTGCAAAGTAGAGGTAAAAATAAAGAATTACTCAGTTTAATACGCAAACAATGAATAAGGTGTATTGAAATCTAACAGTAGAACCAACAAGGGTGGTACAGAAGTAAGAGTATAATCATAACTATACTGGCTCTCCTTCTTAATTCCTGCCAAATAAGCAGAAAGTTTTTCTTCTCAAAAAGATCTAACGATTACTGCATTGTTAAAACCTCGTTAGGTGGCCGACCTCCTTCAGAGCTACAAATTGTAGACTACCAACAAATTTTGAAAAAAGCCGTGGTTCACTTGCTTAAAAGCGTTGTCTGGATTAAACAGTTTTAGAACAAAGGGAGGAAAAGTGTCTTAAAAACACAGTAAAAACTACCACACTGCCAAGGCATGAATAGCCAGTGAAAAGGGTCTCCGTTTGGCGAAAGGGGACAGACTGTCAGTCGAGAAATGGCCTTACCTTGGAATGCGCTCATAGACATGGGGGAGATTCTATTCTCGCGGCAAAGAGTGCCCTAAAATCGTGTCTAAAAATAAACTGGTCCGTAAAAACGTCGTGACATAGGCCTAGTATGGGAGTTGCTCGCTCCGGGTTGTGGGCTCTTGCCTACGGGTATTTACGAGTTAAAAATGAAAGGGAGAAAGCGGGGCAATAGGGCCCTTTCCGCCTCCCAAGCTACCCCACTATCCCTCGCTCGCCAAAAGTTTCTCTTTTTGTCCCAAAGAAGGAGCCTGGTCCCAGGTTAGGACATGAACTACCACGCCAGCGCAGTTCTAATACTCTTACCTCCAAGGGATTTCTTGCGACGCATGAAGCAACACAGGCAGAGTATAACGATGCCTATGAGTAACACCCCACCTACAGCTGCAATAACAGCTATCATCCAGTTTTTAAGTGGTTCCTCACGCTTTCCTACGATTGGGACAGCTGGTACTGAAAGAGGTGAATATTAAGCAATATTATTATTCACTCAAAATATTTCCCCAATTCTGACTGGCTAGAAGCACACGCATAATTCACCACAACCAGTTACTGATGACCAAATTTGGAAGAATTTTGTGTTTAATGAGGAAATGACGTCAAAAATACAGCCCTGTACAGGTTAACGAACCGTTAACCGAGAAGACCTGGGGACGAGGTTGAGTTGTTTTCGTTGTGAAAACTAAAAATGGCGGACACTTCACTCGCTTCAAGAGTAAGAAGTACAGCTGGAACTAGGCAAAATAATGGCTAAAAACATAGCAAAAACACTATCGAAGGTAAACTTAACATCGATGCAGGTAAGCATGTTTTAGCTCTGTTTTTAAACTAGGAATTATTTCGAATGAAAAATAAAGCAATTAATGAATTCGGCTTTCGTAGGATATGAAGAATTCAGCAGATCTCGAGGGGGGGGGGGTTATCCACCAAGGCTGAACGCCGAGGTGGATAACACACTCCTCGATCTGCTTAATTTTTCATATGCTGCGAAAGCCGAATTCATTAATTGCTAATTATTATTCATTCAAAATATTTCCCCAATTCTGATTGGCTAAAAGCACACGCATAATTCACCATAACCAGTTACTGAAGACCAAATTTGGAAGAATTTTGACTTATTGCAGCGTTCTTACAGGTTAAGGCACCGTGGGAACGAGGCTGAGTTATTTTGGCTGTAAAAATAAAAATGGCGGACACCTCACTCGTTTCAAGAGTAAAAACTACAGCAGGAACTAGGCGTAATCATAACAAAAAACATAGCAAAAACAGCAAGACGACGACTTCTTTGCCGTCCTACACGACTACGACGTGAAAATGACTAATTTCACGATTTGTCGAGGACGGGAACACAAGACAACAACTTTCCTTTTCTTTTTCTGCACTTTGATACAGTCCTTTAGAATTCAACTCCAAAAAATTTGCTAACATTTGACGAACTAAACGAGAAGAATTTAGCGCGATCAAGTTTCAGGCAGCGCAACTTCACTTTTTAAGCGACATTTTCGCCACCATCTCCGTCATTGTTGCTTAACCTCCATGATACCAGGAGGAGGACGGCGGCGAAAACATCACTAAAAAAGTCACGTCTAGTTCTTTGAACTTTCAGCGCCATTATCCCAACTCGCTCACTTTTTCAAATGTAGACGAACTCTCCTGGAGTTCAATTCCTAAGAAACGTATCCAAGTTCAAAGGAAAAACGAAAAATTCATCGTCGTTTCTTTACCCTTTCGATAAAACATAAAAGCACACAATTTCTCCGGTTCCTCTTCAAACTTTCTTCATCATTACAGTAGGGAAGGTGTGTAAGACAGTGTGGAGAATTTACAAGCTGATAATAGGGTTTGAGGGCTAATAGAAATAAAAAGGTTTTGACGCGCGACCTACCTTCATTACTCTCGACATATGTAGGATTGTTTTCTCCAGGCCGTCTCATGTCCAATCTAAACTTGTATTTGGCATCAGCTTTAAGGTTTTTCACCCTAAACTGGGTTGTAGATGTGGTCATATCACTGGCACCAGACACAGCCGACCAGCTCCCCTCCCCGTCCTCCAAAATCTCAAGTTTCAGTTTGTTTACCAGGTTATCTGTCACTGTCCAAGTTACGACTATTTCTGTTGGGTCGTCCGCTACTCTTGTCGCTGTCACTAACGAATGAAAGAGGAAAACAAGGAAACATCTTTTAAGTTATTCCTTATTACTGCATTCGCCTACCCCTCCCCTAACCCAACATTTTGCCCTAAGTGAGAAGTACGTGTTAATGATGACTTAGGGGAGGGGTAGGTGGGCAGTTTCCAAGAAATCTAAATTGATCCCATTGCGCATCCCTACTGCGCATAATTTTACGCGTGATTGGCACGCGCACATTTAAAAAAACCGGCTTTTGCCTTAAGGCTGGAGCTTCCCACAGATGTAAATCTCCATTTTCTCTTCAACGAGTATGGTGAAGTATCATGTCTCCTTTTTTTTAAAGTGAGCAGTAGCTATTTTTCTCTGGGAAAAAAATATAGACTACTTCTCCATGCAGAAATGCAGAAAAAGGATCAATCGTCTGAAACGTGTTAAAAGCATGCACCCGTAAAAAGAAAAAGAAACATATTGGTATTTAACCCTTTAAGTCCCAATTGTGACCAACATCAATTTCCCCTAACGATATCCATACAATTTCAAGAGATTAGGTTATGAGAATTAATAAAATGATCACCTAAGAGAAAATGCTTTGATCTTTTAACAAATTCTATCAACTCATTTTTTAAGAAAATGTATAGGAGAATTTGTACGTGTATATATTGGGGCTTAAAGGAATTATTGCGTATATACAAGTTATCGTTGCTCCTAAACGAGTATGGGGACTCCAATTTTATTTCAAAATTCAAGTTCACAAAATTCCCACTGCAGTTTCTATTACAGAAGAATGACCTTGTGATCCTGGCGGTACTCATTTGCGACGCAAGTTTATAAGGGGATGAATCGACTTTCGCAAGTCAAAACTTGTTGAACAACGACTTCGTTAGCCTACGAATACAGCCGCCCCTCATAGGACTCCGTCGCTAGGACGTTGCGCGAAACGTCCAGAGTGGTGAAAGACAGCTGTATTCGAAGGCCACATCACCGCTAACTGTCAGCCATAAGAACAACTTTAAGGACACACAGGAACTCAAGATTAAAAGCCAGGTCAAGCGTACCCCCAAAGATTCCATTAACCCTTTAAGTCCCAATGGTGACCAACATCAATTTTCTCCTAACCATATCCATCGATTGTCACGAGATTAGGTTATGAGAATTAATAAATTGATCACCTAAGAGAAAATGCCTTGCTCTTTTCCTAAATTCTCTCCACACATTCTTTAAGAAAATGTATAGAGATCAGTTTGGAGAATTTGTATGTGGATATTGGGGCTTATGGGTTAATGAGTGCATTATTCGAAGGTTGAATCCGTTGGTGGTTGTTGATTTCAGTTTCATCTCTGCATTCCTGCATGCAAAATGAGCAGTGAATTCACACGCGAGGTAGTTATGAAATTCCATCAGCTCTATTTCCACGAATTTGATGTAAATGTCTTCAAAGCAATTTTATCCATCCAAACAAGGTATCATAAAATAAATCACAACTCATTACGCATGCATGAACGCAGATTTGAATTTGATACTGGTTGCGACAAGGGCTAACACTGGTAACAGATTCCTCTTTTCAAATAATCGATTCATTCACAAGGCCTGACTCGACTGTAAAGCTTACCTGACCCTCTGGCTGGGTCCACTGTTGCCGCTAAAAACACAAAGACAATGAAAAGGTCACCAACCACAGATAAACTGATTATGACGACTAAGAGAAATCACGTGCAAGACAAACGAGCTCAAAGAGGCGTAGCAGGTTAAGAAAGAAACTGTGGCGATACATTGGTTGGGGAGTGAAACACAACAATTTGGTCTTATCAACTCTATTGATACCATTCGCCACTTTAAAGACGAGAAGTAAACTGGGGCGAGTAAACTTTCGCCAGGACTTCTGGGACGGCTACCAGGGACAGGGAATTGGCCAATAGGGAGCTTAAGCAACAACGACGGCGACGGATACGAAAACATCACTTAAAAGTGAATTCGTGCTGCTTCAAACTTTATCGCGCTTATTCCATCTCGTTTATTTCGTCAAGTGTTGGCAAAGTTTCTTGGAGTTGAATTCTAAAATGACAGTATCAAATTTCAGGATAAGAAAAAGAAGTTGTTGTCTTGTGTTCCCGTCTTCGACAAAACGTGAAATTAGGCATTTCGACGTTGTAGTCGTGCAACGACGGCTAAGAGAAGTACAAAAAGGCGTGATACACCTGCAGTTGTTGTTTTACTAATATAAACGGCTCAAACCTATTGTTTTTTTCCGTTCTCGTTGCTGTCGCCGTCGTCCTTGCTTAAGCTCCCTAATAGGGACTGTAAGATCCACGACGCGACGGCAATGAGAACGTCGCTTAAAAAGTGAATTGGCGTTCTTTCAGTCTTTATCGAAATTATTCCTACCCACTTACTTTGTCAAATGTAGGAGAACCCTTCTGGAGCTGAATTCCTAGGGACCATATCCAAGTGCAGTAAGAGAAACAAAATTTCGTCGGTGCTTGTTTGACTTGTTTACGTACTCCATAAAACGCGAAATTAGGCATTTTCACGTCGTGGTCGTGCAAAAATGGGCAAAGAAATGTACAAAAAAGTTGTTGTTTTGCTAATAAAACCTATTGTTGTTGTTTTTTTTTTTGGACGTTCTCGTTACCGTCCGCGTCGTTGGATCTTAAAGTCCCTAATAACTCACCGGCGCCTCCACAGTAACGGTCCCAGAAACAATTGCAGGACGCGTTTCGGCTCCAGTCCCTTTCTGGATTCTAAAGTGGCGCGTTAGCCCTGACGAAGGCAACGCTCGAAACCTAAGCATTGGAACCTCTTCCGGTCGAAAGTTTTCTTAATAAAACCTACCGTATTTCCTCGAAAAAAGGAGGTGCGCTTAATAAATTCTCTTCCTTTTGGTAAACCAGCGTAACATGGTCCCATTAAACACTTAACACAACGATGTATCACTTATAAACAACGAGGCTATAGAAACAGGTTTTCATTATATCCCTTCTATTTAAGAAAGTGATAGGGGGAGGTAGCGCTTATTCGAGACGGGCGCTTGTTTGATCTTTTGGCCTGGAGGTGGGTTCTTATTCGGGGGAGGGCGCTTATTCGAGGAAATACGGTATTTGATCAGGGATATCACTAAGATTTGAACTTGCCGGGTAAATACAACAAGTAGGCGGCGAATAAAACTGCTAGCGATTTCTTTTAGTGCTACATGTATGTTTCTTCTATTTAAAAATAACCGAGGGTCACATACATAGTAATCGGGGGAATTTCCTTGCCCCCGCCTCTCAATGACAGTTCTGATTGATAGAAGAAATGTTATTTCTTTGTTACCTGTGGTCGTAACTTGAGCCAAAGGTGAAGTTCCACTATTTCCCAGTTGATTCGACGCTTGCATCATAAATTCATATGTTGTATTAGGGCTTAGTTGTTGAACGGTGTGCATATCATTTGGGGGAAGACCAATGACTACTTCCGTAAAATCGCTGCCGCTTCCTTTCTTACGATAATGAATTGAGAACTGCTGATCATAGCCGCCATTGTAACCAGGAGTCCAGCTTACGTTCACACTCACTGTTTGCGAATCGGGTACTGAGAAAGGAACCACTTTCACGTCCTGAGGAGGATCTGGAGGCCCTGTGAATCCCATGGCAAAACAGTGTTGTTGGGTTGCCACTCAGGCTATGTTCACACGTACGTGGTACGTTCACACGGAACCACCTTCATGGGTCCTTGTCAAACGGCGGCCATTTTGTCCCGAGAGACTAAAGTAGCTTTGTTTTACCTTTCTAGCCTCGCCCCCAAGTTTTTCACTGCGAGGTCGAGGGAGGTAAAACAAAGCTTTTTCAGTCTCTCGGGACAATATGGCCGCCGTGTGAATAAGGCCCATGGGGTTATGTCACGAAGCTAAAACGTTTCTTCGCATCAGTTGAATTACAAAAAATATAATGGTCCAGTTTTGTTATTTAAGACTCTATTAAAGCATTGAAACTGTTTGATGTCGTCTGTTGCGATGGATGGCAAGGATGGAAAAGAATCAAAATTTTACAAAGTTGGTCCAATTTTTTCAAGTTCCACAGCTATGCCTCCAAAAATTGACAAAAAAAAATATGGTTATTGTTCCTGCATAAAACTTGTTTGATAGCTCTACACAAGAGCATTTTGTGTATGGGTGAAGGCACTAAAATGACTTAAGCACAGAATTTACCTCAAACAACAATATCCTCGTGGCATAGTCCCTTTTACCAGACGAAAATTTAGATGCCTAGCCGTCCGAAAATTTGACTACAAAATCGAAGTAAAATTTTTCGCCGGTACGGTCGAAAATTTGACCGGGGTAGTATGAACACCGTAACGGTCTAAATTTCCGTACTAAAAAGCGCGGTTGCATGGATCAGTGGTAATTCAGCTGGCAGACAGCATTTTGGATTTGTATCGGTAATAGCATGATTAGTAGTGATATTTGGCATAAATACCACGAGTGACGTTTCGAAATTGTTATACGTAATTTCACGAGCGGTTAGGCGAGTGAAATTTGAGACAATTTTGAAATATCACGGGTGGTATTTATGCCAAATATCACGTACAAATCATGCTATTATTTGTTTATACTACTACCCGCAAAAGGTTTGTAATTTTCACATGTAGGTATTTCAAATTAAGTTGAAATACCACTGCTCTAAACCAATCAAATTACAGAAATTTCTCATGTAGTAGTATAATCTAAGTAACACTCTGCAGCGCATGGGCAGATGGTAAAACCACTAAAAAAACGGAATATTCAACCTACTTCGTCGTCAGTTCCGTTCGAACAGAGCCCAACTGTTGAACGGTTCCGTGCCAAAGAACTGTCCGGTCAAATTTTACAGCCGGTCGAAAATTCGTCCAGGAGCCGCGTGATGTTAGCCTCAGTGAGGGTCGTTTACATCGCACAACTTGCGGGCAACGAAGTGGTAGCCGGTGAAAACAGCCACCTCTCTTCGCAAGACTTGCCAGCAGCGGGAAGAGATGACCGGGGATTGTAGTTGCGATCTGACTATTTGCTACACTTTTACCCTGTTAAAGGTGGTTCTAACGTTTAAGTCTGTGGATAAAAACCTATGGTGTGACCATTCCGAACGAAAGATACTGTGTGGTACTTTCCTGTGGTTCTGTTTGTTATGCTGTACAAGTTGGTTCTAACTTTTGTCCCGACCTTTGAGTCTGTAGATGAAATCCTGTGGTGTGACCATTCAAAAGAAAGCTACTGAGCAGTACTTTCTTGTGCTACTGTTTATGATGATGTCACAAGGCGGCTCGTACCTATTGAGTCTGTGGATGAAATCCTGCAGTGTGACCATCAGTAACTTTCCCAGCAGTACTCTTCCACGGTACTAATTGTTTTTTTTTTTTTTTTTTTTTTTTGATTTGATGTTTGATATGTGATGCCTTGGGGAGGAAAATGGGTCTCACGGTTTCTTTTTTTTTTTTTCTCACTGCTAGCAACTAAACCAGCACCTACCTCTTTCTCGTATAATATACTGCTGTGTGTCATTACCAAGAATATTGGTAGCAACACAGTAGAACTTATCACCGACTTCTTTCCCTGCTGTAGTGACAATGATCTTCATGGTAGTAGCCTTCAAATGATTGGTAATGCTCTCAACTTTCTCGTCAATAGCTGAGAGATCATCTCCGTTTGGATCTCGTCTCCAGGACAGAGTGGGTGATGGCTTGCCCTTGACGATGCAAGTTAAATCCACCCGCTCTCCAGTAGCGCCAGGGATATTTGTAGTTATAGGAGCAGATGTCAGAATAGTGGGGCGAGCTGTAACAAATTTTGATTAGAAATGCAGGTCACACTACGCTAGGCAGTCGTTGTGCGCTTCACAGAAGGGTGATCAAGAGTTTAACCCTAGACAAAGGCTCTTTTCATTTGTCAGAACTGACTGGCCAGACCATTCTTGTCGTAATGAGAATTTCACTTTTAATCAAAACTATCCAGCTAGATCAGTCAAATCCTAAATAGCATGCGCGAAAGCAGCCGAAAAGAGTCGCTTTTTCAGCAAAAAACTCTTTGAAAAGCTTCAATGCTAAACTGACTGGTCCAGCCATGGTCCGGCCAGCCAGTTGCGCTCCATAAAAGAGATCCCCTCTTCCACCTCCCCCATCACAGTCATACACAGACATAACCTACTGAACTGAAGACCAAGCAAGGAAGCAAGGAACATGGGGGGGGGGGAGGGTCACAGCCAGAAATAATTGTGTACTGTTTTTCATCCTTATCTGAGAGGACTAAGGATCTCATCATTTGCAGAAGTCAAAAAGAGGCAGCGGCTTACTCTCAGTAAAAGATCACGAGTGTTGACCTGTGTTTGACGGTGTGTTTCTACTGAAAAGAATGAAGTTCACAACGCACAATCGAACCTGGGACTTCCGTATACTAAGCTCTCCTCTGAAACAAATTTTTAAACAAGCAGAAGCAATACCCATATCAGGGTAGTGAAAGTCATCAGTATAGAATTTCTGGGCTCCTTCCTCAAACGTCATCTCGCGGGGAAACCGTTGGTGGCGTTGTGCAATGTTGGCTGTTTTCTTAGAATAACTTTGTCGACAAACTCGCGCCAAAACGCTAGCCTGCGCCACAGACAAAACTATAAAACTCTGGTTGAGTACGTCTGCGAAACAGCGCCGAAATCCTTCTACTGGACCCCCCACCAGTGTACCCAGATTTGAGTACGCGTCATGATTGGCCTGTTTAAAAGGCCATTGTCGATTTCCGGTACGGCCATCTCCATAAAATGTTTCGTTTCCCATCGCCCGACCGACCCATTTTTTCGGAAAAGTAAAAAAACAATTCCAGAATCACTTGTAAAGAAGCAAGTACTTTAATTTACAAGCACACGATCTTGTCTTATTAACACCAATTGTCTTAAATTATCATCAATACTTCGTTTTTGTAGCCTTTTTAGACATTTGATAGTCCTGTTAATATACATCTTTTACCATCTGATTATATCTTGCAGACTAAACGTGAGATTTAATATGCAATCAAGTGTTCATTCTTCTCTCTTTTTTCTTTTGCCCGACCGACCGATCCACCTTCAGGGAGGGCGATGGGAAACGAAACATTTTATGGGGATGGCCTAATTCGTTGAGTCCGTTGGGGGCCCACAACGGGGATTTGGGCGCTGCTTCGCAGACGTTACTAACCGGGAATAAATTACGTCTGCGACGCAGGCTACAAAACGCTTTCTACGCAGGTTACCTCGTAACATAACATTAGAGACCTTTAGATACCAGGACGACTACGAGTACGAGATTTGAGCCGACGTGTTTTCGCGTCCTCTCAAAATATAGACTTCCCGGAAAGCTTCATTTTGCCATTTTTCACTGGAAAAGTTAGCATTGTTATCTTTAGAGAAGGAGGTTACAGGCTCTCCCGATAGAAAAATAATAAAACTTTTAACATTTGATATCTTGTTTTCGCCACCACGACATTCGCGCGAAAACTCGTAGTAGAACGACGACGGCTACCACGTTTTCCCGCCAAATTGACGCTGGTTCACGCGCGTACACTACTTAGTATTGAGAAAATCTCGTACTCGTAGTCGTATTCGTCTTAGAATTTAAAACGTCTCTAATACTACCCAGCCACTAATCATCCGGCCAAACACTTACTTTGAACCTGGAGTGTGACTCCTTTGGAATCATCGCCCAACTCATTTTGTGCAAAACAAATGTATACACCATCATCAGTCTCAGAAGTGGTCACGATAAGAAACTCTTCCCCTTCTCCTACAATCCTGCCACTGCTCATCTTCTTCCAAGTAATGGTTGGTCTAGGGACGCCATCAGCTCCACACACCATGGTGATGTTGTTGGTTTCATTGACCGTGTACACACTTTTAGGAAAATAGTCAATTGTTGGTTTGCCTATATATAAAAAAAAAATCAAATACCATTCCTTACTCTCCACGAAAATGAAGCATGCACGCGCAAAGGAGATGAGATTATGAAAGAAGGATGATAAACCAGGGCGCAAGATAAAGACTTCTCTCGCCGGTCACGTTGACTGCACACTCTCACTCTTGAACAAAAAGTCCAATTTTAACGGTACATCTTAGATTTTATTTCTTTGTAAAAATATAAAAACGTTCACAAATAGAAAATTACACTAGTAGACATAAAGTTAATAAGATTTTTTTTCCTGTTTTTGCACATGAACATAGCCAGGCTGTAGGCAAAGAAAAATGTAAGTCACTTTAAGCCCTTTTGTTGTATAATTTAAGGGATTTAATGTAGAAAGACTGTCAGTTTGGGCATTGCTGAGTTAGTTCAAAAACATTACAAAGGGTAGTTTTTGACCTAACTTAGTTCATTAGACAAACTCTGGTATCCCCAAAAAGGGTGCCATTCGTGCTGTTTAATCACTTGTCTCTATCTTTCTTGTTTTGACAACTGCAGTAACCTATCTACGAAACATAACAAACTTTAATTTTCTATGACTTGGAAAATGAAATTCTTAAATTTCATGACTTTCGGCGAATGACAAACTCTGCTTAAGGGAAAATGTGTATGGAGTTCATTCTGGAGAATTTGTATGCCGATATCGGAACTTGAAGGGTTGAAATCAGAAATTGTAGCCACTGGTTACTCACGTTTAATAAGCAACTGTGCTTTCGCAGGAGGCCCATCCCCCAATGAATTAGTCCCAACACAGCCATACCATCCTTCATCCTTTCGTTCTACTGATCCTATTCTTAAAGTTGTTGTTGGGCAATTATTGCACGCTTCTCCTTGCAAATCATTTCCATTAAACTGCCATTTGTAAGCTGTGGTTGGTGGGTTGCCGATTGTTTTACAGTTGAAAGTTGCCGTCTCTCCTACTGCCAGGGTGAGGTTTTTAGGATGATCAGCAGGAGACTGAACGACTGGTCGATCTGATAACAAAATGAACAGAACATCAAAACCTCAGGGGATCTCCTTTTGGTCGGTGAGCGAGGTGTACTGCTGGTTTTCCCTGTCACTTGCCATCAAAAATAAGAATCAAAACCGTTGAATAGACTAAGCACAGAATCTGGAATATGAAAGGAGATAAATATGCAAAGATTCTCACCAAGATTCCGGTCAGTGCAATTTTTCATAATATTATGCGAGATATTCGGAGAAATGTTTTACCCAAACTTTAGAGAGCATTGTATGGTGTATGGTGTCATGTTGGTGTCCATGACTACCAACATGACGGCCCGAAGCCAACAGAAACATCTGTTACTGTGTTTTGCTATGAAAGCGTAATTCATCTCTTAAGAACTCTTAAAATAAGTACTGCAATACTGTTTTCAAGTACAATGACTGTTCCGATATCAAAATCCCCCAAAATGAGTCCCTTCTTTTAACCTCCATGACAGATATATCGGCAGCCAAGTAAAATCCGCATCAGGCAAAGGTTTAGAAATTCACGCGTACTGTATCATAAAACAAAGTGCCCTTTCGGGGTGAAAATTTGCATGAATATGAGCTTTTAGCTGCTCTAATCCTTCTTGAAGGTAAAAACTCAAGATGATTGATAATTCTCTAGTATTGAATTTTGATGACGTTATGTGAAAACCAGCAATTCACTGCAAGAAGGGGTAAACCTGATGGAATGTTCTTGTAATTTCGGTGATTTCGAGGAGTTGTTATCATCACTCGCATTCTCTACTTCACATTATATAATAGAATAGAATCAGGGCATCAAAAAATCCCCGGCCCGGGCCAGTCATCCTGGGCGAGTAGATTTTCTAGCCAGGCAGTCTTTAAGGTCACTTGAATCCCAATAAGCGAAGATTCGGGCAAAACGTCTTGAAACTGAACCATCAACAAAGACAAGCAAGAAAAATGTGACAGCTGGAATTCATTACTTTCTTTCGAGTACTGATAGAGGACCTAATAATACCGTAAACGTTAGCTTTTAATAAGCCCCGGGCTTAAGCCTTATACATCTTTGCATGGGGGTTTTAGGAGAACGTATGAACCGAGGAGTTTATATCCAAGGGGGTATAAAACTGGAATAGCAGGAGCCCGGGCCTACAAATTTTTGGTTTGATCACTCTACCGCTTGTAAAAAATAATGGGTTGTTGTGGTGAGCTGAAAAGCTTAAGAGCTCAAAGTGTTGGTGAGGTCAGTGCGTACTGGTCATGCGTGCAATTTTCGGGATATGTTGAAATGAAAGTCAGCCAGGCCTACAACTAGTCGAAAAGCTGGCCACGCCCCTGAATAGAAAAAGCGTTTCGAAAGAAGCTATGTCAGTGTTGATAGAAATACGTCTTGCATTAACTAGTGCAGTGAATTGGTTACCTCTGCGTCCTGCATCTCTGACGCATTAACATCCCCAAAGACGCAAAATAATGCATGGCATGGCCAAGATGAAGATGTGTTTTTGTGGAACATCCTTTTCGAGTGATTTCTGTGGCCGTTATCATGGCTGTTATTTTACCACAAAACAAAGGTTAAATATTTCATTTAGCCTTTGTTATGCTTTAAAATAGAACTGTACTTTAAAATAGGACAGTATTTTAATTTCAGTATACTGTACTATGGAGTTTTGGAGTCTGTCTTCAGATTAAAGGAGCTGTGTCACGAAATTCAGCCAAATTAGGAAATTACAAAATGCCCGTTCAATTGAAAGACACATTAAAAAAACCGCTTAAAACTTTAAAGGAAGCTTAAAATAACATAACAGAAACAACAGATGCCACGGATGGGCAAAACTGAAGACGATTGAAACGGATTGAAATTAAGGTTTTTGAAAACTGTTCAGCCTAACAGTTTTTCAAAGTTGATCCCTGCTGCTTGCAACTTCAAAATAATTCTCAGGAGACATAATTATCTGTTTGTCACGGATCTCTGATTTTGTCATTTACATGTAATTTCTTTGCTTACTTTAAGTTCTATAGCTATTGAGGGCGAGTAATCGCTAAAATTAAACAAAATGAACTGGACTGCCTTGACACAGCCCCTTAATTAAATGTCTGGTTTGATAAAATCCCACGCATTTTCAAGTGAGGACTCGTTGTTTTTTGAATTGGGGCTCATCGATTCTGGATTGTGACTCGCGATTTTCTCTCAAGATAAGTCCCAGGACTCACCACAACTGTTTGTAATAAAATCACTGCTAGTGTTTATTTAAGCATCAAAACTTCAAAATAAATCAAATCCATCTCAATACATTATGAGGGGCACTATATCCGGGGGGATTATAATCGGATGTAAGGGGGAAGGGGGGCTCATCAGTAGAGGAGCTTATAAACAGCAGTTTATGGTATTCACGACTTACATCTGACTTCAAGTTCCGTGTTTTGCTTTACAGAGCCAGCATCATTGATAGCCACACAAGAGAAGTTTCCATACTGTTGCCACGTAAGATGCTTTATGTTTAGATATCCAAAGGTCGTGAAGAGTTTTGAAGGTGCTGGGCCAGCAATTCTTTCTGTGATGTTGTAAGGTGGGATGTTGGTCAGATTCTGCCCATTTAACATCCAGCGAATGCTTGCATAAGGTTTGGCTTCAGCCGTGCAAGTGTAGTCCATAGTTTGAGTCTCGTTCTTGATCTGTTTGGTTGTTGGCAGTGTCTGAGGAGGATTAAATCTTGGACGAACTGTGAAAGATAATGCAAAAAGCACGTGGTGAACTGTTCTGAAGAGCACTAACCAGCAATAAAAATTCATAACTGTGATTTCTATCTTCTGCATTAGGGACAGAAGAAATAAATTAACCTCTGAGTCAAGTCAGTTACCAAGGATTAATACAGAAAGTTTTAAGAATTGTTACTTTAACAGAATAAGGTTTAAATACAACTTAGAAATTTAACACTATAGATATTCAATGTTTTATCAGGTTTTATATGATAACTGTAAACAATTTGTGCGATTTTCATGATTTGTATACTTCACTCTCTGTAACGTTTGTTATGTATTTTAACGGGCAGGCATTATTTCTGTTATTATTATTATTTATTATTATTATTATTATTGTTATTATGATGAGGTGAATAAGTACTAATAATAATAATAATAATAATAATAATAATAATAATAATGGTTTATTAACAGATCCACTGGGTGGCTCTTCCCTGTTGGAGTTGCCTTGTACACGCACAAAACGCAACCCTACAACTGCTTATACAGGGCAGCATAAAAAATAGGAAAAAAAAGGTGAAAAGCCTCAGTTTTTGTGTGAAAAAAAACTGTATACAGTACCGCTCAAAAGTAAGGCCCTGTTCACAAGGAAGGAGGGTGACCCTGCTCCTAGGGTTACCCTAGCAAGAGGGTTACAATAGCACCCACACATTTCGTCTTTTTTTACACGACATGTTTACAAGGCAGGCAGGGTAACCCTAGCACTCATACAGGGTTCATACACAAAATTGAACCATTTTCCAAGGACTTTTCAAGGACTACATTAGATTTTCCAGGACCACCTACTAGGAATATAATTTTACAGATTGTACAAAACTGCACATTCCCAGTCTATTCTAATAAGACTTGAACTGTTTGCTTCACCAACTTCTCTACATTTTTCAGTTCACCTGTCTTAAATTAATAGTTAATTATTGCATAAAACATTGAGCACTTTGTGTAAATAACCGTTAACTTCTCTGAGCCATGATTCATATTCTGTCTTGGACAACCAAAAAGCATCAAAAAACACTTTCCAGGCCGCTACATTCAAGGACGTTTCAAGGACTTCCCCTGAAATTCATGGACTTTTCAACCCTGTCATAGGGTTTACCCCAGCACTCACACATTTCTTCTTTTATTACACGACATGTTTACAAGACAGGTAGGGTTACCCTAACACTAGCCTAAGGGAAACCCTTCTACCTGAGTGCTAGGATTACCCTAGCAAGACGGTTACCCTACAGTGTACCTTCCTTGTAAATGCTCAGCTAGGGATAACTCGCCTACCCGGGACAACTTTCCTCCATCATGCGTGACCAGTAATCTTGACAATTTGGACGGAATTATCCAATTTCTGAACTGTAAAAGGTATTTACCATAGAGAACTTCAAGTCTTATTTCAAATCTTGGACGTTTCAAAGAATGTCACGCATGACGAAACAAGTCAGTAGAGCTGTTAAAGTTGACCCTGGTGATAGGGTAACCCTACCTGCGAAATTTGCTTGTAAACCAGATCTAACTTAAACCCGCTTGCTAGGGTAACCCTAGCACAAGGGTAACCCTCTCTCCTTGTAAACAGGCCCTAAGTTGACAGTCTATTTGATTCTCGAGACTCGATTACGCTGCGAGTTTCGAGACGCGAGGATCGAGTCACGAGTTCCGAGAAGCAAGGTTTTGACACAATAATTTTGTTTTCTGGAAGGAGCGATGTTGTACAGTCAAGTACCCGTTCAGAAATTCGCGCTGATGATCAGTGCTTGCGGTGCGGTGTTCTGGGGTTCTGTAACCGTTTGGCAACTTCGGCAAGCTTTCAATGAGTGCAACTTCAGTTTCGAGGAAGCAAATTTATCCTACATATCCAGTGTAATTGTAATTTGTTTACCCACGGAGCATTTAGGAGTTCATGAGAACTCGTTGAAACGTCTCCCTGCGTTTCAGATCGAATTGGAATTTGGAAGTGTTGGTTTTTTAGGAGAGGGGAAAACCAGAGCAGAACCAACAACAAACTCAACCCACATATGGCGTCGACGGCAGGATTCGAACCCGGGCGACATTGGTGGGAGGACAGTGCTCTCACCACTGCGCCAAGCCTTGCTTCCAAAAGTGAGCAGTGAGAGTTGAGTTGGTAAATTTGAGTTTTTGTTGAACACAGTCTTGAACAAGGCCTGGTCTGGAACTAAAGGACTCTCACTCAGGGAAAGATCTGCAAAAACAGCTACTAACAGCAAGATCTCATCAAAGCAGAAGGGAGCTGTCTGCTTGCAAGGGTGTCCAAGTCCCAAAAGTGATCAATGTCAATTTTCTTCTTACAACATCAATACAATAATATAAAAGGAAAAGCTATGAGAAAACGTGAAATAATCACCAGGGCCCAGTTGTTAAATGTTAACCCAGGTTTCTTTTTCTTTTTATCAAAAGCACTCTCTCGGATAATTTTCTCTATCCTTTTAAGAGTATCCAGTCATCAAGTTTTAGGCAAAGAGAATTAAACTGGATTTACTTTTTAAGCTCTCATATCTGAGCTCAAATTTCGCACTAACCCTGGTTATCTTAACCCAGCTTCGAACAACCCGGCCCAGAGGAAAAAAGCTTTAATCTATTATCAGATTCTCTAAGCTAATTCTTGAAAGAAATGTAAGGAGGCCAGTGTGGAGAATTTATATGTGGATATTGTATATTAGGGGTTGAAAGATGTACCAGCTAGAGCTTACCATGTACTTTGAGAGTAAGGCTTTGTGGTGGTCCACTTCCTTCTGCATTGCTTGGCTCACAAGAGTACACCTGACCATCGTGAGTATTAAGCTGTACGTTACTGATGACATATGTTCCTGTCGCAGAGTTCTGGACAAGTATTGTATTTCCAAGTTTTAGGGTATATACTGGAGCTGGATATCCATTTGCACTGCAAGTAAGGGTTGCTGCTGTTCCTTGTACTACAGCATTGTCTGGAGTTCCAGTTGTAAAAGTAGTTGCTGTGGGAGCATCTGAGACGAAATAAATACCAAATGGATTAAAATAAAATCAATCTAAACACTCTTAAAAGAAAACCCCATTTCAAAGTGGCCGTAAAAACGAGGTGACCGTATTACCGAGGTGGCCGTAAGGTGGGGTTTCACTGTACATTTCAAACCTAGGATACCAAACGATTATTTTAAAAACGAAACCCTGAACGTCGCCAAATTTATCTCGATTAATCATGGTCAAATTCCGTCATGAAAAGTTCCTTAGAATGAGTGACTACCAAGCTTCTTTACATCCGAGGATTTGCTTTGTTTTTCACAACAATTCCCCCAAAAAGCAAAGCTGTCACGGTGAATTTATACAAAAGAAAAATCTTTTCATGACGTAGACACTCGTCAGCGCAGACGCGTACTCTCGTCCGAGCTGACACGTCCATTGCGTCAGTTTCCTGTGTACGTTGTTCACTATTTTTTTTTAAAATTTGTGTTGTTCACTTACTTCTGGGGTGCTTTCCATTATACCGGACCAACCGGTCAGAGACCACTGACTCGGTCTAATTAAGGGAAAATGGAACACGTCGGAACCAAAACTGATCGAATTGATTGTTAGGTATTGTCGTAAGGGCTAGGGTCACATACTGCTAAGAGAAAAACGCGGGAAAACATCGTCAACATTCGGAGAAGCAAGTAATATATTTGTCTTTAAAAACTTATGAGAACCAGAAGAAAAAACAGGTTAAGATGCGTTGCTGTACCTGAGCCTTGTGTGCAACTGAGCATAAGGACAAAGTTTAGATCTTGCGTCTGAAGCTAACACACACTGCACTCGTAAACACTTACATCTGAACTATCCGCCATTTTGACTACTGTGTGTAGTGACGATCGAGTTGGAGCGGGACTGGAAACGACAATTTCTGAAAATAGAACGGCAAGTTTCGATCGGACCAGCTCTGGAGGTGGACCACTTTGACCAGAAAATTTCCACCTGGGCCAAACCGTTCCATTTACGTTTGGACCGAAATTTCCGGAAATTTTGGCATAATGGAAAGCACCCCTGACCTGCACTGTAGCGCTTTGACTGGGAAAATTTTGGCGTTTGGATTGGGGTGTGTGTGTGGGAAGGGGGGGGGGGGAGAGGGTTGTCGCTTAACAAGAGGTGGTCACATATGGAGGTTCGACTGTATCAAGAATATCATCGTTTTGTGCACATACACCGCTGTTCCATTGTACTTACATTCCACATTTACCACTCGAAAAGCTTTTTTATTGCCACGAAAGTTGCTCGCCAGGCATGAGTAGTTACCAGCATCTTCAACTTTTGCATTATTCAAAGCATAAGTCTTTTGTGTAGCTCCACCTACAACCGCTCCGTTAAACTGCCAAGAGAAGGTTGGAACAGGATAACCATCAGCCGTACAGTCTAGTGTTATACTCTGTGACAGCTTGACGACTGCTGGATTGGGTGTTACAGTGACTGTCTGGGGGGCATCTAAAATAAGGAAAGAAAAACACTGATGAATAAATAAACTAGTAATACTCACAATAACGATAATAATAATAATAATAACAATTAATAACTATGATAATAATGCAATGTTCTCCCTAAATTTTAGCTCAGCAGATAAGGGACCACTCATAGCCAGTAAGGCAAAAAATATGCACCAGAGGTGAACGTTTCTAGGGGGCAGGGGAGTAGTGGAGTGCGGGACATGACCCCGCCCTTGCTGGGAAATTTAGCAGCTAATCAGTACTCTGAACGTCATTCCCTCATTTTCTGACTTATTTTATGCAAATCGGCCGTTGTTACCTTTACACAACAATTTAAACGATTGATTCCGATAATTTTACTCTTTCTTCAATGTTCTCCTTCCAAAATGCGTGGCCCATAAAAAAGAAAAGCTGTGTATACTTTAGTACTTTTCCATATATTCATTCATTTCCTTGTGGCAAGTAGGAATCGGATCAGGTCATAACTTAGTATTTTAATTTAAGTATATTTTTTTAAAGTACTTCTTTCATTTTAGTAAACCTTCAGGCCGTTGCAGGCGGTAAGAAGTGTTGCTTCAGGCGGTGAGATAAGGAGAACAGTGATTATGCATGATAATGATAATGACAATAAACAAAAAAACTAAATAGAATCAAGGTTGCTATTACACATGCTTGGCCCATATATACATGTACATATACATACTATTATGTAGTGTAGCCAGCACTCATTTTCACTTCCACTAAGTATTATGAAATGCATAGAATGCAATCTAATCATACACGTTTTGACCTTCTATCACATGAAACATGCTTAACAAACCAGCATTGAAGCGAGAGTGATTTGACTTTAATCAGAATCCTGAAACTCGCCTGCACTTTCCTAACCTTTCGTCATTAACAATTATTCCTCGAGCCCGAATGGGCTCTGAGTCAATAGCCTATGAGGCAGAAGGTCAAATGGGCTTTTGACTCAGAGGCCATGAGGGCGAGAGGAATAGTTGTTTTAGTAAAATCCAACTAGTTGGTCAAAAATATCGAGAATAAAAAAATTTTACCTAGTTAAAGCTAGACTTTAATCCTTTTTTGCCACCAAAAAGTGCGCGCTTTTCACCACAAGTAGGCTATAACATAATTATAACCTAGTAGTAGCTCAACCAATCAGAATGCAGCATTGATAATAGACCACTAGTTGGATTTTACTAATTACCAATACATAGTTTTCAAGTCAAACTGGGCTGGAGAGGAATGATAGAAAAAGAAAGATAGAATTTTTCAATTTGAAATAATGTCCATTTTGGGAGTGGAACAATGCAATAACAAAAAATTTTTGCGCTGGAATAATAGCACAAAATATTGCTTTTTAAGGGGGTGGAAATTTTAAGAAAAAATTGTTTAGCAATAATCACCTGGTTATTCCTCTTCACCCCCCAAGTAAACTACAATCACGGACAAAAGTCTTGGGACACTTGTCTTTCTGGGGCATTTTCCAATTCACACAGGTCCAACCCTGCTCCCCTCACCCCACAAACAATGTTGGACGCATGTCTCCAAAATTTTTTCGGACTTTCAGCTTTGTATAGGGTGGGGAGAGGGAGAACTGCAAGAAAATTTCGAAAAGGATGCACTGTTTTAAGAGCGAACCGACAAATGACAAAAAAATATGAATATTGCTGTACTGTCTCAAGGAGTTTTGTCCAGGATTGTAGTTTGAGTCAGAATCTCCTTTGTACAATGGTCCTAAGCAAGCAAAAAGAGGGTGTTGCTTGACTGTCCAAAGGCCAGCTGAATTTAAGGTTTTATTCAGCCCTAACTTTTATGATATTCTTTGGATTGACCAAGTATTAAAGTAAGATGCAAAAAGATTACATGTAGTTTGAGTCAAAGGGTAAGAAAACAAGTTCACTTAACAGAGGCTGCAAAGAAAAAAATATTAATTATATTTTTCTTAGCAGCCTCTCTTATTAGTGAACTTGTTATTATAGTATAACTCACAGTTAACAGAAAGAAAGGTAGATCTTTCTTCTCCAGTTCCCACAACATTCGTGCTAGAACAACTGTATCGGCCAGCACTGCCCTTTTGAACCTTTGTCACTGTTAATGCTTGACCAGAATTGACAAAACCTCCACTTGAACCCCTGGGTATTGGTACTCCATTTTTAAACCAGTTGTATGCGGTAGGTGGGGGAACAGCATCAGCTCGACAGGAGAATGACACATCAGTGCCATCATTTACTGTTCGATTCGGCGTCAGAGAAGATATTTGAGGCTTATCTAAAAATGTGAAAAAAACTTTATTAACACAGTTTCAGAATGTTGTATAATCCTACAGGTGGATTGCAGCCTGTGCGACAGACAAAACTGAACCTCAGGATCTGAGAATGCGCCATCATTGGCCTGTCCATAGATGACATTGTCCATTTGCCAATCAGGTTGAAGGGAAATTTGTTGGGCGTCAGAACAAGAATCCTGGTGCTGCTTCGCAGACTTTACTAACTGGGGGTATAGATTACATCTGTGACGACACGCAGGCTACCATCAGTCAGTGTGGCTGAATTGCATTCCAGAGGTTCAAGTCCTGTTCTAATGACTAGCTGGATTTGTTTATTAAGTACATGCAGTTATATGACTTGTATTCCTAAATTAAAAGGGACAGGTTCAGGGTTCAGCGCATGCTCATTAATTAAATTATATTTTTCCAATTTATTATTAATTCTATCAGTTAATAATCCCACTCACATGTACCTCAGCGATCTCAGAGTGTATTTCAAAGTAGAAGTGTATTTCACAGTAACCTGAAGTGGGCTGGAGGAGTACTAAAATCGCAAGAAAATTAGTCGATTATACCAACACTACCAACGTTGAATGAATTGTTGACCCAAGGGTTTTATTCCATGGTTGATTAATTTACAGCTATTTGCACCTAAGTTGATCAAGTGACTGCCAGGGGAGTGTGCAGATTGGTTCTTTGACAACAATTCATTATGACATGATCATATTGCTGGCATAGATGATACAGCATCTTCCGGCAGAAAAATAGCACTTTGGTTAACGAGCATGCGCTGAACCGTGAACCTGTCCCTTTAACCTGAGACCAGGTGTTATTATTATTACTATTATTTTTTGTTTCTTTGGATCGAGAGGGAAAAAGTAACACCTGCTACATTCAATTAACAAGCCGTCAACCGCTCTCTAGATTACATAATCTAATGTTTGCTTGACCTGCCATAATTATTATTAGCCAATCATTATTTACCAGATGGGAATCAAATTTTGGCGCGAAGTCTCTTTTGAAATAAAAAATACAGACTAAAATCAACAACTAATGGATGACGGCATTTTGGCCAATTGGAACAGCAACAAATCATCCATATTGTTTCCTATCCAATCAGAAAAAAGTCCAGATTCTGGCTTTTTTGCATGTGATCTGTGATCTAATGATTGCATGCTATTCCAAATTTAACACCTCCACCTCACATGTCAACAAGTGTTTTGAATCCTGCTTTATTGGGTTTTTAATCATGTTACAATGTACAAACGTATGTCTGATTTGGATTTATTTTGCCTATAAATACCGGTAACTTGTCAGGAGTCCCTGAAAACTTGTTGGGGCAGCTAAGTGGATTTTATTTGAATCCATCGGAAAATGAATCATCTACTAGTGCAACTTTTTTCCATCAAACAAAACAGTTTCAGGCTACGTTACCAGACAGTCATAATAGACTTCAGTTTAAATGCATGTAGCTTGAACTACATGTACGTACTACATGTGCATGGAAGGTGAAGCAAGCAAAACATGATCTTATGAACAGAAAAAACTCAAAATGGCTCTTGAACTAACAAAAACTGAATTTACATGGCTGAAACATTACACCTGAAACAGGTGTAATGCCAGAAAACCATGGGAAAAATACAGTGTTTATTAAGTGTTAAGGAAAATGGGGCATACAGCTGTACATTTACAAAACATTTCATGCAAATAATTAGAACTCAGTTTAAAAAGACCATATTGATTAACACAAACTGAACACACTTACATCTCACTGTCACAGTCACTTCGTAATTAACAGATTGCTCGCTCAGTTCTGGTGCAGTAACACGAGCTGTACAGGTGTATGTTCCTGCTTCTTCTTTGGTAGCCGGTGATATGGTGTAGTTGGTAACCGAGGTTTTCTGCTTAATTGAAGAGCCTTTTGTCCAGGTGATAGTTGGTTTGGGGTTGCCAGTGGCAACACACAATAGCGTTATCGTGTTGCCTTCATCTACTGTTACAGTACGTGGAGACTGCAGTGTTATTCTTGGTGCAACTGAGGATTAATAAAAACACAGATGATCAGCAAAAACATGCAGTGAACACATGCATGTACCCCTTTCAGCACAAGTACATGTAGATGAACAGTAAAATGAGTCCATGAAAGCTTTCTAGGTATCATCAGGCCAAAAGGGCCTGTTTACATGGAGGTGGGGGACCTGAGGCAGGTGAGGTAACCCACTTGCCAGTCCATGTGTTTTCTAATTTTAATTTGATCATGGGTAGGGTAGCCCGGTCTGCCAGACCAGGTAACTCTCTCAGCTGAGGTCAAATTTTGCCATGTAAACTTTTCAAGGTGGGGTAATCCACCTAGCCAGGGTCAAATTCGCAATACATCAAATTCACTCAAAATTCACTTTGGCAGTGGCTTTGCATCATTGTTAAAGGTAACCATAGAATGCCACAGCACTGAAGGTTGCAGCAAGAGCAGCGAGTGTAGAATAGCATCAAATGCCAAAACACGTGGTTTGCCAGCATTTTCTTGTTTACGAGCTTAGCAACCATTCAATAATCTTGAGAAAGTGCACCCCTGGATGGCGGGGTTGTAAGATTGCATGTACATGTAAAGGAGGGTTATTTTTTTACCCCACCTAAGCAGGTTACCTCACCTACCTGGTGTCCCAACCTCCATGTAAACAGGTCCTTAGTTACAGTGCACAGTAAAACCTCTATTAAAGGAACAGTATCCCGTTACTGCGCATGCACCAAACTTTGATTTTTGGACAGGATGTCGCGAAATCAAAAGATATAAGGAGGGTAAAAGAACCTTGAAAAATCCATTCGCATCGCATTTGGCTGAGTTCAATACTACACTAAAACTTCTCAGGATTACAGATCAATGATATATTGTTCCCGTTAAGTTTTGATTTGGGTGAAATCAGGATTTATTGGCGTCATTTTTATTGTCATTTTTGATGCCGATTGAAGGCTTATTTCTTCTGCTAGCTTCCATACAAGCTCAGATAATTGTGAAAGGAATGCACAGAAATGAAACAGCAACAATAAAGACTGTAAGAAAGAAACCATTGAGACATTGATGTGGCGGAGGAGGTCTTGTGGAATTAAGCTTCGTAAACCGGAACGTTTTCCAACGACGTGTTAGTAAACTTGAAATATGAACCTACCTACGGCCGACAAAATCAAACAAAGAGGTTTCCCTTGTAGAATCAGACACTATGTAGAATCTATGCAAATGCTATGTCATAAAGCTATGCAAAACCTATGTTAACCACTCATACATTGCTTTAACCAGATCCTATGTTGTTTCTATGCCAGGACTATGTTTTTTGTATTGAAAATGCTATGTTTTCGCTAGTCAAACGGAACCTACTTAAAAGCTATGCAGTTTTTAAAGGCAGGAATAAAGGAAGAAATGACATAGTTTCCACATAGCCTATACATACAGTTTACTTAGCTTGTGGAAAGAGATTTTAGACTTCATAGTCAACCTCATAGAAAAATCATAGAAAATAAATAGCCTTCACATAGGACCGAAATAGAGTTTACATAGTAAAATGGAACAGGGAACAGTTGATTAAATAGCTTTTGAATAGGGTTTGCTTAGAATTTAGATAGCCTAGAAATAGAAAAAACATATGAAAAACATAGCCTTTTTAAAGGTGACATATACTTTGCATAGCATTAAAATAGGGAAAACACAGAACAAAATAATAGTCTTTGCATAGGTTTGAAATAGGATTTTAATAGCATTTGAATAGGTAAAACATATCACATACACAAGCTTCAACTAGCGTTGAAACAGAAATTACATAGAATTGACATAGTCTCTTATGTATGTAGGTTTCGATCTGCTTAAGCAAATGTAGTGTTTAAAATACATTCGTAAAAATCACCAAAATAGTAAAAATAGTATAAAAATATGAATTAGAATACCTTTTACATTGGTAAAAAATAGGTTTTGAAACGAAAAATTGAAAAAGTATGGCAATATAATACCACGAACACTAATAGTAACACAAATGCAGTATTTTCATGGAGGTTTCAGAATCGAAACCCCAAGTTTAAGTTTGCTTATCGTGTAGACTTTTTGCTGATGTCGTGTTCTTCAGTGCCATACAGTTTCCTATTGACTGCAACGAATAAGTATCTGCAAACAGAAAAGTGGAGATTTTAAGGCAAATGAACATAAAAACAACCTGACGTTTTAGAATTGAAACGAAGGAGTATCAAAGCGTGATCAACCCGGGGGGTACTCCCTAATATGGGCTATATAGGTATGTGCGGCCCCGAAGGGTAGGGTTTTTCAGCTGTTTTGGTCATGAATTGGGTATCGATTTTGGCTATTTTGCCGCCATTTTGGTCATAAATAGGGAAACGATTTTTGCACTGTAGTCTTGAATGCACTTTTTTAGAAGAAGCTATTTCCTTATCATGTCCCCCTAACCTAATAAAAGCAGATAAACATTGCCTTTAACATTGGTCTGAACTAGGGAAATAATTATAAGGCAGGTCTGAAACAGGGTATTGACTTAAAGGGGCTATGTCAGCTGGAGAGCATGCGCTCTGAGGTTATGCAAATTACTTTCAACTGTCAAAATTCTATTGTTTTTAACGCGTGACTTTCTCCATGTGCGCTGTGAGGTTATGCAAATTACTTTCAACTGTCAAAATTCTATTGTTTTTAACGCGTGACTTTCTTCATGTTATCTGTCACGTCCAAGGTTCCGAATTTAGAGAGGTTTAGCGAAATGGGTTTAGATAAGGGATATTTCGATAGAATTTATGGAACGTTTCTTCTCTGGTTATGCTAGATCAAGAATAAAATTGCGACGACAATTTTACTTGTAGTTTTGAAGTAAAAACGCATGCCATTCATAAAATAGAGCGCAAACAAAAATTCAACAACAAAATATTGTCTTATTCAACAAAATAAATGGAAGTTGTATTTTACAAACGAGCTACAAAAGACGCTAGACCGAAGATAAAGACCAAGACTGTTTCAAATCATTAACAATTAGACTTGTCTGTCGCTATTGATTTTATAATTTAGATGCTGATAGAACAAGAGACCAAGTCTTTGTTTTGATCTTAGGGAAACATACATTATCGCCAAAAATTGTTCAATCGTGCGAATCACTGCGACGTCGAGAAAAAACCCAGCATCATTGGTATACTACTCCACTATAAGCAGTCCGTTGATAAAAAGGGAAAGCAAACTCTGCTATTTTCCAAAATTATGCTCCAACACAAACAGTTCAAAAACATGGCATTTACAGGATCTAACTCGTACTAAGGTGCCTCTCTAAGTCCGTTGAGAACAATCTGGACGAGCAAACGGTCGTGTTTATCTTTGCCGTGAATCGAGATAAATACAAGAAGGAATCTAGCGAATTTTAGAATGTTTCCTTCGCCAGGAGTTTAGTTTAAATCCACGAAACTCATGGCCTGATGCTCTTGTAATCGTTTACAAAAAACGGCTGCCGCCAACTCGATAGCCGCTTCATTATATGTCCACATACTTTGAGCACAAGAAAAATCCAAGAGCCAGCAGCCTCTAAAATAACTCAATAGAAAGGTCCTGTGAACTATAGGGAAGATTCCATCAAAGATTCCATCACTCATTGTGGAGTAGCCGTCATTAACTCTGCCATTACAACGGCCGCTGATAAGAGGACACAGTAAATCCACGTAAAAACATTCCACAGGCAAACAATTTTAAAATAACGCCAAAAAATTGTTCTGTAATCACCATAGAATGATTCTTAATACAAAACTTCGCTAACTATCGAACGATGGCTGAGATTTAGACAGATAAAAACAGCCTTCCAAAATCTCCGACACAACTTGAAAAAGTTGGGCTGTCTTTTTCAAGTTTGTTTTCATTGGCTCGCGCATGCGTGTTGGGTGACATAGCCCCTTTAAGGGTCAGGTCATAAATAGGGTATCAAATTTTTGGTTAGGTCATAAATAGGGTAGGGAAAATCGCAGATTTTGGTCATAAATAGGGTAAGGGTTTTGGGAAGCGGGCCGCACACCCCTACCCAATTTTTCTGCGAGTACCCCCGGGATCGACCGATCCTTGTTCAGATACGCGAAAAGGGGAGACAACAAAGGCAAATCGAAACTTAATTGAGAAAAACATCACTTACCAACGTTAGCAATACTTTTTGTTGAACCTGGCAGGAAAAAGACTGTAAATTGAAGTAAAAAGAAGCGTCTTCTTGTAAAAACGCACGCTTACAGCTCGTCTTCTTTGACTTGAAAGCGCCCGCGTGGAAACAGACAATTTTCACACCTTTTCATTGGTTGAAAAGGCCCACGTGACGATGAAACGCAAAATACGCATGTGTGGAACTCACGGGCTTCCCTGGGAACTAGTGGAAACAAAATGGCTGACAAACATCCACCGAGGCAGGTAGCGTTTCGCAGTTTTGACCGTGCAGTTATATTCAGGAGACGTCCACAATCAAGACGAAGGATCGAACCCAAGGTAAAAGAAGAAAATGATGCATGGAAGTATCATTTCAAGTGAAGAACTCTAGGGAAAAGCTAGAAAGGAAAGTTAAGACAGGGATGATGGATGTAGCGATTCAATGCTTAACAAAAGTCTCTCACTAAGAAACTATCTGCAAGCACAAAAAAAAATTATAGTACATGATTTTTCAGTGTTTTAGAGTAAAACACTGCTTTTTACTTTGGAAGTATGCTTAGCCTTCTGTAAGCGCTACCATCAACATGCCTAGTCACTTAAAAGCTATGTTGGAATATCACATAGGAAACGCATAGACTACATATATTTTTCATATGAGTGACATAGGAAAAAATATGTTTATGTAAAAGCTGTGTAGCCTTTATCTCATGATAAAGCTAAATGAAAATGTCACATAGTGAATACATAGGCTGCAATATGTTTCATCCCATAGCATAGAATATACATAGCACTATGTAAAAGCTAAGAAACTTGTTGGAAATAAAAGTGAAAATCGAAATGCTATGTAAAAGCTATTTTACTTTGATGCATAGTGAATACATAGGATGCTAATCGGAAGGAAAAGCAGAACTTTCTATTGCATAGTAAATACATAGCTATGTCAAGACTATGAAAAGATTTTGAATAGTATTTGCATATAGGTATTCAAAAGCTATGTGCTTTTCAAATAGCCTAAACATAGTTTCAACATAGATTTTACATACTTTAGACTATGTTGTTTGGTGTGTTACATAGTTATTACATAGGCAGTAGTGAACATAACATAGCTGAAACATAGTCCAACATAGTAAACAAATAGCATGAGCATAGGTTTTGCATATGTCTGGTTCTACAAGGGTTAGAAAAACTAGTGCCATGAAATCATAATATAATTTTTTACTTTAAACCTTTGCGATGATTCATAGCATTGAGATTGCATTTTTATTTATGTCTTTCAAACGTTTGAGGCTACAATGTGAGCAAATCAGGCAAAATATTACTGGACTTGGAACAATTATTGACCTCTGACACGAGTTTAACATTAGAAGAGCTGTTCTTAAAGCGAGCGGATCAAGATTTTTTGGGTCGTGAGGCGGCCCTGCTAGTGACAAAATTGCAATGAGTCTTCATGCCACGAGCCAAATTTTAGATAAGAGGAAAGACTTCTTTGAAACTCTAAAATATTACTTGAGAATGTAAACAACAAATCATCGTCGGTGGTGCCGTCCGGAAGGAAATCTTGTCAAGTCAATTATGACAGTCTATTGTCTTTTGAAGAAAAAACAGATGACGCTCACGTGTGCGCATAATCGGGACACTGTCCATTTAAGTGGACGCCCAATTAAGCGAACACCCTCTATTAAGCTGGCACTAAGCCGGGTCCTGAAATTAATGTCTTCGATTTCCCTCTATAACGAACCCCTATTCAGCAGACACCTCTATTAAGCAGATGCAGACACTAAACTAGATTGTAATTGGCTAATTTCTGTTGTTAAAAAACTCTATTAAACAGACACTAGACTGAATTGACAATAGCAGCATTGGATTATGTTCTTGAAATATATATTGTAGTAAATCAGTACATTTAGCTGTTAATAAACTGTAGATTAGACCAATATCCGGTTGGTAATGAACTTCAACTCTGGAGAGCTTCCTTAACAACATGGAACTTTATCACAGTACACTACTAGTAACTGTTGAATGTTAATAGTTAACAAACATTGCACAATTTTTATCGACAAACCTCTATAAAGCGGACACTTGAGGTTTCACTGTATTAACATGAATGTTCTGGTAAATTAACCCTTGCAAAATACCACGTAAATCAAAAAATTAAATGACCTACACTGTAGACTGATTTCGTATAAGTGAGGTCTTTTTCTTGGTACCATCAGTGCTTTCAATAAGCACCAAAGACGTTTACTCTCAGGAAACTGCTCCTCAGGGTACCAGGGTGCCTCCCACGCAGACGTTCTTAGGGGTTCATCACATGCTCCTTCCCCACAAACGTCTGCTGAAAAGAGAGGGAAAAAACGTAGACCAATCACAGCACACTTCCAATCTGGGAAGTGCACTTTGGACCTTGAGAAATTCGGCGCAAGACTTCAGAAAAGATCAGAAACGTCTCACTTTTAGAACAAACTGCTCAATCAGTTCGCACACCTTCATACCGAGAGAAATAATCCAACCCTTATCTCCTACATTCTTGTCCAGAGCAAAACTCTTTGGTCACGTACAGCAAATGTATCACACTCTATACTGAGCTTGTGTGTTGTTTGGCTGGTCAACACTTTGACTTCAATAGTGCCGATCAGTTCTCCGATAGTCACAATTGAGCTCCAGTTGACATTTGTGAACAATGGGAAAGAAATATAACTGATCGTTTTTATGCCTGCCAACTTTTTCTGAGATATAAGCGTGAGATTTTTATCCTGGGAGTGCTGGGATTTTTGAAGACGACACGATCATTTCCGAAGATTCCCGAAGAAGTCCGAAGTCTTCTGAAGACGTCTGAAGTCTGCCGAAGTCTGCCGAAGTCTGCCAAAGGCGAGCTCGCTCCCAGTGCTTTTCACTTCAAAAATCAGAGATCGCGAGGAAGGTATTGCCATTTTTTTCATTTTACACATGGTTTTCGTTCCTTACATGGGTCTGACTTAACATATTTTTGGAAATTGTGTCAAGCAGGACGGCAACAACTCACATTTTTCAATCAGGCGTGAGAAATTGGCCCACAGGCGTGAGCCGGCGTGAGATCGAAGTTTTCAACCCGCAGGCGTGAGAGTTGGCAGGTATACGTTTTAGCAGACTTTTGTGGGACAGGAACCCATGACGAACCCCTAAGAATGTCCGCACGGGAGGCTAGGGTAGGTGTCTGCAAGGAAAGGGTTACATGTAATTGCTAGCACTCTACAGAGCACAATAAAATAATATTTTACTTACCGACCACTACAAGTTCAACAGAGCTTTGTATATCAGGGGGATTAAATGAGTTGAAAGATAGGTCACATTTAAATATCCTGCTGTCACTCTGAACAATGTTGGATATACGGAAAGTGATCTGTCCTACATTTCCTGACAACGGTCTAGTGAAGCTGATTCTGCTAGCTGAGTAGCCACTTAATGGGTTGACTTGAAGTTGTGTCGTGGGAGTTATCCCAGCCACAGTTATATCAATATTTCCTGAGCCACCATATTTCAGTTGTACCTCTTTGATTGTGCGTCCATCAGTGTTGTAGCTCCAAGTCAAATCGTAAACGTTGGCTCCATCATTAACATAATCTTTACTCCGCCCTAGTGGAGTTAAAGTTGGTTGACAATCTGTAAAAGCATGAAAGAAAACAATATGCAAGAATTATATTTCCCACTCTGTGATTACCCAGCACTTCTGTATCAACAAGATGGTGGACTTGCAAGTCAGAATCCTACCAGCAACTAAATACGTAGCATTCTTCCAGAAATGAAGTTTTCTTGCCATGTGCCCAAAACATGAAGCAAGCAGTTTGATGTAAACCTATTATAATATTAACCAGCTAATCCTACATGTAGCCTTACACTCAGAACAAATGCTGAGGGGTATAGGGACCAAGGATTTCCCAAGGCTACTATATAAGTGTGACCCACCCAGCTGCCACAGTATTTCCATAAAAAACAAAAGGAAAATGGAACAAAAAGAAATTCCTATCTGTTCAATTCCCCACTGACTTATAATTGCATGATTATACCTGGTAACTTGAAGTCTTAGTGACCGCCCTGCTTACACTGCACTACCAGCACTCGTAAGCCCCTGGCAACTCACTATAAATTATACATGTGCATTGCTTCTAGGCACTCAACAGAATTAATTTTATTATTATACATTGTACTTGTTATCATAATTTTGGAAATCAACGCAACCTACAGATTAGTTAGTTACAGCTGTATCTGCAAGCAGAGGCGGGGAAGGGGGTTGCGGTTACTTTCTTCAAAACAATGTATAATGAAACAATAACAGTAGATTCGGTTTGTGTGATATCCTAAAATGATCAAGGTCTCAGTAAGGTCCTGTTCAGACGCCGAACTTTCCATGAGCCAAACCTAATACATTGAATTAAGTACATAAAAATTTTGGCGTCTGAATCAATTAGGAACACCTGTTTTTAATTTGGAATGGCTCAGCCGTTCCTTTCACCTGGCCCAGCCGGGAATTTCACCTTTGAAGCGACTTTGAAACAGCTTTGATTCAGACGCCAAACTTTTCATGTACTGAACCTAATGCATAAATTATTATAACGTATTTTGTAAGCAGTTTGATCAAAATGAGCATTTTTAGTCTAGTTTCAACTTAGTTCAGCTGCAATTAAGAATGGCATCTGAATCAATTCAGCTGGTCTAAATAATTTGGGTCGGCCTTAATTCGAATTAGGTTCGGCTCATGAAAAGTTTGGCATCTGAACCGGCCCTAAGTGTTATCAGCTGAGGTCCAATGATAGTTTAGTATTTGAACACAATCTTTATGTAGGCTTTTACAGATATCAACCTTACTAGCATCCTCTCTTTTTTCATAGAGCACAGCTTCTCAATGCTGTTTATTAAACTTTTAATGATAAAATCACTGTTGAATTCTGACCATCAATTATTATCACCATCACCCATTCAATAACTTTTTATGGCTGATAGTTATATTTTGGTAGCAATTCTCACAGCTGCAGTTTTCATCATAACGCAGCTGATGTTGCTGCCTACACCACCATGTGCAGGTGGTAACCATAACTACATCTGAACCTACAATCGACAACAAAATTATTGAGACATTGTACTCAAATAGGGTAACTTCAGCCAACAAAGTCTTAGTGAACAAAGTCTCAAGTCTTATGACATCATTTTCGTGCCAAAAACCGTTAATATCAAAAATTCAAAAACCGTTAACTTCAAAACTGTTGGGAATACATAGTTTTATTATTGTGTTATTAGTCTCAGCTCGAAGGGTTAAAAATTGGAAAACTACAATCATCGTCAAAAGTGTTGGGAAGGTTGCCCTTTTTACCTCTTCTTTTCCTTCCTCCCCCCGCCCCTGGCCCAATGTTGATCAAAACGTTAATGTTTGTACGCGTAATTGTTCTGTTATATCCCAACATTGAATAGGGGGGACGGAGGATATTTAGCAAAAGAGAAAAGTCTCTTTTTTCAGGATTAAAATGGACTACTGTTAAGTTGTACAACCTTCCCAACTACTTTTGTCTGTGATTGTCTGAAAATTCTGGGTGTGGCCGTAAAAGGTCAAAAATCGACGACTTGTTGTAAGTAGAAACGTCTTCAAAAAACACTTGTGAACAGTACTCTGTTGCCAAAAAATATTTGCCGTACCTTGTTAAGACAGTTTTTGGCCCACACGCCTGTTTATATTCGACATGTTTTGCAGTCCTTTAAGTACAACTATGGCTCTGTCCGGGGCACAGGAAAGGGGCCAAAATACAAAATGTAAGGTTATTTTCGGTAAAAGCTATTGACTATAGCATACACTGATATGCTCCAAATGTTAAAGCAAGATATAGTGTGTTCACCAGTTCCCAAAAAAATCATTCGGATCGCGACATTGCAGCTGACATATTCCTTAGCAGTTCCCCCATTCTTTGCAACATTCAGCACATGCCCATTTGCTATGCGAGCAAACTATGAGGCTGAGTGGAGATTTGCCCAATTCTAGAGGCCACTTTCTCCGGCTGAACAACTCTAGTTAAAGTCTTGTGGCACTGTTTTTCGAAACTGGTTTCAGAAAACGAGAACAAAGTATGCTTTTGATTTAGAATAAGGCGTCTATTGTCTTCGTTAATCTAATTAAAAAGGGTAACACATGCAAAGTCATCACACACCACATTACTCCATTTTGGTAGCCAAAAATAATTCCTTTATAGTAGCGCTAACGACAAAATAGCCTAATTGACTTGTTCGGGGCTTTGAGAGGACTTAACTAAATGAATTTTAATAGATATTTGAGCTTAATTCTAAGTAAAATACGACATTAATCCATGGATAGCATTAAAATTAAACTAACTTTGCTAATTGACCTTTATGGGGCACTGTTTAAATGGAGTAATGTTGGGAAGCAGTTGTTAAATTTATCCCCATAGATAAATGCGACAAAAGCTGTCCATATTCTTACATGGTTTACATGTTTTTGCCATTTTCTTGTTTGAAAGTCGGTTCATTGTGCATATATTTTGCATTTTCTTATGGAGTAATGTGATGAAGTAATGTGGACACCCATGTTGTTTACTGTTCTCAAATTAACTGAAGGATTGACAGGCGACGCTAGCACAGCAATTTCTATATGAACACTGAACATGACTGGTTAACTCTTTTATACAGGTTCCGTAATACTTTCAGGCCTTACGAAAATACAGTCTAGAAGATTTTAATTTGGTATTTCTGTTATATCCCAACATTGAATGGGGGGAAGGGGGATATTTAGCAAAAGAGAAAAGTCTCTTTTTTCAGGATTAAAATGGACTACTGTTAAGTTGTACAACCTTCCCAACTACTTTTGTCTTTGATTGTAGTTTGAAAGAGACCATGTTTTGATGAATGCTGACCCGCCATGCAATAAGGGTGTCATCGACAATAAAATAGCCATGATTGCTATGGGCAGGAGAATTTTCAGGGAAAATGTTCCGACTTCGCTCTTAAAGATAATCTAATTATTTCATACTATACTAATCCTGGTTACTCGTGGTTACTCATGGAAATTCCTACTAAACAGCATTTTGAGAGATTATAACTATAGTCTTTACTGCTTAGAAAACGAAATTTCGTTTTCTGTCCTTTTCACTTTGTTTTTCAGTTTGTTAATGCCTATTTTAGAACAATTATTCCATTATTATTATTTTGATAAAGGAGAGAATAAGAAATCATGCACGACGCGCCACATCACAAAATGTCAAGGCATGTTAAGCATGACACGAAATGTCACGTACTGAAAATAATGCAACCGCCACTTTCCAATATTGTTCTAAAATAGGCATGACAATGTCAAACATAGCAAATAAAAAGCCACCAGGGGTTTTACATCCCAGTGTGAAGAAATGGGATGAATTAATTTTCTTACGGATATATGGCCACTTTTGTGATTCAGACAATCGGAGACAAAATTGTTGAGACATTGTACTCAAGTAGGGTAACTTTGGAGAACAAAAGAATCCACACCCCTCCCCTGTCTCCTCCATTCAAAGTTGGGGTGTTTTCTGTTTTCTACTGGTAGCTTGAACAGCAGCACAACAATTTTTGCATAGAGGGGATGGGGAAGGAAAAGCTATATTTTCCCCTTTGAAGTCAGGAAAACGTAAAAAAAGCCCAGATTAGGACAAAGTGTCTCAACTCATTTTGTTGCCGATTGTAGCTTAAACTGCTAAAGTGATCTTAACCAGTGCATAAATGAACTTTGCAGTCTCTAAAGAAGTGAATCAACATGTTATAATGTCTTCAATTCACAGATGAATGGGAAAACACTAAACAAGACTACACATAGTATTCTTGTACTGAATCTATCCATTCCTCCAATTGGGGACAAATGTTGAAGCGTATTCTCTTGTAGTATTTGTATACCAAATTGATGAGATTATGATAATTCAAAGAAACTTAATCGTAAAATTGGAACAAACTTCATTCGAGTAGCTTAGCAGATTTAAACAAATAACCACTGCATCAAGGGGGTCCAATACAGTACATACGTTGTAGCTGAAGTAGAAAAAACGGGAAAACTGCCCAAATGTTCTTGAAAACAAACAATAATAACTGAATTTTCCGAGAAAAGAACTAAAACTACAGGTTCATGCTTAACGCACATGATTGTGCACTATGCGCTCGTGTCGAATCTTTATAAACGACCTCGACCTAAGATATAACTCAACGCTTGTAAATCACAAGAACATACATATATATTGATGCCCAAGTTCCATTTCATAATCAGCAGGCCAACGATATTGCTGGATATCGCAAATTTCTCAGTATTAGGCCATGCTAACGGTCGACGACTGACGGAGAATAACTAGCAAAAACTATGACAGTGCCAACGACATCATATACGAGTTTAAAGTTTGATCAAGTTCTACAAAGAAATTAGCAGTTTACCTACCATGCACAATCAATCAGAAGTCGTACGCTAAAATTGAAATACACGTATAAGCTTATATAGGCAAAGCAGACCGATTTAGAGACTACCGATCTATACTTCCGATAAATACTATTTAGTTTATTGCTTGGATGTCGTCTAAATATTTGAAACTCGAAGTATCATTAAAATTAATTCGCAAATTCGGTACACTAACTGTTAATTTCACAACCGATAATTCTATCGCAGTATACTCACCGACACACCGCAGTCCGCAAACAGATAACAGAACCACAAAATTAAAGTACAATAAATGCATGTTGCTTGACATCTAGCGGACTTCTAAGGCTTCCAAAGTCCGTTTAGGAGTATTGAGCTGAATTCATGACTGCATATCGTCGATCGATCCCAAGTTACGAAGCTTTCAGGAAGAGTGCCCTGAGTGAAAACAATGCCCATATCAACGGTGGTTAGCTGGTCAGCGATCTCATCCAATAAGAAAGCGGATTAAAAGGCACGTGACGAGTATTTGATGACTTGCATTGTAGGGGAGGCCACGGAATAACTATTAGTGGTTAAAAATAACAGTGATGGCGGAAAATGAGAAATTTGAATGGAATTTCAGTGATACACGCACTTTTTTGACCGACGATTTGCAAGGAAGGAGTCAAAGGATAGGAAACAATTCGGATATTGGGAATCGGTTGCCTGCATGTGCTGATACGTTTCCCATTTCCTTGCTCGAGAGAAAGGCAATGAACCGTATAAACCCGGGTGTAAAACTGGCCCGCGTAGCAAGCGTTTCCGCTTAAGCGCAAAGAAAGACTGTGTTCCTTTCGGTGAATCCAGAAACGGATTTTAGATCTAAAAACGGATTTCGCGTTCCTTTCGACAAATCCAAATCCGGATTTTTGATCTGGTGAATCCTTTTTGAAAAAGGATTCATTGGATTTGAAATCCGAAGAATCCAAATCCAGATTAACGGATTAGTGATCTACGCTGTTCCATTCACAGTGGATCCGAAATTAGTCACATGATCCAGCGGTATTTCCAGTTGAAGTATTCCCATAGAGGCCGTAGAGTTTCCTCGTTGCTGTCATTTGCCGCAAAATATCTGAAAACATTAGAAGATTGTTCCTGGTACATTAAAATATCCATATACTAACCATTTGTCTCTAAAGATTGCTTGAAATCAGAAATAAGTAAAAGTAACAAACGAACTGCTATCTAACTACAAACTCGCTTGTAGACGCGACAGGCATTCGATCGTGCTACATAAAAAACACGTCATTTTTGGAGAGGCTATCGTGCAAATTGCACGCGTTGGCGAAAGGTTACCAAGGTTACAAATCCAATTTCGGATTTCACGTTCCTTTCGACCGAGAAATCTGGCAAATCTAGGATCAAAAATCCGTTTATGGATTCGCCGAAAGGAACACACCCTCAGGAACGGGATTTTCGGTTTCGGCCGCGCGAGAGATTTACCTTTCTTCCCCACCCCCTCCCCGCTCTTTTACTCGCGTCATTTTTCGCGCGGATCTCGTTCCTTGTACCGAAACTTCCTACGAAGGCTAGGTGGAGAGAGCGACGGGCTTTTGTAGGTGTAAACGTGTTTTACATGTTAACTCGTATCGTGGCAATAAAAACGTGCAACTTGTTTTGCAACACCGCTGCAAAATGAGTTGAAAAGCGATGTTGCGCGATGTTGCGCCTCTTGCAAAATATAAGGTTGTTGCTGGTTGCGAAAAGTTGTTACAGAAAGTAGAGAACAGGCGTTCGTGTGAGTTCATGGGCCGGAGTGCGGCGCAAAGGGAACAAGGAGGAAGACAGGGAGAGAGGAGGGCTCACCCCCTTCCCCAACCCTACGCCGTATTTTTCTGCTTACATCTCTTTGATCCATCCCCACGATCTGAACTCCTGGAACAGGCTAAGAGTAGTTGTAACAGTTCTGCAACAAAATCTATACATGTTGCCTATTTTACCGATCTAAGACAAACTTCGGTTTTGCAGCAATTGACGGCGATGGCATGACTTCCGCGTGTTTTATTCGATCAGAAGTCAGTAAATTCAAGCAAATTGCATCAACCTTTATTTGTTACAAAACAGATTTTGCCTGCCATTAGATCACTGCCTTCAGAGCTTTTACATCTGCACAGGCTGTAAACCGCTGACCGGTACCCTCCCAGTATTAGATGAATTTCTATCTTTTTTGGGAGTATTTATTTACGTTTCTGTGGTACGCTTTACCGTAGCTTAAATTTTATTTATTTTTTTTCCTTCGAAGTCGGATATGTTCACAGACGTCCTCACAGGCCACAGACTGTGCCTAAAATGGGACTGGAACTTGGGAAACGGGGAGTCCAGGGGACTTTGCTCCTCGGCATCCTATACTGTTTCACGTCTCCGTGTCCGGCGGATTTCACTTCCCCACCCTATACTTCATGTCCCCGAGTCCATCATCTTGAGTCCCCGAGTCACCAAGTCCCATAAACAAGTGCCAAAGTCCCTGTCCCATTTTTAGACACAGTGATCGTCACAACTCCTGCAATGGTTGTGTGTCCCAGGGGCCCAGTGTTATTTTCTTCCTTGTTGTCCTTCTGTCTTTTTTTAACTCACAGAGCTCTCAGATCCTCAGCTGACAGGGGTTAGGTTGATACATCTTTAAAGTGATCGAAATCATTATTAAGGCTCTTCTGATAACTGTAAAGGCTAACAAATTGTGCTAAAATGCCCCTCAGACAGAGCAATTGCAAGGTCTTCTGGCAGTTGAGCTGTTACATTGATCATACCCCCAGCGTTGTTACATCAGGTCCAGAAGGCTTTGAGGTGTGAAATGAACATTACCCCCATCCATTTTGCGCGTTTAGGCTTCGTGTCAGTCAATAGAACAACAGAGAACCGAGATATCAATAATATTGCTATGCGTTTTCCTTTGCTGGATAATCACGTTTCACATGATGGAAAAGGTGTTTTCCGTGACTCGTGATGGGACCCAAATTATCAGCGTGATGCGTGATCGGCCCTAAATTAGCCGCGTGAGGGGTGATTTAGTATTTTCACAACGATTGACGCGTGATTTTCCTTTGAAATCATGTTCCGTCATGGTTAATATCATTTGTAACTAGAAGTAGAGACATTGAAAAAAGATATTTATGACACCAACTTCTCGCCCTTTTCCCTCGTTCCTCGACCTCTGATTTCCTCAGATCAAACGATAATAGGATATGATAATAGGATACTTGCTAATATTTTATTTTATTTTTCCGTGATGCGTGATAGCTTAAAAAAATCGGCGTGATACGTAATAAGTAACCCCCCCGGCCTTTTCCACCCTAGTTTCAGTCAGATAATGCTACAATTCGATGTTAGTAATTGTAAAAGGGGCATTCTGGGACATTTTTTACCACACCCATACAACTACTGTAACAGTTTTGGGATACTTTCTGGCCCAACCACACCCTGATTTTTTCCAAAAGTGATGCCACGCCCACCGAATTTCCTTTCCACGTTGTGAACGGAAAAAAAATTCACCAAATTTAGGGTATGGCCTGGCCCGGCCCAGGATTTTCAGGGGTCTGTCCAAAGAAATCTCACTAATCCACCCTCTGAATTTTTTCCAATCCATGTTTCTGGACTGGAAAAACTTTATGTGAAATCAGTAAGTCACACTCTCGAGCTCTTTGTTCACGATGTTGAACTGAGCATCCGACAAGATGAAAATATGGCGCTTCACATTTCCTGATCCTGACATTGTCCTATTGATCGTAACTTGAACTCCGTCTTTTGTGTTCACCAATCTCAATCCGGAGCCATGAAGTTGATTTTCTCCCATACTTCTCAGATCAACAAACAAAGCAAATCTGTCTCCACCATAAAAGTCTGTCACATTCATCGAACTGTTTTCTTTCCCGAATCTTCTCTAAACTTCCTCCCAGAGATCTCCAGTTTTCATTCCATGGCTGTAAACTTTAATTTATTCGGGATTCCATTCACTACCACTTTCACCTCTGTGATGTCAGGATTGAATGAGGGTCTCAATGGGGTGGTGGCTTTTACGGTTATCGGCTAAAATTTTGGCTCTTTTACGGCTATCGGTTAATTTTTTTCAGTTACGGTTAACGAAAAAGTTAAAAATTAACTTCTTTTGTTTCAAAGAGTTAAATATTAATCAACCTGTATTTTTTTTGAATAAGGGTCTTCGGATCATCTCGGGATGAAATAAGCTATTCTTTTATAAAGTATTTCACTTCTAATATTATTTTACACATAGTAATGTCAATAGTCAATTGAAAAATTATCTTCGTGAAAAAGCAAAAGCAGACACACGAACGCCAAATCAAAGCCGGGGCGCGACATTCATTAAAACAGAAATGGCCGTTTTCACACTAGAGAAGGATTATTCGTGTGAGACGGGTTATCCGTTTGATGATTCGCGTCAGATAGGTAATATGTCTTAATTTGAAAATAGAATAGTTTTAATTTGGAATGAACAATCTGCCTGACTTTTGAAGACGGGATTATCCGTTCCAGATAGCCTGTGTATAGCCGCCACCTCCCCTCAGAAAAAATCGGAGAAGGGTGTCTATGGAGAGGACGCGACTAGACACAGGCTAGTCTCAGACGGATGATCCATTTCTAGCTATAGTGTCAAAAAGGCCAATAACAAAATTCCCGTGTCCAGTGTTTTTAATGATAGCGAAGGACTACGGAACGATTGTCTGCCGTTGCCTTGTCCGTAGGCTGCGTTATTCCGCACGGCTAATGCGTTTCGGGTCACGTGGTCCGAGCGAGTTCGCCACCGAAATGCCTTGACTGAAACTGCGTGGGTAGACGCCGTACAGGGACTAGGCATGGCAATGTCTACCGTAGCGTCAGAGAAAAACAGGGAAATCTTGCTTATCGGCAACGAGTTTTACAAACAGTGACATCTCTGCGTGTTGTTTCACTAGTGTTTCGAGGGCACGACCTCCGGAAAATTGCAAATATTAATCCCCAGCAAGAAGCCACACTTTCGCTAGTTAGTTCCCAGAGAGAGCGCCGGAAATGGAGCCTAGGTCTTGGTTAACTCCTAAAAGGCGCTTCGCCTAACGTGCGTATGGAGTCACACTAGCCGGCAGTGTTCTCACCAGGATTTTGCCTTGGGAGTCCCAGGGCCCCCTCTTCTGAGAAATAGGGGCCCTGTAAGAACATGGGGGGACAAAGTTACAAAAACACGCGGTACGAAGAACCTGAGCCCGCACTCCAAATTTTCTGTTACATGAAGTACCTACCTGATCCAATATGGCGGAAGAGGTGTTTACGATTCGGAGGAGGAGTTTACGATGTAGTGGGACGTGCGTGGGACCAATGAAAGTAAAGGCAACAAAATTAAAGACTTTGACTCATTTGATATCATGTTTTTTTATTTATTCAAACAAACAGAATGCTTTAGTGTTAGGGTGACCATTAAAACTACTTAAGTCCGTTTGACTCGTAGCTTGCCCCTGCGCCCTAACGGGCGCATCTTCTTGGTTTTAATGCGCCATTTCAGTTTTTTCTTGCGGGAATCCCGCAAGGCCGCGGCCTGGTGAGAACACTGTAGCCGGGAAATAAAAAACGCAACCATAAGGGAGTTTAGTACCTTCGTTAAAAGTAGCAAATCTAGGGAACACTTTCTTTTACGGTTAACTCTTTTTTACCCTAATTACGGCTAACGGTTAAAATTTTTCAATTTTTACGGCTATCGGCTAAATTTTTGGCCGTTTTACGCCTATCGGTTAACCCCATTGAGACCCTCTTGAATGTTTGCTCGCTGTCTCTCGCCCCTCCCACGTATGGTTCGTAAAACAGGAGCAGAATTAAGCCCTTCATCGATCTCCTCGGAACATTGATGCTCTCATTGATGATTGAATCAGTTCCCTTTGCGATTGAGATTGTTTTGTGGTGGGTGACATGCTCATAAATGAACTTCTTTCCATTTAGATAAGAGCTGCTTACTGTGGATAACCTCTACTCAAGCTGGATGTTACTGAGCTCATAGTCAAGCTTTGCCGGATCACTCCCCTTCACAACAGTACTCGCTGGAGCGAGCCTGAGTTCAAAGACCAGTTCATCGGATAAAGCTCTTGGGTAAAAAAGAATTTCATGATCTATCGGAATCCTGTACTTATTTCCACACACAGTGTTAAGCCGTTTTTTCTCCTTGTCAGCTCCTAAAGTTTTCTTGTCTCCGGCATTACATCTGGTCATTGAGAGATCTCCAGACTGAATTCCTTCACCCAACCGGTTTGAGCTCCCACTTTCAGTCAAAAATAAATCCTCGTTAAGCTTAAACAAATCATAACCATCCGTGTCCTGCAAGATTTCACCTGCAAATTTCACAGTGAAATTATCCACCAGCGCTCTCGATACGTTGTTCACGAGAAAATTATTCGTTTGCCCACTACTGTCAAGTTGAAAACAACTACAAGACACTCAGAAACCAAGACGACTCCATCATCAAGCTTTGGAACTGAAATGTTGAGGGTTTCTCTCGGTGAAGCCTTATTCGGATTGAAAGTAACATGGTGAACTGAGTGATCCGCCTTGAGAGCTTTTGATGTCTTTTTCTCGAAATTTGGGTTGTTTTTCTCACTAACTTCCATTTTGATTGAAAATATTTTATTTCGCACTCACAAAATGGAAGAAGGCGGACAAAGAGATCCTCTTATTCCACCGGATGAAGATGATGATGATGGTGATGAAAACACAACTCAACCTTTTCAACCTGATGATCATTCAACTCCGGGGCCATCAAGCGAAGAAATTCCAATGACAACATTCAGCAGAGGTAGAGAGAAAGGTCCTGAATCAGCTGAAACATCCTTCATTGAGGGGCGTACGTGTTCGCGAGTCTTGGATTTAAATGAAAAAGCATGGGAATCGCTTACTGGGAATTTTTTCCGAGGCAAAGGCCTCTGAGCTCGAGGCATCTTATAGCAAAACAGGAAAGTTGCAGGTGAAGAAGCTTGGTTTTGGCAAGAAAGCTTATCCTTTGTTTACCTTTGAAAAAATAAACGGGAAAAAAGGTGGAATCAAACTCTCACGAAAGAAATAAAAGATGCTTTCGGTCCAGAGGGTGAAGTATTGATTGCACAAGAGGATAAAGAAATCTCAGAGCTACAGAAATCCATTCGAGAAGATAAAGAATCGCGAACGATGAAAATGAACATCCCTCAGAGAGGGAAAGAGCACGAGAAAGAATAACTGAGAAAAGAGAACAGATTGATGCTCTCGAGAATGAGAGGGAAGAACTTGAGGAAAGTGCGTCACCCAGGGAGAGAGTCAAGGGCATCTTCAAAAAGTATGGATTCACAGTGGCACCCGTCCTTTTGGCAGTTGGTACAGTCATCGGAGTGATCGTTAACTCACTTTCAAAAGGATTCAAGTCTGTCGCAAAAGGAGTAGGAAATGGACTTAGGGAACTCGGAAAAAAGATCGCGGGAATACTTCCAGGACTCATTGGGTCCAGTAAGCTTTATTTTCAAAACTGCCGGATCAGTGACCAGCTTTCTCGTTAAAAATTCCTGGCTTTTAATTCTGCGGGCAGCCGTTTTCATGGTCGAGAGGATTCAAAGGAGAAATCGCTGATTTAATCATTTGATCACATCAGAGAATTCGATAAACGATGAAACCTGAAATTGCTGCCCCGATGAATAAGCCAGCTTCCCAAATTTCATGACTTGGTCCGGAGGCCTCCCGCCCGCTCATGGTCTGCTCCTCTTGCTGAAAATTATTCACTGGGCGGTGAATTGTATTTGAAGGATGCAAAGTTGGTCTGTATACTGATGGACTGCCAGCCATCACTCGTATCAGCGTTGACTGAATCATTGACTCCAAGCTTCATCCGAACGCCCGACTTCCTCAAGCCGTTGTTGTAACCAACCGCACTCTGAGTATTTATCACCAAATTTGAAGGCTTCAACCAGGCTCGCGGAGAGACAGCCAGGTTAAGCCTGACTTTTGCTTCATCGATCGCCAGTTGAAATCTTTGAACACTTTTGGAAATGTCTGGCTGCCTGATCGCATCTTCCATCAATGTCAAAACTCAGTCTGTGCTTCTTTGGCACTTTCTGAATTTCCGAGAATGGATGATCTCACGTTAACCTGGGCTCCGAGAATGCTGTAAACAAATGCTTCAATCGATTGATTCAACCTCGACAATCCAGCCTGAGATAACCCTGATGAGTCCTCAATCATAAAATATTTAAATTGCCTCTCTGTATCGTCGTCATTTCTGCTGAAATAGATGAGATGAGATTGCCTTTGGATGCATTTCCACCTTCATCACCGAACTTGTTGAGTCCTGGATAACTATAGCACCGGTTAAAACAGGCCCTGCACGGGATACATAAATGAAAACTTTACCCAACCCATGATTTAAACCACGTTTGAATGTAAAATCTAGCTAAAATCTATTGAACTCTATATTGAACTCAGCGTATATTCTCTTGAAAGATGGAATATCGTATTTGTTATCAATTATGTTGAAAGTTGGATCACCCGGAAGAACTGACTCGCTCTGAATTCCACCTATCTGAAACAAGATTCTCCTGGTGGTGAAATAAATGATTGTGAAACAGGAGAGGTGATTTAATTTGATCTGACACAGAATTCACAGTGGCTTTCGAAAGTCCAGAGCCAGTGGTTACGCACCAAAAGGCAAATTTAACTGTTGAGGCCAATACCTCATGTCAAGGGCTGAAAGCGACTTTTTCAATTCAGTTCCGGAAACGTGGGTTATTTTTGTGTCACTGAAAATATCCCTGAATTTTGTTTTGAAGCTGTCATTGGGAGTCACGAAAACATTTAACTCTTGATTGAAAAGATTTCCCATGTCAAACGAAACTTTTTCATCAAAACTGACCACAGGCACTGGAAATCTCAGTGATTTGTTCATAGTCAGCCGGTTAGGGAAGCCTCCAACAACGAGAGCCAATTTAAAGTCATCACTCCAGTATTGTTCATCAGAATGAGAAATGCTCTTCCAATAATCTGGACCAGCTTTGTACATGATTTCAGCCGTGGTGCGTGTTTTTTTTTCATCAAAGGTCACTTCCACCTCAATCTTGCTAAAATCACCATCCGGATATTCCGATTTGAAAACAGCCCGGGCTTTCGCTCTCGCCTCTCTTGAAATTCTCTTGGCTTTATCAGATTGCAGCCACTTCAAGTCCGTTTTATTGGCTCTCAACAATAAAAATGGCTGTCTTATTAATCATCGCAGCTAGGAATGATCGCAGGGCTTACTTCAAAGAACGCATCAGGTAATTTCAGTTCATCAAGCTCCTGAGTTGTTCTCTCTACAATTCTTCGCACACCCTGAAAAACGGGGAAAAATCAAATTTCAAGTCAATAAATCAAACCTTGACACCGTAGAGTATCTCTTATCCTCCGGGCATTACAATATTCACAATCTGGTAAGTTATTTTCCCGATGCAAGGAGGTGATAGAGAACGACAACTTAAGTTTTGAAAAGAATACTCATTAAGGGCAACTGGTCATCAATAACAAAAGTTCAATCACTTTTTCCTTTGACGTGGATCTGCAGAAACTGCTCAATCTTTCCTAAAATATTATATTAGCAAAACCAGAATCATCCACAAAATAAACATTCCAACTTCCTACTTCCTTCCTTGTGATTTGATTGACAGAACGGAAACTCTCTTCAATGGGAAACCTTCAAATCTGCTGGCAAAATTTTTAAACCGCGGCAACCTCATGAAAAAATTGATTACATCCCTCCAGCACAGGAAGTGTTTCGTGACGCTGCCCAGGGAGATAAATCTTTCCATAGTTTGACCATTTTCGTGAAGGATGAAAACGGGAATTTGTTTGATTTCAGAGGTTTTCCCCTAGAATTTGTGTTGGAAATTATTTGATTGCCACATAGAAAATGTCTGATCAAAATACATTACCAAGCGCTCCTCCACGCTAGATTGAAAAAGATTTGTGATTGTCAGAAACATCTCGAAAATGAAATTTCGCATTACCGGCATGTTTTGAAGAAATACAAAAAGGGAAAAGGCTGTCACCCACTCAACATCTGCTTTCACTAGATTCACCGCAGCAATGTTATCAGCAGGAGGCTTGGTGGTTTCTCTGAGCGGAATTGGTGCCGTCGCTGATGAACCCTTGGCTGGAGTCGCCGGTTTCTTTGGTTTGGTGTTAAACGTTTTCACAGTCGGTGGCAGAAGGTTTGATAAAAAGATTTCAAAACATGAACAAACGGTCGCTCTGGCTGAGGCGAAACATAATTCAAACAGCAGACTGGTTTCAAAGGTATTGAATGATGGTTTAATTTCTGAGGTGGAGTTTAACTTGATATTGAGAAAGGCTGAACGATATCAATCATTGAAAAATCAAATCAGGAATGCACCAGCCAGCAGAAGCAAAGCTCATGATTTTGAAGCTCTCAAGGAGGAGATAAAAAACGAATACCGAAAAAAGCTCAGATCACTCCTGAACATAAAACGGCACTGAGAGTTGAATTCAATCGAAGACCAACCGGGTTCTCTTTGTCCATATCGAGATATAAGCGTTGATGTATTGCCTGTGGAGAACTCTAGGACGTGATGACTTATTTTCCGAGGAAATGAGTCACATCTCAAATAAATTTTTTCTCCCTCAGTTTTTCTCTGATAAATCTTTCGATATCATAAACATCATACCTGATTCTCACCAGAGTCACCCCGTGTGACTTGCACCTCCGGGTCTTCATCTCACCCCTCCTCCTCTGGCGGAGAAACTCAGTTATGTCTCGGTTGAATGGATTTGGATATTCACGATGTTGAATCCCGCGTCATATTCCAACGCCAATTTTCAGACTCCTGCAATATCCATCTAGTTCAAGGCAGAAACCCGTCTCGTAGCTTATCAAACAGGGCCTGACTTTTTCAAATTTCTCGCAGAGAATTTTCTCAAATATTTCCCTGCACTTTTCTTCGCAGAACATTTTATAGCAAAAGAAAAACAGCCCTCACATGAAAATGTTTCCTGTCAGATCTTCTCCTTGATGAATTGTCTATCATTGCCAATGGCGTATCTTATGGCAGAGCCATTTGAGATCCCGCATGCACGTTTTTGCCGCCACTTTCATGATGCTGAAGACTTGGCAGAACCCCGTTTCATCACTTATCTCAACCTTTATCTCAGGTTTTCCTTGAGGGCAATAACCAAGCATGGCTTTAAATTCTTTCCTCGGAACTTTGTTCCTGTATTTCAACCCGCAGCCAACTTTTCGAAAATCTTTTTTCAGAGATCGGTGTAAGGTGAGATGTTTCCATTTTTTATGCAGAAATCATTTTTCAACCAGAGGCAATTCAGTCCCTGGAGGAACCACCATGAGCCCCTCTCTGACAAACCCACACCTCGGACCATAATCCAGATAATAAAGAACTGGCTCACCCTCATTCACGATGGACCTCGAAATGCTAAAAACTTTCAGAGACCAGACCGGATCAGTGGCCCGCCTCTGTCCACCTTCAAGCTCTCCAGGGGCATAGAGATATCTTACGTTGGCAGAAGAATCGAGTCTCTTCTCTTTTGTACCCACGGGCCTTGAGTGGTTGAACTTTTCGCGGAGACAATTTCTCCTTGATCGCCTCAACAGGTTTTTTCCCAGTCAATCGAGTTTTTTCTCCATTCAGAGCCAAGACGACTTTTGGGAGGCTCTTCACCCATTCTCTGGATCTCTCTGCGGATCGGAAGTTCATTTCTTGACTGTATTGATAACTGAAAAGCCGCTCACTCAGAGTTCGAGTGAAACGCTCAACAATTCCCTGATCTCTGTGAACGTTCACATTTTCTATCCTCACTCTCACATCATTCTTAGCCTTTTCCTTTGTTACTTCTCCCATGAATTCTCGACCGGGATCAACCTGAAGAACCTTTGGCCATCTCATCGGTCCTTTCCAGTACATTTTCTGAAAAGCGTTTGAGACTTCCAAAGAATCCTTTAAAGTGAGTGGTTCTGCGCCCTTGAATCTGCTCGCGATATCAACGACATACAGTCCATGCGTACTTGTAAACCTTTTTCGACCTGGGTGTTGGTCTGTCATGAACCAGTTGGTACAGATAGGTAGAATTAAACATCTTTTGGATAAGAAAACCCTTTTATTACTTATAAATAGCTTAATTTGTTTTCAGTAAACTTTTTTTATTGTTCCTCAGTATGGGGGAACACATCTAAACGTAACCTACACAAACTGCAGTTGGTACAAAATTTTGCCGCCGGAGTTTTATTAGGTTTAAAGACGTTTGACCATATCTCCCAGGGACGGAGATCTCTTAAATGGTTAGATGTTACGGAGAAGGTTCTATTTAATGACTTAGTTTTAGTATTCAAATGTGTAAATGGCTTAGCTCCAGATTATTTAGGTAAATATTTTATCAAAAGTTCAGCAGTTCAAAACAAGAACACAAGGGGATGTAACAATTTTGTGGTCCCCCGGTGTAGACTATCAATGGGACAAAGGGCATTTTATTTTCGGGGTCCAAAGGAATGGAATGGGCGACCTGACAATATTAAGAACACTAAAGATATTGATAGTTTTAAGCGGAGAATTTTTAATAAGATATTTTTAAATAATTTTGAATATATTTTGAATAATTTTGAATGTATTTTGAATTTAATTGAACTACTGTAAATAAGTTTTCTTTTCTTTTCTTAATTACCAGTATTATGTAATAAGTAACATTGTGACTGAAAAGCCCTGTTGAAGGGAGTCTCAATAAAGTATGTATGTATGTATGTATGTATGTATGTATGTATGTATGTATGTATGTATGTATGTATGTATGTATGTATGTATGTATGTATGTATGTGTGTATGTATGTGTGTATGTATGTATGTATGTATGTATGTATGTATGTATGTCATGAGGGATGAAAAGAAGATCAGCTTGATGAATGGTATTTGGTGATTGAACATCAACGGTTGGTCTCGGTATATTCTTTCGAGCGGGCAAATAAATCTGCGAGATGGCCTGTTTCATCAGCCAAAGTTTCGCGGCATCTTCAGGGACTCTTTAGCCAACTTTTTCACAGCCGCCAATCCCTTCCAAAATCCGTTCGGACTGTAATAAATTGTCGAAAGCTTTGAGTTTTACATTTTAGAGAAAAACGACTTGCTGCCAATCTAATCGCCAGGGCTGAGGCACCAACGTCAATTATCTCACCTCTTTTTTGAGCTGAGGAAGGCTGGTAAAAATCTGAAAACTGGCGTTCAGTCAAATCTATCTGTTTCTGATGAACCTTTTTATAGAGTTTCAAGGCATAACCTGTGTTCCGGAAATTTTGTTTCGCTTCATCCTTGATTCTATCATTAGTTGAGATCCAATCAAGAAGTTTTGTTCTATTTTCTTCATATTTCTCGTAAGCAGCGTGAAATATTTTTACAAGGCGAGTTCGTGTCGGTTTTTCTCTTCATCGGAATCAGATCCACCAATCAAATACCTCGCCAGATATCTTCCACCGACAAATGCAGTGGCATTGATAATTGCTCCTCCAACCATTATTGCTATGCTGACCATTTTGTTTGATATCATATTGAAATTAAACATTTTTGCTTGCATCTAATCGCCTTCTCTGATTTCCCCAAGATACTCATCAATTATCCTTTGAATCTCAAGGGCCATGATTATGGCAGCCGCCTCAACAAAAACGCAAAGTGCTGCAAATCTCACTCATCGCAAAACCACTGACCATTTTTTAGCCAGCAAAATGCTTTGATCTTCAAGATATTGTTTTGCCACGATTGAAGCCGCGACAACGACTGTGAATTTTACATAATTCATGGGATTGGAACTGGGATCGGAGGTCATTGGCTTTTTGATGACTTCCTTCGCGATCCAGCCAAATCCAGCTGCCAAACCAACCTTTCAAGTGAGCTTGCCACGAACTTGAAGCTGTCGATGAATCGAATCTCATGTTTGATTTCTATTTCTTCTTTTGTTTTTTTTGTTGATGTATTTGCCAACCAAGACGTCTATGCTAAAGCTGATGTATTTTTC